TGTGTGTGTGTGTGTGTGTGTGTGTGTGTGTGTGTGTGTGTGTGTGTGTGTGTGTATGTCCTTGAGCCTTTTGAGATGGGAAAAAAAAATAATAATAATAATTAAAAAACAACAAAAAAAACAGGTAAGTATTTTTTTATTTATTATTATTGTAACAGACTGTGTCATGTTTATTGTTTTGTATTGGAGATATGATGTCCCTTCAGGGTTGCCGTAGAGAAAAGGCGACTTCCGCTTCTGGTTGGGGGGGGCAGAAATAAAGAGAGAAGCTGCACCAGCTGTTGCTCTCCCTGGAGACTACTGGACATTGCTGCGGTAAAGTCAGCAGACACTCAGATCTCAGCGTCAACTCAGCAGACACTGACATGTTAGTGCACCTATATGCTGAAATTCACGGTAAACGCATTTAAACGCCACAGATCGGGAGCGAGCAAAGGACTTTGAAAGTTAGCGGAAAAATTAACGTGAGACAACATCGGGTTTCTTCAGACGAACATCCGGTTTTCAGAATAAGATGCCAACAAAGTATGAATTATATTCACATTAAGTATAAAACATGCTACCTGCATCTCATGAACCAAATGTTATTGCACTTTTGTTCATATAGCAGTACTTTTAAAATAAAAGTGCTCAATACACTACTTTTGAATTCATTATTGAACTTTGCCATAACAATGCGATTAATCGCAAAAAATCCATTCGATTAATCGCGATTAAATATTTTAATTGTTGCCCAGCACTAATATTTATATACAACACTAAACGATCAAATGACAAGGAAATATTTGATCCTAAATCAAATGTAACCTTAAAGTTGTTAAAGTCAGCATGGATGTAGACAACTTCCTCACCCCGCTAATTGGTTTGGTATTACACTTAATATAACGGACCTCCACACAAACACGCAAACAGAGTGGAACGGGGACGGGGGAACTTAAAAGGTAGGGCCACCTATGAAGCTAAGTCCAGGCCAAAAGAAGTTCCAAAAGCACTTGCTGCTGCTTGTTATCTGGACTGTGGAGGCTGGACAGGAAGAGGACAATGTTCAGACACATCTGACCCTCATGTTTCCCCCATGCCTCCAGTTTTAAAGCAGGCTGTCTGTTAAAGATTGGGGCATGGTTGAACAGGCTCATTTCAAACAACTTATTTAGCTGTTGAAATGTCAAGACAACACTTCCAGCACACGGTTGGAAGAGATGATCCCAAACACCATCTTATCTGGATCAGAAAGACCTGATTTTCATCTTGTTTTCTCAGAAATGGCCCACAGACTGTTTCCTGTAGTGTGATCCATGCATCACGTTGTCTCTCTCCAGGCTTCATTGGAAAGATTACTCTCCAGATCCCTTTCTACCGGCCTCACAGTGACCCATGGGTCATCTCCATGTCCCAGCTCAACCTGATCATCGGCCCCGCCCAGCAGCAGGAATATGACGGAGAGAAGGAAAGAGAGGAGGAGAGGGAGCGCAAAACACGCCTCCTCAAGGCTCTCGAAGACAAATTCAAAGTAGGTGGATAAACACTGTGGATCATAGAATGTGCTTTTGTTTGTCCCACTAATGGTACGAAGTAGTCATCCATCCAGCAATCAAGTTTTCTGGTTCTAATGAGCATTACAGCCTCCAGAGTAGCTAAACACTTGCAATGTATTTTTTGTGCTGTATGTCACTTTACACCGACACAATTTATGTTCCTGAACTATTGTTTCTGGTGTTTTCACAAAGATTTTTAAAGGTAAGACAAAGAGGTATTGCTATTAGATTGTTCTGGTAGCAGCAGAACGGGTTTACATCTCACAATTGTCATAAAAAAAAGAATCCCTTACCTAAGTCAAATAATGGAATCTAATTTTGTAGCTTGGCCTTCTTGAACTAATCTCTGTTTGTTGCCTCCTTCACTTATCTTATTGTGTCTAACTTTAACTGTATGTGTACTGTGTGTGTGTGTGTGTGTGTATATATATATATGTATGTATATGTGTATATGTATGTATATATATATATATATATATATATATATATATATAAATGAATGAATGAATGAATGAATGTGTGTGTGTTCGTCTCCTCCAGAGTGAGTGTGAACAGAGGGGAGAATCTTACTGGTACTCTGCCACTGCCTCAGCGGTCACTAGGATTGTGGAGAACATTGAGGTAAGCCATCCAACATGAGACTAGGGCTGGGACTGTATCACAAACAACACATGTATCCCTTAGAGCTGTGCATCTTCACTGGGCTCAGGACTCTTAACCTGTCAACAATTCTCAATGTATTGCTTCCTCAATTTTCTATATTACTGCACATGGCTATGTTTTCGTCAATTAAGTTAAGAAACCTGATTAAGTTTGGTCACTGCATCGATGCAGAATCGTTCATGATCTCTTTTCTCAAACATAACCAGCTTCTTAGAATGGAGACATTTCCACACCTCTAGTATCCATTTATTCCAAGCCTGTTCTCAAACAACAGTCAGGTGCCCATACAGACATTGAAACAGGGTTTTCTTGCTGTAATTATTCTTTCTTTTCATACTGGCAATTAAAAGATCTCTTCCTAAAGGGATCTCAATGTAAGTAATGGGGGACAAAATATGAGGCTTTAGCAGTCTGACTTGGTCTAATCAAGTGAGTATCTATCTTCCAAAATGTGCACTAAAAACATTGTAACTTGGGAAGACATCCACTTTCAGATTGTTGAACTTTGGAATAGATTTTGGAGGAATCGAGCCCTAATCTTTGAATCTGTTAATGACCAGTATGAACATGAGGAACCATTCCAGCAAGTAAACGCTGAGTCAGTGTTCATATGGGTGCCTGGCTGTGAAAATATACTGGCAACTGTTTATGATACAAAACAATTAGACACAACATAGACAAGATTCAACCCATTCAAACAGCATGATACCTGAATAAGTAAATACCTTCCCAATAATCATTTGGTATTGCACGCTTGTTGAGTTACAGACTGAACTTTGATTTTGTTATGCTTATGTGCAGCTGAAGATCCAAGACGTGCATCTAAGATTTGAAGATGACTTCTCCAACCCAGAGAAGCCCTTTTCTTTTGGGCTTTGCATCAACAATGTTTCTGCTCAGAACCCCTCCAAAGAGACGGTAAGTGTTCACTCAAAGGGACTTAAACTCACACTTCATTCCTTATTTCTGTAGGCTTTTATTGGACAATAGGACCCAAACGTTTAGTGAAGTCAGTAATACATTACATTCACCGAAGAAGGGTTTCTTGTAGTAATAACGTAGTATCTTATATTGATGATAAAGGTGCTCTAAATCGTTTAATTGCTGCTCTCTATAAAGGTCGATCCAGATGACAATTTCTCTACGCACAGTTGTGTCTCTAAGAGAGATTGGAAAATGTTGCACATGTTGCCTGCCAATAAATAAACAGTTGTTAATTCATGATAAGATCTCTTAATGGAATCACTTCATATAAAATGTTGTTAAGAATAGTTGGATAAATAAATAATGCTACACGATAAACAGGCTTCAAATAGAGCCTGTGTCGGTCTATACTGCTCCCAGGGATCGGCCCAAGAGTCGTGATCATCGGAGCACTCTTGGCTTTATTTATGAGAGCCATATGTCGTAAGTATTGTAATGTCGTAGTTGACCACAGGTCTGTATTTGAGGTTAACAGGGATTTTCTTTTTATTTGCAGGTCCAGAAGCTCCTCCGACAAAAGCAGCTGGAGATAGAAGACTTCAGCGTCTACTGGGATACACAATGTGAACTTCTGGGAAAGCTGCCCGCAAATCAGATCCAGGTCAGAGACTCGATGGACTTCAACATTTAGGCTCCCTGGAGACCGAGTATTAGATCTTACTAACGCACACAGCATTGATTGATAGGGATTTGTTGTTTGTACTGGGGTTATAAGTGACTTGTGCTTCCAGGTGTATTTAATCATTTAATGCCTAACCATAGCTGGTGATTTTCAATAATGAATGATTGGTACTGTTAGACCGGTCTGACCTGCCAGTTACACATCCTCTTGAATGATCCAGTACAAGAGGTAAAGTTCCATATGAGTGGTCTGATATTTTTGTTACTGCACAGGATGCGATGACCCAGTGCATGCAGAGCCGGGAGCATCAGTACATCTTTGAACCAGTGTGTGCCTCCGTGCTGCTCAGGAGAAACACCTCCAAGGAGCCTCTGAGGTCCCGACACACCCCACGGATTGAAGGCCAAGTTCAGCTGGAGCCCATGTGCTTACGCCTGTCACAGGTCTGTATGAACACCTGGCACCCTTCGTGGTCAACAATGGAAGTTGAATCAACAGGTTATATCTCTGAGTGTTATAACAGGCAAGAAGGCCAATGATCTTTTTACTTTTTCTTTACATATTCCATCTCCAAACATAAACCTATGTAAATAGAAACTTTTGAATTAATAAACGATTCATATTTTGATACTTAAAATCATTTACCTGTAGGCCGCTGGTGTGAAACAGACTTGGTAACAATTCAAATAAATATAAAAACATAATTCATGGTAAGAAGGTTTCCTTCCATAACTTATAATAACCCACAGCAAACATTGAGGTAACCGCAGCAGAGTAACGCTGCATCCAGTGTGTGAGTGTAGACAGGACTCCAACACGTCACACTGCTACACACGGCTCACACATAATGAATATATGATGAGAGAATATATACTGATTTGTCTGTTTCACACCACCGGGGTTACAGAGGAAAGAATACGGCTAAAATATTGTCACACGCCATCAGAATACATCTGCAACACATGAACTTAATATAATACACACATGAAATTATAGTCAGATCTGTGGTGCTCTAGATGAAGCATTGATATTATAAATCTGTTCATTCACACTGTCAGTGATTTATTGCCAGCTGTCCTTTCTGCATTTGTCTGTTTAAACTGAATTATGACTTAAACGTCTTCGTACTTGTGTAATATTATCTAAGAATCCAGGTACCGAGCTGTGATTGGTCAGTAGGCGGAGCCTTTATACAAGTTAATCTCAAACATAATCTGCTTCAAAGCAGAGATCTACCAAAGTTCTGTTGAAGCTTCATAGTAGTATTAGCTGAACTAGGATGACAGAATGAGGACTGTGGACTTGATCCCTCATCACTTACATTGGAATTGCTTTCAGACAGAATCTCTTGCTGGGAATAGAGACCAATAACTGGGTAGAGAAGAATTGTAATTAATCAGTGAATGCAAACAGTATCAGAGATAAGAGTATCTTACGAGAACGATACAAGACGAATAAATCTTGTTTTTTGTTATCTACACTGCCATCTTGACTGTAAGGGAGGCGGGAGGGACAACTGAGTGAGATTCAAGTCTTTGTTTGTGAGTGGAGATGGAGATCTGCATTCTACTGAGCATGCTGACAGAACAGTGACTAAGTGTGTGTGTTTGTTCTCTCGTAGGTCCAATACCAGCAGATCATGGCTTTCCTTAAAGAGCTGGACCGTCGGGAGAGAGAGATGCTTTACCGGAAGTGGAGACCAAAAGTGCCGATTTCTGGGAGGTAAGTTCACTCTTATTTTATAGTGGGTGCAAACGGTCATGTGATCCTTGAATCAGATCTGAGCCTGCATTCCATTGTTTTTCCTTGCAGCTGCCGGCAGTGGTGGATGTTTGCCATCCAGGCCAACCTGAGTGAGATCAGGGAACAGCGGCGGCGAGGCAGCTGGGGCTTTGCCCTGCAGCGGGCACGAGATGCCCAGACCTACACCAGCCTATACTTCAGAAGGCTAAAAGGAGTCCCACTGAGCCCTCAGGAAGAGGTACTACACTGTAATCATCTATCAACTCTTATTTAAGTGACTATATTGCTCATATCCTTAAATACAACCCAAATAGGAGTCTGAACTACAAAAACTACCAAATATTGTTGTTATTTTGTCCCTCACATTCCATTTATTTTACCTACACAACTCATAAAACGATCTGATTTAGCAATTGTCACAAATCTAAAGAGGATGTACACAAAGCTTTTCCTCCTGGAGTTGTACACTTCATTGAAGCTTTTTTAACAATGGATAGACCCAATTAGGGTTGGAAAATTTGAGGGATATGCAAAATTCCCAATGGAATTAACAGGAATGAAATGGAAATCAAAAAAATGTGCTCAGGCAGTATTTACCATGTTATACGCAGATAGCAACAGACATAAATGTAAACCAGTGACGTGCGGTGAGGTTCGTGGCCGGTGAGGCACTGACTCTTTCAGAGTCAGATTTACAAATATATGAACCCAATAGAGCAGCTTAAATCACCATTCAATTGGCAGCTAGCACATTCACTACTGGTTGTTTTTCATATTTCATATCAGCATTCTTTACACACACATAGGTAAGGTACATATTTGATTCCACTGGAAGCGTGTGCACCGCGATCCGGCTGCACATAGTGTTTTATTTTAAGAAATGACCGGATGCTCTATCCCAGGGGTGTCAAACTCATCTTCACTCTGGGCCACATCAGCATCACGGTCGCCCTCAAAGGGCCGGTTGTGAATGTAAGACAGTGTAAATGTAACTACTCCTAACATATTGGTAAATAACTGTCTCTGCATTTGATTATTGTTTATTCAAGTGTAAACATATTGTACATGCAGTTATATAAATGTAAAAATATATTTCAGCACATTTCTGTTATTACAACTTAAATCCTTTTAATTTAGGGTTAATAAACTCACATTACTCTATCAAAGATCAAACTATTAAAGAAAATATCAAAGACAAATATCAAACACAAGTTATTACAATAACTTTGTTCAATGCGTAAAATCCTTTCAAGGGTGCGTTTGCACAATCCCACGTGAAGTATTTCATGTGTTTTTAAAGCCACGTTTAAAGTAGTCTTCAATGTACTCACAATACATTTCCATGTCAAATGTACAGTAACCAGCCAAAGAGCTGCTTCTATGACTGTTGTGTTGAAGTATCTCATTTTGACTTTCTATCATCATTTTGACTACGGGGATATTTTTATTATCAAGTCTAACTTTTAATTATTTCTTTTTTTTTTTTTTTTTTGCTGGCGGATTCGTGGGCCACATAAAATGACGTGGCGGGCCCCTGTTTGAGACCCCTGCTCTATCCCTTTTCAGTGTCTGACTTCCTGTCTGGGTCGATCTGTTCTGTGCAGCTTGACCTCTTCAGCACGGGTCTGTCAAAAATAGACTCGGCGCGTATCTTTAGCAGAGCAAAATATAAGAAGAAGAAGAGAAGTGTAGAAGAAGAAGAACAACAGCAGGACAAGCATAAACCCGAGCCGTGGGCTCTCGTACGCCCCCTTCATTGAGGCAGAGGTACTGTTGTTTTTGCCTCCCCGCTGTGCTTTTTCACTGCGGTTTAATGTCAGATCAGACTAAATAGGTTCTACACATACATGAAATACATGACCTATTCTTTGGAAAGAAAGGACATATAATAAAAGTGTCTTCAAATATTACAGTGGTGACAAACAATGAGAAAGCAAAAGACGCGCTCAACCCAGTTTGTGAGGGATTGCACAATCTGAGATGAGGCACAGCTCGCGTGTCTCCTCTCTGTTTGAACAGGACATGCGCAAATTCAGCGATTTTGATTATAAAAATGCTTGAAATGATTTGAATCATACAGAAATTACATTTATAGCACAGATCAGTAGAGAAATATTAATATTTATTTTATTTTATCATTATTTGTTTTTTCATGATGACACCTCCCCTGACCGCACATGTAAACCCTTCTAATAACAATTTGAGTTTAACTTCCATTACTATTGGCTATGATGGGAGTGGCATTGTTCAGTTAAGATGAGGGGGAAAGCTAGTACAGATAAATAGCTACGCAGGTTGATTAACCCTCTGAAGAGTAAGACTTTGTGCATACACGTAACATGTGAAATGTGCCATGTGGTGAGTTAGCTAGCACACAAGTAAACTAATGGCAAAATGTACTCAGAAAATTCTAGCAGACAATGTGATTTGTGTGCTAACTTAGGGTTTATAGTGGAAAACTAATTTATAAAAGAAACGTTTTACTTTAAAATTGGAAGAGATTAAAGAGATATTAAAACTCCTCAGCTAGCATGCTACATCAAGCTACATCCCACATGGTCACAAAAAAATAGGTCATCATGTAATTTTCCAAACATATTGAAAACCTTCCAAAATAACATACATACTGCTTTTTCTCAAGTACTTAGGAGTCAATGAAATAGTTTTCTCAGTTTTGTCTTGAGGTAGAAACTCACGTTGCATAAGAATTGTTTTTAGTTTTCTAAAGCAGCAGAAACTAGCAGGATGTGTTAAGAAGTTATAAACTGTTAACACTTATTTTAGGTTACTATTTGCTGGTTCACTGATATCATAAAACACATCAAATATATTCACTCCAGTAATATCAACTCAGCTGAAAGCATGCAGCCCTTTGGCTCAGACTGTGCGGTACTGTTTGCAGTAGTGTGGCTGCACAGAATGCACTGATACATGATCTCTACATGTGATGGAAGAGTATTGCTGAATGCAGTGGTTACCATTCATAAGTCCCCTATTAAAAGGTGTGATTTTTGTAAAGATTTATTTTTAATATGATTATTTACTTTATTTAAGGAATTCAAATGTCTGCGTCCATCTGATCTCTAAGAGGATGTCTTTGCACCATCTATTCTACTGACATTTAAACAGTACTGCTGTGTTTTAATGAGTGAGTCCTGTTTGGTTTGTATCTTGTCAATATCTAGTACATACCCCCTTGCTATATTTCTTGGTGTGTTCCCACTGACTGTTGATGTGTGGAATAGCATGTCATCTATCAAAGCTTCAACACGTTGCTCCACAGCACCACTGGTGGCCAAACGTTTCACAGGGTTCCTTTAAGCAGCAAAATGACAAGTGGAAGCAAATACCCTCTCACAATACTGTGTGCTCACATCTGACTCAAATACATTTGCATAAAGAGACACTAAGAAGTGTCTCTAAGAAACTCTCTAGAGATTGATTGAAAAAATGAAGTGCAGATAAGTAATTCATTGTTTTAGTCAAATCTCTGGCTTCTAGGCTCACAAATGTGAATATGTGCTGGTCGTCTTTGAGTTATGGACTGTTGGTCCGACAAAACCAGTTACTTGAAGAACTCACTTTGGCCTGTGAAAAATTGTGTTTGACATTTTTCACCATTTTTGGAAATGTAATATAGACCAGATGTGATTCATTTTTTTAAATGATTAAATTATAGAAAAAATCAGCGCATTCTGCAGGAATGATAATAGTAATTAGTTGCCGACCTAAGTGCTGGGTTATACTAGAAAAGTGTTTTTTCAGACCACGTCAGAAATCAAAAATGGTTCGAGTTGTTGAACAACAAACCGTGGAAGTGGTTAGATACCGAGATAACGGAAACAGTTAGGCATTCTTAGTTGTGTCAAGAAGTTCAAACCCTGGCTCCTTTCTCACCTCTGCACAGCTAACCAATCACAGAGATGATGTACTTTCAAACACACTTCAGTGCACTGATGTCTGCGCTTATCTTCATCACCTAGAGTGAGCTGGAGCGAGTGGAAGAGGAGCAGATGATAGAGGAACTGCAGTGTCTCAGAGAAATTGTCCACGACTGGTTCCGAAAGCAGGAAGAGATGGCAGAGGTGAGTTGAGATGATTCATACACAGTTAGTCAGTCGTGTATAAAATTGAAGTTCCAACATGTCCAATGATCTTTGTGGGAAGAGAAATACCCTTCTGCTTTACATTAAACTCTTGTTAACTTAGCTTTCAACTGATGACACAAAGATGACCACTCACAATCATCCATCAAACATTCACTGATCCTCTAAAGGTGTCTTAGTTACAGTTTCAGCCTGTGTTCATTCCTTTTTCTCAGAATGTGCGAGAGCCCAGCAGTGACCCCCAGCCCTGTTTAGCCACCACATCCATCCCCAAGAGTGGGAGCTCAGGAATGATCCAGTACCTGCAGTCTTGGTTCCCGGGCTGGGGGGGCTGGTATGGAGACTCCCAGGACCCAGACAGGCCTGAAGAGCTGCTGCCAAGCCCATCCTCCTGGGACATTTTAGGTGAGAGACTCACTCCGGTCTGAGGCCAGAGAAGGGCTTTTTAAAATTCCATTTAATTTGCATTATATATTCTGTTACATCATATAATTGGTGGCATAAGTCCAGACTCCGGTATAATAAATTACATGTACATCTGGTATTCTGTAGTGTTGGTTGAAATCTTATTGTGTGCCTTCTGGCTGCAGACCCTGATGATATAATGCTTCTCCAGCAGAGACAGAAGACCTGTTTGACCCGTTGGAGGACTCTCACACTCTGAACACATTCACCAGGCGAGATCACCTGTTTGCCCGGCTGGAGTTCTTACTGGAGAAGGGCGGAGTCACACTCTCCCATCAGGACAGGAGGGGGGACGCGCTGCACGAGAGCGGGGTCATCCAGTTGGAGTTCTCAGGTACACAGACACACTGTTTGGACAGATGGACACATGTTAGAGGGTTTTCTGGGTTGAGATTGCATCAATATGCCTGTTTGATCCATATCAGTGGAGTCAGACATTTTGAATGCCAATAAAATTCTCTCACCTTTATTCACTCGGGGGAGTTTATCTGAGAGCAATGCTCTCCGAGAACGTGGTGATCACATTCACACAGTTCCAGTCACACCTGGAAGCTGCCCAATACAGACAGTCTGATCACGGAGCAGATTAAGGGCTTCGCTCAAGGGAAACTCAGTGTTGGTAGTGAGGGAGAGGCAAGCGCTGCTTTTCACTTTCCACACCCAGATTTGGGAAGCTTTTAGGCCACCACTGCCACATTGGTTAGGGGTGGGTGATATGGATGAAATGTTGCTGTACCGTAATTTTGTATAACCATATGGATCAATATCATACATTCTTTTTCATTTAATATTATACAAATCAAGGTTTTTTTTTTTTATAAAAAAAATGTTGCCAAAATCCTGTAAATCCAACTCCATGTAACTTAGTAGTTAAGCTTATTGAATCGCCCACAACAACCTTGGGACATCTGATGGTTGACCGGTTGATGATCATCTTAATGTACATACAGTATATGTCATCATACTTGCCAACCTAATTGTCAATGTTCGATTTTGATAATTGATTGATCTATTGTCAAGAAAAATGTTAACCATTGTCTGGTTTAAGCTGCTTTTTCTGTTTTGTATATTTAACTGAATGTCTTCCTGTTTTGGACTGTTAATTGGACAAAACAAGACATCTTGGACCCTTGATGGGCAATTTTCACTATTTTCTGACAGTTTATTGAGAACAAAACATGAATCAAATCATTGTAAAGATAATGAACAGATTAATTGATTAATCGTTAGTTACAATCCAAGAGATTGTACAGGTGAAAAATGAAGGGCTAGAGGGTTGTATGTGATTTGTAACCCCCCTCTGTTGGTCGAGACACAAAATGACTCTACTACTCTGGATGCGTAGTCCACTGAGTTAACAGTGTTATTGTCCCATAGACTCAGAGCATGTGCACTGCTGCCTCTCATTGACTATGACCATGCTTCCACAGGGGTGAAGGTGATTTTGGAGTCCCTCCCGCGCTCTGAGTCCTCCCTGCTGTCTGTTAAGCTGGGTGGTTTGTTCCTGAGAGACTTGACTACTCAGGGCACCATCTTCCCTGTCCTGGTGTCTCCCAAAACGGTAAGCAGTGATGGACCGGGCTGGGCAGAGAGCTCATAATGTAGAGAAAAGTTTGAAAAGGTCCGAAAAAACATGATATTTGTGTTATTTTCTACTGTGTGTTGTATCATGCTTCTTGTATTTTCAACATCTGTCACTTGATGTAGGACAAAGTTGTTGTTGCCATGAGCCAGCCATCCGGCCAGTCCAGCAGTTCTTCTGGTAAGATTTCTCTTTTCCTTTTTAATAATATGTGGCACTACAAAGACAAATTCACAAAGAGCAAGCTTTTGCTTTAGAGTTGAGAATTTTATTGCAGTAAATAAAGTTCACATTTGCAAATGCAGATCTCCCAGTTGGCTGGTGAGATCTCAGAGAGAGGGACTGAATGCTGTTCAGATGAGGATACTTCTGCATATCCTTAAATACACGTTCTTTACATCATGTCCACAGTGTTTCTTTCTGTCTCTAATAATAGTTACTAATAAATAGTAATAGTTCAAGGCTTAACTTCATGACGTTGCTTCTGGCAGCACTGGTTTTGAATTTGAAGGTGAAATCCACAGCTCGCCTGACTTTTTCTTCTGCCTCACTGGTGGTGTTTGTAATAAAATGCCAGTTTGCTCAAAACTCTTTCTTTAGGTGCTTGTGGTTACAGATTTGTCTGATCGGTATATTTCATTATAAATACATAAATACATCGTTTTTTTTATGCTTATTCATCACTACACCTTACTGTAGTGTAACTTGGCCTCTGCCCAGTCACCCCTACCGAGTAGCTAAACTCTGGTTACATTGCTCACAAAATATGCACAGTTAAAAACATTATGCATTATTATACATCAAATCCAGCATGATATTGGAATAGAAAACTCCACCCTGAACAGACATTAAGTACATTTTACTACAATGTGCTGATTATAACGTTCTTTCGCTTGTCACTTGAAGTAATCGTTTGAATGCTGGACTTTTACATTTTACTGTGTACTGTATTCATAGTTGTACTATTAATAGTTAATAGTTTTACCTAAGAAACATTTTTGGGTACTTCTACCACTGCTAATACCAACATTCCCAGGGCCTTTACCTGGGTCCTTCAAATCACTAAATCTGCCCCTGAAAAACATGCCCAGGTCAGAAGGTTGGTCAGAAACATCAGTTTGATCAATTTTCGTTAAAGTTTATTAATATTGAACATGTCGCGTGTCCAAATTGCACTGAATTCGACAAAGCACTCCCGTGGGTCCCCAACAACCCACTAAGTGTGAAGTAGAATGGATGAGCGGTTCTCGAGGTATGTGAATGACATACAGAAAGGCAGCTTGCTATGCTGTTATTCTGTCTTGGTCTGTGTGTAATGACATAGCAAAGAAAAGGCTGACATGTGTTTTAAATTGGAGACTGATGGTTAAATCATCGAGTCCATCCAAAATGTTCAGTCTGTGTGCTGTAATGACATATCCAGCCTCTAGGGGCACTTACAGGGCTTTTGACTCTTAGTTTTGTTTATAAGCTACAACATCTTTTACAGTATGGATGTGAGAATAATCCAATTCTGGTGGCAGTGTGAGCATTAACGCACCATACTCCCACCAGCTTTCAATGAATACATACCAGTTTGTTTTGTTTTTGTGTTGCCAGGATGCAATGCAGAGTGCTCACCATCACCAGTGTTTGAGATGATTTATGAGCGTAACCCTGTGAGGTGTAAGTTTGAGAGGAGACTGGAAGTGAACACTAGTCCATTGAACATCATCTACAACCCACAAGCAATCAAGAAAGTGACTGAGTTCTTCTATAAAGGAAGAGTTCATACCTCAGGTAAGTACTGAACCGCACTACCCCTTTTTGGAGTGCATACATACATTTTGTAATGTAAATACATTACTCAGCACAATTTTATGGACATTATAGTCACAGACAGATACTCTAACGGTTTTAATTTTAAGAAGGAAAGTTTTTTTTTTTTTGGTTTTTTTTTTCATACTCTTAGTCTCTCTTTATACCAATCTGCATCTGAGCTGTTTTTAAAAGTAAAATAAACCGATTTAAAGAAGTAAAACACTAAACAAATTCAAAGGATAAGGAAGGTAAGGGATTGTTGTGCAACAATGCAGAAAAAATTACTGTCCTCAAATTTAATTCCAAGTGGGAATTTTCAAATGTCCCACTAAATTTGATAACAATTCTGATTATTAAAAAATACATTTATGTGTGAACTCTGATAAGAAAAGTATAGAAATGTTTAAAATCTTTCACCATAGCTTCAAAGAAACATTACTCACCTGAATTCTGAGTTCATTCAAACCAAGTAATAGTAGTATCATTTCTCATTTACTTCTGATACATGTGAATACCAGCAGATTTCTGTATTTGAACCATTAGGTTTTGGATATCAGTCAGAGCTGGAGCTGAGAGTGGCAGAGGCTGCCAGGAGGCAGTACAATAAGCTGAAGATGCAGACCAAGGCAGAGATCCGACAAACCATTGATCAGCTACTCGTGGGAGAGTTTATCGTAAGAGTGATTCACTGGATGTGACATGAGACAATTGGCAGTTGAATCGGTTCTACATGCCACTGATGTGTTTGCTTTGTAGGAAAACAGTAAGCGTTGGACCATGAAATTGGACATCTGCGCACCCCAGGTGATTTTCCCTGATGACTTCCAGTCAGAGGACCCAATGCTAGTTGTTGTTGATTTAGGCAGGATTCTTCTCACAAACTCTCAAGGTAAAACAGACAACCATTTTACCAAATAAAAGATAAAAATGAAGGACCCAAATATCTTCATTCTTTTGCTTATAGAGGTTTGTAACTCAGGTCATACCTGTTGTTCTTCCCTTTCTTTGAAGATGACACTAAGGCCAGCTCAGAGGTTACTCAACCTGAGAGGGAAGACATGAGTGATGATGAGTACCAGACACCTCTTGCCACCCCGCCAGAGTCTCCACCACCTGAACTAGACATGCCTTCAAAAGAAGAGCTCAAAAACCCTGACCTTCCCAGCCTCAGATCCCCTGAAAGTACACAGGCCTACAGCAGAAAGCTTTACGAAAAATACTCCCTGTCCTTTAAGGATCTCCAGATAATGGTTGGTCGCTGTAAGGACAACTGGAAACATCTTCAAGAGAGTGAGGTAGGGCCTACTCACGTGGTAGAGAAGTTTAATGTGCTGCTGCAGCTTGAGCAGAGACTTCGCTACACATCAGACCCCCAGCTCCCTGGGGCTGTGCTGTCAGGGACTCTACCAGACCTCAAGGTCCATATCAACCTTGAGAAGATGACTGCACTTAGGAGTTGTCTGGCTAGGCTTAGCAGTCCATCTGTGAGTGAAGGGGACAAAAGCCAAGAGAGAAGCCCACATATAAGGTCACCTGACCCCCTTACCCTCCGTCATGACAAGATTTTTCAGAGGGAGGACAGCTCCTGGAAGCTGCAAGGCTCAGCCAAGAACCTGACCCAGAGCGTGATGACTTTAGAGCAGCACACACGTGAAGTCCTGGTGGAATCCCGTCTACTATTAGCTGAATTCAACATTAACTACATGCAGCTTGGTGTAGAAAGCGACGGCCGCTACATATCTGTTCTCAAGGTATTTGGCACAAATGCTCATTTTGTCAAGCGCCCTTATGATGCGGAAGTCTCTCTGACTGTCCACGGTCTTCTGCTGGTGGACACCTTACAGACCTATGGCTCAGACTTCGATCTCCTTGTGGCTTCTCATAAGAATCTCAGTTTTGACATACCCACGGGCAGCCTCCGTGAGAGCCAGCCTTCGTCCCCTGTGTCTTCTGATGGCAGGTCCCCTGAGCATCAGGGCCATCATACGGAGTTGTCCTCTGGTATGCCCATGGATAGAATCTCACCCTTCAGTTCTTTTCTTAAAGACCAAGAGGCCCTCATTAAGCTTGAATACCAGTTTGTGAGCTCAGACTGCCCCTCCATGAACCTGGACAGCTCCCTTCAAGTGACAAGCATGCAGGTCAATAACTTGGACATCATTCTCAACCCTGAAACCATGGTAGAGCTGCTCAAGTTCCTCCAGAAGTCTTTTCCCAAAGAGGAAAGCACCTGGACATCGTCAGCGCAACAACACACAACACAGCCTTGCAGTGAGGAAGGGGAGGGTACATATCAGGCCACCTATGACCAGAACAAAGAGCTGACCGTGGAGATCCACCGTCTGAACCTGCTTCTCCTTCGGACCGTGTCCACTGGAACTGTCCTGGGTGCTGAGAAGAAAGGGTTGAAGATTGCCACTGCCAGCATCACTGGCACCAAGGTCAATGTGTCCATGGGCAGTCGGTTGGACATCAATGGTTCACTCGGGTCCATGCAGTTGGTGGACCTGACCCAGGAAGGAGGCAGAAGTCAGTTTGTGGTCAGCATTGGTAGTGCTGACAGTTCCTCAACTCTCGGCGGCATAACATTCCTTGCTGACACAGGAGGTTCTCCCTCAGAAGCTTTAGATTTTCGCCTTATGGAAAAATCCCAAGGAGAGTGTTCCTTGCAACTTCAAATGGCATCCTTGCACTATAACCACTCAGCCAAGTTCCTCAAGGAGCTGAGTCTGTCTGCTAATGAGGTAGAAGACAATTTCCGCTCCATGCTGAAAAGTGCTGCCACAAAAGTGTCAACAGTTCTAGCCACCAAGACGGCAGAGTACAGTGGTAGGGTTTCGCTCTTTGAGACTCCCTCGCGGAGAACTCGAACTCAGAGTCAGAGCTGGCCTTATCCATTTGAGGAGGAGGAGGATCTTCCAATGGAAGAACCTGAATCCTCCTTAGACACATTCTTGGTGAAGCTGACCCTTAATATCAGCATTGAATCACCAGTTGTGTCCATTCCACGTAAACCTGGACACCCTGAGCTCTTAGTTGGTCACCTGGGCAGCATAACAATCCAGAATTTTGTTACTGGGCAAGACTCCGAAGGAGAGAGGTTGCAGGTGTTGGTGAGGGATATTCGACTGTATTCAGTCAACATGAGTCATTTGGTGTTGAAGAGGGCACTCAGAGGGGATAAGGCTGGCAGCATGTCACCATCCCGCAATGGAAGCATCAATCAGGATGAACCACAGTTCACACGTCATGACTTCTTTGAATCCCTCAGCCGTGGAAAAGGTGAGAATGTTACAAATCTGTCCAAATGTGCTTGGTAATGCAAATAATGCAAGCATATGTTTTATATGCAGCTTGTGATACATGCTCACATAATCCACTTTCTTCATCAGCTTTCCATATATTGAAAGACACCACTATACAGTTCACCCTGGAGAAAGTTCCCGTTGATGAAGACACACAGTTCTCCTTCCTCACCGCAGAAGAGCCCTGCAAGAGCACAGGGTTACTGAGAATTGAGGGCAAATTTGTCAACCCTGTTCAGGTATACACTATATCAATACTGTAAATTCTCAAATAATATACAAGTCTCAAATACTAGCAGTATTTGTATAGTTTCCAACTTTAACTAAGAAACATCAGTTCCAAGTAAAGGCCTTGTGAAAAAGAGGGAGTTAGCTTTATTACAATGGCTCTGCAGTAAACCACAGCACTTATCCATCAGTACAACAGAGTCATGTTATACTGTAATCACCACTCTGCTGCTCTCTTATTCTTTTTAACAGATATGCTGTTCATATTCACTCTTTATTTCCAACCTACTGTACCATTATTTCCATTATTGTTAAACTACAACGGTTATTGTCAATTTTTTTAACAAAGGCCTCCAGGAAAGAGATTATTTCCATTAAGCTACTGCAACGTTCTTAATGTGATCTATGCAGGAAGTGTTGAGTTTCATTTATTTTAACTTTGCACTGAATGAAAAAAACGACAAGTAGAACAACTGGAATTATTTAGAAAGTGATTGTTTTCACTTTGGTAAAAAGAGCAATTCAGAGCAACAGATCGTGAGTATAACATGACTTCTGCTGTAGAATAATGCTATGGACATGAACCTTGTCCTGAATTAATCAAGACAACACATAAGCAGGTAGTGTGGAGTTTGCATCAACAGCAAATCAAAAGGCTTCTTCCTGAAGTAAACTGGGGAAAATTAGGACTAACGTCTCTAATATAAACCTGTTTTAGACAAAGGCCTGGTTCCTTCTGTAGTTGAAATTGATAAAAACCCCAGACAATATGTGATCATTTAAAGTACAGTATAGTAGATTACATTGCAACTTAAAGTAACTTTAGATGTAGCAGCCATCTTCACACTCGACTTAGAACAGAATCTTTGATCAAAGTTTTTCAAGGCTCTGCACATCCATGGTAAACTCTCACTGGTGGTAATAATAATGGTTTTAGCTCATTAGACCACATATCATCAGCTCTTATTAGGGCAGGACACATCACACTTTTATTATTGCTATTAAAGTATGGAGTTTGGTGACCATCCAGCATAGCTCCACCACCCCCTCTAGTTGAACAGAGGTCTAATCAGCCAGAATATGTGAAAACATCTGTTCAATGAAGTTTTTGATTTGGGTTTACTGACTGGTTATTAATTGTATCAATATTTGACACTCTGGTTCAAGGTGTTCCTGTGCAAGCCTGTGTATGAACAAGTCCTCCAGACACTGGACAATTTGTCCTTGATTGAGGAGCAACGTGTCACACCCAGCCAACCGCCCACACCCCCTCCACCAACTCCTTCCTCCACCAGACCACACCGTTTTCCTGACCCCCAGGGAGGGCTTTTTGCCAGGGACCCTCCCTATCTCAGCTTTTCCCACTCGCCGCTCTCCTCCCCTTTGCCTCTACAGTCTCACCAACCCGCTCTTCACACCTCATTCACCCAGCTAAAAGTCACCTTACATGTGGCAGAACTGCAGGTCCAGCTCAGTGCAGATCTGACTCAGGGCTCCCAGGGCTTGGTCAGCCTGCGCTTCCAAGATCTGGAGGGAGACTTTACCAAAGACCACCCTCATCTACTGGCAGTCCAGCTGGCTCTGCGCTCGCTGCTAATGGAGGACCTCCTGGAACAGAACCCTGAGTCTAAGTACAAACATTTGATGGTGTCTCGCGGAGCACCCAAGCCCTCCACCTTCAGTCCAAAGGAGTACCTTTCCCAAAGCTGTCCATCAGCATCCAATGCCCTGTTCCCAGACATGCCCCGCTCCCTGCCTGCTCACATGGAAGAGGCCCAGAACGTCTTCCAGCTCTACCAGAGGCATCCCAGCACCCCTTCAGCTAGCAGTCGCAAATCCAAGAGGGACCCGGAGTGTCCCAGCACTCCACCTCCCTCTCCTACCCACCGTACACCGTCCCCCCAGCCACCCCCAGACTTTGATGACTCTTTAGTTCATATCAATGTGCTGCTGGTGGACCAGAACCACCCAGAGTTCACAACACGCTATGGCAGAGTGGGCCGAAGCGTGGACGTTGACTTTAACTGCCTGGACGTTTTGATCACACTGCAGACCTGGGTGGTTATCCTAGACTTCTTTGGTATTGGCTCCACGGCCAATAATCATGCAGTGAAAGTGCCCCCTATGTCACCTCCTGCTGAGCCCGGACATCCTCTGTACGAGCCAGACCTCAGTGAGGAGGAGACCACAGAGGCCGTCAACACTAAAGTGGACCTAAAGGTAGGTCACTGGACCGAAATGGCTAGCTGTGCAATAGATGCTGAGAGGCTAAGCCCTGCACTCGCTGAAACACCAGAGGATATTAATGATGGCGCTTTGGTGATCCACTGACGTTTCCTCCAGCAACACAGCAGGTTCACAGTTTTGAGTGAAATATCTCAAAACGTTTAGATAGATTTGCAAACTATTACTCGATAGTTATAGTATATATGACTGTAGCGGCTTTATTTCACAGAGACATTCTCTATAATGACGGATTATTGGATGGTTATACATCATCATGTGTGGCGAATACTAACTTATTCCTCTGAAAGTGTTTCATTGTTATTTCTAGTCTCTCTCTGCTTTTCTTGGTGTGACTTCCAATGTCAGCTCTGAAGTAAATGTTTGATGATTAAACCTGTCCATGTTTTCATTTTAGGTCCATTCTTTGTCTCTTGTACTAAACAAGAAACTCAACGAGCTTGCCAGAGCTAGTGTGTCCAAATTATCTGCTCATCTGGAAATGTTGGGTGCGTATATTTACCTTGCTTCAATAAGAAAACAGCCCTTCACACAACATCATTGTCTTCTATGTAAATTGATTGACTCGTAAACATAATTAGATGTTTAATGTTACTAAATGATATCTTGTGATATAGATGGTGACCTGGCTTTACAAGGCAGTTTAGGAAGTTTGTCTTTGAGCGACCTTACCCCACATGGTAATCTCTACAGAGAGCGCTTCACCACACGAGGAGGGGAGGCTCTTATTTTCAACATCCATAAGTATACATCACAGAACAGAATTATTCTGCATGCCACTGAAAAATCTGTCTTTCTTTGACTCACCTTTGTTTCCTGGTCCATTCAGGTACGGCCAGCCTGATCCTTACCTGGAGCGGGAATGTGACATCAAGGTGTCTTTGCAGATGGCCTCGGTGCAGTACGTCCACACGCAGCGCTTCCAGGCTGAGGTGGTGGCCTTCATCCAACATTTCACCCAGCTACAGGATGTCCTGGGCCGGCAGAGGGCTGCAATGGAGGGCCAGGCTGTGAGTGCTCCAGTTTGCACCAACATCATTTGATTGTAGTTTGATAGAGCTTGATTCAGATGGCATGCATGCAGGTCCAACATACACTACCATTCCAGTTTCTACAAAGCTTGATTGGTTCCAGTCAGATGTCTGCTTGAATGGTCTTTCATGCGTTTAGCTAGCTTTACTAATAGATGGCATGTTGTTTAATAGAATGGAGAACAAAACGCTGTACAATGGTTCAACTAGACCAGGGGTCGGCAACCTGCGGCTCTTTTGCCTCTCTGCGGCTCCCTGAGTCTACATCAGAGGTCCCAGGAATTAAAACCGATAGATAATTCGGAATTATACATATTGGACACCGAGTTTAAACTTTAACCGGCGCCTCTTATTCAGCCGTTACGGCATTTGTTCGGCGGTGCAGGAAACACACCGACCAATGCGTTATAAATCACATCACGTGATGCAGCTCAGCCAATCAAATATGGATATTCTGACAAGTTTCCTGACTCGAGCGAGGTTTACACACACGTGACACACGGGGCTGAGACGAGGAAATAGAAAGAAGAGCAGGGAAATTGTGCTAATCGAAGAAGTTATCTCACATGACGTTCTCCAAAAAGAGAAACATGTTCAGAGAGAACATAATTTATAAGCAAGAAGGAACAGACTCTTATATGTTAATTATTCCCATAGGCAGTTAACTCCTCTACCTCTGTCAAGTGCTTTTCCCTGCAGGTGGCTAATCATGATTTTCAGACCCCCGCCCTCTGTAAACTATCAATGGATAAATCCAAAAAAAGAAAAGTCACGGAGGAAAATAGAGAGTTTAACTCTGCGTGGACGTCTTCATTTGCTTTCACTGCCAACGACGCCGACCCCTGAACTAGACCGACAATTTAAAGGCAGAAAGAGACAAAGATCCTCTGAGCAACAGTTGAATACAAAGAGAAGAAATCAGCAGTCTTTGGTAAAACAAACTGGAAGCAGACTTAACTAGGAACAGCTTCCTGTTTCGGTGTCAAGTGTTTCAAAATAATGCAGCCTAGAACAAGCTTTAATATTTACTTCACAATAGAAATAGAAGGTTATTGTAGGGTTAGCACTATTGGAATATCAGCTGAACAAATCACAGTTTAAGCCTCTTCAGTCTAACTGCCGAGTAGAATACAGAGAGACTCAATATTTAGAGCCCAGCTGCACCGTTGTGGATCAATAATGATCGAGGGTCACTGACGCTTTTCTGGATTCAAAAGTACTCTCCTTGCCAAAACAATGTAAATAATGATTTGGTCCGAGTTATACTGTTTATATCTGTTGAAATAGTCGGTTCCAAACTTTTGAATGGTTGTATTTATTATTCAGCAATATTTTGATGTCAGAATAATATTTTTCTGCTGTTTCCAGCTTAACTTATTCTCTAAATTGAATTTTCTCCTACTCTTCCCCCCCCCCCCCTCTCTTGTCCCTTTCCTCTCTTCCTCCAAAACCTGTCCTCTCTGTCTTCTGTCTCCCTCTGCAGGTGCGTGATCATCCTCAGCGGGCTTCCAGGGTTCTGCTGGATATTGAGGCTGGAGCCCCGGTCATTGTCATTCCAGAGAGCTCGTGCTCGCCAAGGGTCATTGTGGCCAACCTCGGTCAGCTAAGGGTGCAGAACTGCTTCCTGCCAGCTGGGGCTCATGGGACTTTTTCCCTCCGAGACAAGGTAGAGAAACTCACCATGGCACATGCCTTTTTCCCTTCTCTGGTGAGTCCCACTGCTGTTCATCCATCCATACAGTGTGCCCTGGCTGTCTTTTCTCTAACTCTGAATTCATGTATGCATTGAATGATGTGACCCAACTTAAAACATTCACGCCAGCTTTTGATGCTGCCAACATACCACATACTGGGCTTCCTGTTTGAAAACCAATTGGATGATGATTTCTCATCATCTTCTTATTTATTATAAATAATTGACCTTATTATGTAAATCTGATCTGAAATGATCAATGAATACCTGATGGTTTACTGGAATATGCTTCAATAAGTAAACCTTGTCAACAACTCTAATGGTCCTTGGTGTTGTGTAACCACTCACTTGTTAAATGTCATGTTTTAAAGAAACAGCCCAACATGAATGATATTATGCGTGTTGGCTATCTTACTGAGCATCAGAGGAGAAGACTGAGGTTCAGCCCTCTTCTTCAAACCTGGCTTAACTAATGCAGACACAGTTGAAAGATTGATTTGTTCATCTTGGATGACGGTACCTTGATTAGTAATGCACTTTTATATTGAAACAAAGCCTGAGGTCATCAAATACCGTCACTTTGTCACACCACACTGCATCTTGACTGAGAGACCATTGAGCGTCTGAATGATATAGAGCAGCGGTATTTGATGACTAGTGGGTTGTTACATTACTTGTTGTTACAACTTCTGAAAAGTAAAACATTTGCACATTCATAAATGCAGGTCCTTTCAATGGAGATGGAGGAGATGTGCTTCTAAGGTTATTGCCTTTTTCTGTGGAAAAACCATATCAAACACAAATGAGCAGAGACGTCTTAAAGCATATCTGATAAGTGTACCAGTTGGTACCGTTTTTTACATTTTCTTATTGTATTGATATTTTATACTACTACTGCATAAGTCCTGTCAGACTTAACTTGTTCTTTTCCAACATCATGATCATGTCAAAATGTTTCTAATGATTCAATGTATATAGAGTTTATCTTGAAATCCTGGTCATGACCCAGTTTACTGTGAATAAGTTAGTTTGGGTTTAAGCCTCTGACCACGTCTACATTTTAAGCCACCTTTGAAGAAGCCAGGCTTGTCAACAGTCGCATGAAGCTAACTCCTGAGGTGTGAAGAAGCGGGACCTGCTCACACAGCCATTTGTTTGGGAGATAAGTGGTCTTGGAAGGAGAACACTACATAAATGTTGTTTTGGTCTTTCATCAGCATCTTGTGTTTTTTTGTGAAGAATTTTATACTGCATGCAAATTCATACAAGGATCCATTCCATTACAAGGTACAATAGCATGCTTTTGCTTTGGAGTGAAGAAGAGTTGTCACAATATAATTGTTTTACTTTTCAATTTTTGTCCTTCACCAAGTTTCACAGTACCAGAAACTATCCAAATAACACACTACAGACAGCTGACAGATGACAGTACATGTCAATGAAAACAGTTAACTGCACTTGGTAACAGTTTTGAGATGTGAGAGCATTTGGTTTGTGTTGACATTCATAATGCTCCTGTATTTCAGAACCTCTGCTGATTTGGTGTTACATTGCTTTAGTTGTAAACATCGTCCAGCCCTGAGGCCTGTACTACCAAGCAGGATTAGAGCTTATCCAGGTTTTCAGTTCCATGACAGAGTTCACTTCTTACCGGGGTAAATCACCACGGTTACTTACGCTAAACAACTAATCTGCTTTGGAGCAGGTTAAATTTGAGATTAGAGATTAACTTGTATAAAGGCTCCGCCTACTGACCAATCACAGCTCGGTACCTGGATTCTTAGATAATATTACACAAGTACGAAGACATTTAAGTCATAATTCAGTTTAAACAGACAAATGCAGAAAGGACAGCTGGCAATAAATCACTGACAGTGTGAATGAACAGATTTATAATATCAATGCTTCATCTAGAGCACCACAGATCTGACTATAATTTCATGTGTGTATTATATTAAGTTCATGTGTTGCAGATGTATTCTGATGGCGTGTGACAATATTTTAGCCGTATTCTTTCCTCTGTAACCCCGGTGGTGTGAAACAGACAAATCAGTATATATTCTCTCATCATATATTCATTATGTGTGAGCCATGTGTTGTAGTGTGACGTGTTGGAGTCCTGTCTACACTCACACACTGGCTGCAGCGTTACTCTGCTGCGGTTACCTCAATGTTTGCTGTGGGTTATTATAAGTTATGGAAGGAAACCTTCTTACCATGAATTATGTTTTTATATTTGTTGGAATGATGTTAAGCATTCCAGGATAACTATTGTTATCCTGTTTCTCTTTATTGTTGGAATGCTGTTAAGCATTCCAACAATTGTTATCCTAATCTTTATTCTTCTTTTTATTATTATATTTCTTCCGTCCCACCTCTTCTGCTCCTTCATATTTTAAGCTACAGAAACCGTTAAACTATCAATGTTCAGCTCTTTAATGACATTTATGCTATGACTTTTCATATTTCTATCTGTTATGCTTTATGAATTATTAAGCTTTTTGCAATTTTTATTTTGAATGGGATTTCAATGGAGAAAATGTTCAAATCCTCTTAAACTTCTTCAAATTTCAAATCCTTCAACTTCCTCATATTTTCAGCTACAGACACCATTTCAACTTTAAAATGTTGAGAAAACCCTGATCTATTGCCACATTATTCAGCATTTTTATATCTTTTACACTTTTTGAACTGCAGCAATTTAACTTTTATGATTGTTCAGCCCTTTTCTGACTTTATAATGGGTGTGTATTGCGCAGCTTAGAGTGCGTGATGTCACCGCTAGAGTGAAGAGCAGCTTGAGATTCTTGTGAAAAAAACATTTGTATTTTGCCACTGTGTCCACAATCTTCACTCTTCATGCATAATTTTCGATGGAGAAGTAGCTAATCTTGTCCTTGTCGTAGACAAATGACTGTGGAATCCCACAGATTTACACATTTGACACAGAATGACTAATTGAGAGGAAAACCAAATTTCTGCTCCATAGAGGCCAATGTTAAATTTTGCTTCAACAACATCTTCCACAGAACACGGTACCCCATTTCTAGATCGCCAGTTCAGCCACATTTTTTACACTACAGACACAATTTTTACAGGATCTGTTCTTCAACTCATCCTTCCTCTCATTTATTAATATCGGAGCAATAGGAGCTACGGTTATGGGAGTTTTTAGGATTTGTTTGAGAGGTGTTTCTCTGTTTTATCTCCATGAAAAGGCTGCAAGGACACAGGTGTTTCTGATTAAGCTAATTATTGATGTTGACAGACTCACAGACACACACGCACTCCTCTCTCTCTCTCTGTATGTATCTCTCTCCCTCTCTCTCTGTGTCTCTCTCATACAGTCATTCAGGTCTTACAGCTTTTTACAGGACCCCCCCCACACACCCCATTTCAAAATAAAAGCCCCACAGAGTGAATTCTAACTGGAATGCTTGTGATGAAGCCAGTCATTTAATAACCTCTGTTTATGTGTGTCAAACATTAAGATTGTCTCTTCTCCCGCACCCAGTCCCACCCTTTCAAAATAAAAGCCCCACAGAGTGAAATCTAACTGGAATGCTTGTGATGAAGCCTGTCATTTAATAACCTCTGTTTATGTGTTTCATACTTTCTGATTCTGTCTCCTCTCCTTTCTCCCCCACCCAGCCCCACTCTTTCAAAAATAAAAGCCTCATGGATTAACTGTATTTAAAAGTTAAGCTCAAAATTAGGCTTTTTTGTTGAAAAACGTAATGCTCTGACTAATACTGCGACAACTACTACTGCTGCTGCTAATATAGTATTACTACTACTGCTACTACTTCTACTATAACTTTTGCTGTTGCTACTATTACTACTACTACTACTGCTACTTATTCTACTGCCATTACTATTACTAATATAACTACTTCTACTACTACTACTGTTATATTAAATACTACGACCAATACTACAGCTATTACTACGACTACTGATACTACTACTTCTAATACTTCTACTGCAACTACAACTTCCACTACTACAATTATCACTACAGGACTTTTCCCTTTCAAAATGTTCAGCTCTTTCAGGAGAGGGGTGCTTTGACTTTTCATATTTGTAATCTTTTAACTTTTTGAAATATTAAGCTATTTGCAATTTTTTTAATGGGATCTCTATGGAGAAAATCTTCAAATCCTGTTAAACTTCTTCAACTTTCAAAGCCTTCTTCTTCTCATACTTTCAGCTATAGACACCATAGTTAGACATTTCAACTAGAAGGGTTTTCAGCAGTGCAGTTTAAATGCTTTCAAGCTTCAACATTTTTCAGACAGGTAGTCACCCATTTCTTAATTTTCAGCAATGTTTTTGCAATTAATTTCAGATTTCAGCATTCCAACGCATTTTCAGCAGGAAATGCATTTTCTAGTTTGAATTGTTTTCAAGTCTGTTTCACACCAGCGGCCTAACGGCTGAAAGAATAAGAATACATCCAAGCAACACATGAACTTAGAGAATAAACACATGTAATCATAGTCAGATCTATGGTGTTCTATATGAAGCAGTGATATTATGAAGCTATTGATTTAAACACATTCACACTCAGGGATTTCTTCCAGCTGTCCTTTCTGAATTATGTGTTTATCTTTTACATATTCCTCTGATATCATAGTTTTCTCTTTATTTGTAAAATGTGTCCAAGGTTGTGATTGGTCAGATGCTGCAAACAGGCGCTCACAACCAGATTGAGAGAAGCTGGTGGATTTACTGAGACGCTTAGTGGGATCATGGTTGTTAGGGTTAGTTAAGCCAGATAATCTAAAGATGTTGAACCTGCTTCGTGAAACAGGCCTCTGGTTTGCAGTTTGCATGTTTGCGGTTGGTTATGTGATGGACTGAGCTTTCTGCAGTGGGTGTTGCATATATAGTTTATTAGGAATACACCAACTTTCCAAGTTCCTTGGATGTGTTTGTGTTGTGTGATTTTTGACAAGGTTTTATTTAGATTTCTCACAATCTACATCATATACAAAGACCCACAATCCTAACAACAAAGCAAAGCAAGACAGTAAAAGTAGAGCCTAAGACTACACACGCATCAACCTCAGTACCTTCAACAGGCAGCTCTTATGATACACTGTCCCTGTCTTCAGTCATGTACTATGTATATTGATCAGAGAACTTACTTGCAGAAGTTGGTGTATTTTTTTGATACAGTTTGATCTTAGAATAATGGTGTTTTGGAATTATTACTGTGCTGTCATTGAGAATGTTCAACATACAAACAAATAGGTCAACTAATTCCTTTGGACAAAGGTGGACTTCCTATTGAAGTTACAGTACCAGCCGTGGAAAAGACGAACCCACTGCTGTGTTGAATCGTTCTTGCTGGCTCAGGAGATAATGGCACAATGTCAAAGGAGAATTCAGTGAGCTATCACCTTTAGCAAACTGTAGGAACATTAACAGACACATGTGTTCTCTTACCTTCATCTTACATACATTGGCACAAATACATGCCCCAGCCCTCCCATGCCATCAGTGTTAGTACAGTGCTCGACGTTAAGAAGTTGAAAATGCTGTGATGTGAAGAGATTGGTAACGTCTTTCCAGTCGTAAAATGAAGCAGAGAAACGGAATCATTAGTATTTATTAAAACAATGGCAAATTTTGTTGTGTGTATTTTGAGTTTTAAAAAAGAATCCTCTGAATTGTGAGGATGTAATGTGCATATTGCTAACTGGACTTAATGTGCAATTGTATGTTTTTCCTCTTTCCTTTGTCTTGAAAAAGGAGCGTGTCCAGAAATCAGCAGAGAAGAGAAGTGAGCAGGAGAAGCCTCGGACCCCCCCATCCACCTCCAGCTCCTCTTCCTCCACAGGGTTTACCCTTGGCAGGCCACAGGTCCCAGACACATGGAGGGCCACTGAGGGGGATGAACCTCACAGCTTAGGTTAGCATGGCTGTGTAGTTTGATGAAATGCCTACAGTGTATCTACTCCTGAGAAACTCTTACAATAGCTGTTTGTGCCATCTGGTGTGTTTTCCCCGTCAGAAGAGCATGTGTGCCTGCTGGACTGCATTGCTCTGGACCTGCAGGAGATGGATATCTTTGCTGCAGAGCGTCTGCCCTGTCAGCCCAGGGACAGTGGTGGTAAACCTCCTGAGTCCTCAGACCTCATCTTTCCTTCGTACTCTGTGCGCCGCACCGGAGACAACCTGCTGAAAGACTGCTGCCGTCTCAAGCTTAAAGTGGAACGCAACCTGGACAAGTATGTCCTGCTTTTTACTTCGTCGTGGCAGAAGTTATGGCCTCTTTATAATGAAATCATGTTGACGGTTGTGGTTCTGCACATGGTCACGGGTTGTTCGTCCATCTGTCCTCAAACGGTCAAATTCAATGTGACCTCTGGTCTTGTTCCATTCTCCTGAGCGATATCTCAGGAACCCAAACGGCAACTCAAACTCAAGGTTGATCTGATTAGATTTTGGTGGTCAAAGGTCACTGCGACCTCACAAAACATGTTGTTGGCCATAACTTAAGAAATGAAATGCCAATTAAGACAATTTGGAGGTTTTGGGAGACATTAATGTAAACTGCATTCTGAGGAATACAACAGTGAGCCTGTATGGCTTTTTTTCGTCAGGGGTATCTGTGTGTCTGTGGAAAATACTTGATAGAAACATTATACTTTGTACATATATATACTTTAGTGTACGCCTCTTACTGCACAACAGTCAGCTAGTGGCCCGTGGGCCAAAACCAGCCCTCCAATAACAACAGTATGAAGCAGGTCACTTTCTATCCTGTGTGGATAACCAATCATACAAGTAACTCTTTTTATTTACTAAAGATGACACCAGCTGTCTGATACAAACATTTTTATAAATCAATTAATCAATCAAATATTCTTGAATGTAGAGATGTCCTAAGGATTGGCATCTGTGCTGAGCTGGTCAGATTTTAAAGGATCTGTTTCGGCTAAAACCCAGTCCTTCAATGAACTGTGTTCTGTCTCTGTCCAGACTTTACTGCTATAACTTATGAGAGATAATAGAGCATGGTAATGGCCATCATATACATTAATCATAATGTTCTCAGCCCTTATGCTCTCTAAACTTTCAACATTTGACTCGGCACCTAACCAAAACATTGTTTATTTCAGAAGAAGAACTTGACACACACTGCTGAGCTGCATCTCAAATTAATATTCAGGTTCCCAGCTTTCAGATTATGGCACTTCTATTGAGCATAAACTGTTGACCTGCTATCTCCCCCTAACAATCACCTCCCCCCATAAAAAGGATAATATGTCTATGGTAAGACTTGAGCAATCCACTGCTTGGCTCAGAGCTTTAGTGCCTCATGCCTCTTGTTTCTGAATATTGGGGATGGCCTATGGAGAGCAGTAGTTCACAAAGAGACTGGGCCTACTTTACTTTGATACATAGCCCTTTTCTCTTTCAAAAAAATCAGTAGTTATTAATGTACCCAGTGTCAGTATAGGACCATACTCATAATCCAAACTCAGGCTTGTGTTCGTGATTGTTGTCAGGGAGCTGAGCCATGCGGTACCTGACATGTCCATCCACGGCAGCCTTTCCTCAGTACACTGCTCTCTGGACCTGGAGCACTACCAGCTGATCAGAGGGCTGCTAGAGAACAACCTGGGAGAGCCTGTTGAAGATTTCCTGAGACCCTACAACCTACAGGACCCCAGCACCTATGTGAGAGACCAACCATCGGGACAGTTTACTGCAGTCCGTCGACATCTTTGTAGCAACACTGATGTCTCTTCTCTGTCTCTTTTAATGATCGTTTTGTCAATTGCATGTCATTTTTCCAAATAATCCTCTGTATGTCCTAGTTGATGGACTGATGTTTTGTCTCTGCTCAGACGGTGTTAGGTGGAGATGTCTACACCAGCTTGTCATTCCTGGTGGACATGATGGGTGTCAGTCTGGAGCTCTTGGACAGCCCCACACCCACAGAACATAAGCGCTCATTAGCAAGGTGGGCCTTTTCTATCTTCTTAAATAACAACAGGGTTGTAAGAAAATATCAATATACTTTATTGAGTTTTTAATTAATAGTTTACACAAACGGTTGCTCAGATAGAATAAACAGTAGAGCTATGATGTTGGATGTTACAGGGGCTGCAGATCCAACTGTTCTGATTGAAGACAGTGTATGTTCTTTATACTATATTTTCATAAAATGAAATTTTGAAAAATTGCGAGATTTTGCCTTGCTTCAACATATTGAATAGTAACCCCTGTATCATGATACGGATCATATCTCCAGATTCTTGCCTGTAACCTTTTGGGAAAGGACAACCCGCTCTATCCATTAATCCACAGCCACCTTGAATAATAACTTGTGTTTTAAATGATAGACCGTGGGACAGATGGTAAATCTCCGGGTAGCCCTGCACTAAAACCATCAACTTCTCCTCCATATGTACTGTGGACTAATAACATTTACGGAGGAAATGATTGGTTGTTCCTCGTCACATGGCATGCAGTGCGTGGTGCTGCTTCCAAAAGTTCAGTGTGTGTATTTAAGGTTACAAGACATTATTTAACGATGCCAACAAGCATTACACGTGCAGCCAAAGCCATAGCTGGAACAGTAAAATATGTGTAGCTAAAAAAAACCTTATAGTTGTCAATTCACAATCATTTGAAAAATCTCCCCTGACGCTGAGCTCTGCAAAATTCCAACACATGCACTTACATTTTATATCATTTATCGTGTACACTGTTACACATTACCTAAAAGTCAGCAAGCTGCCTTCTCTCAAGACCAATGACATAAGAAGAGCAATGTTTCTGTCTGTGACGAAACATCTCAGAACAGTTTCAAACGCCTGCTCACAGACGTGTTTCAACCAGGAAATTCAAATTCTGACAGCTTCCACTAAACGGCGGCTGTGACTCAGGCGGTAGTTGTCCACTCAGTGCAGGGTTGGCAGTTTGATCCCCCGCTCTTCCTGTCCACTTAAATGTTAAATGGTAAAACACTTTGGAATAAAAGTGTTTAAGTTATTGATATTAATGCAAAACATTTACCATCACCATTTAACTACTGTAGCTGTAAACACTGTGATAGTTTAACAACATCTGCTCAGTCATTTTGAATAAAATGTGGTCAGATCTTGGGCAGACTAACATACACTTTCATTCAGTTATTGTAATGTTCAACAAAGTTCTGGTATATTTTCATATAGCTAGTTCATCTATAACCTTTGATGGGCCAGTTGTAGATTGCATTGCTGTGTTGTGTCAGACTTGTGAATTGTAAACTTGACCTTTTACCTACAACAAAGATAAAATGTTGTCATTTTGATATTATGTTTGTATTTCTCCTGCAAAGGTTTGACTTCATGAAATCCAAGCTTCTCTTTGAGAGTTTGTCCAATGGATCCAAGTCTATCAACTTGGTGTCTCACTCCCTGCTGGCGTACGATACTCGGTGCGCCGAGCCGAGCACGGGTAGAGCTGATGGGGCAAGGCCCAATGTCTTTGACTGCATCCTCCAGCCCTCCAAAACAGGCACGAACCGGGCGTCACTGCAGCTGGAGCTGCATTATAGGTAGAGTGGAACATATCCAAACATAAATAGAAATTGAGATTTAAGTAATGTTGGATGGGAAAGACTTGGTCACACATGATGTGTTCCACCTTCTGACAGATCTACACGTGACTCCTCCTGCTTCACGGTGGTCCTCAACAACCTAAGGGTGTTCCTCATCTTCGACTGGCTTCAGCTAGTGCGAGACTTCCTGCGGGTGCCGGTGGAGAAGCCATCCGGCGGTGCTGAGCCTCGTCAGCGTTGGCCCAGCAACACCACCACTGACTCGGGCACCGCCACCACCAGCACCATCGGTGCTGTAATGCCAAAGACAGTCAAGAGCGGTGTGGTCACCAAGAGGTCCACGGTGCCGGTCACCCAGGACCGCTGCCTGGAGGTCAAGATCAACGTCACAGGTCAGAGAAGAATGATGAAGATAGGAGTATACCCTGAACCTCTTTGATTGGTTTTAAATATTATGAATAAGGTACTACACACACAGGGGCCATAAACTCTTCTAAATCCAACTCTTGGCAATAAATAACATTTGATTTATGAGAACTGAAGCATCATTAGAGCAGAATGATAAACACATGTAGTTAAAGAGCTTGTTGGAGCTGGATCTCTGTGGCTCCTGCTAATGCTGCTGTCACTACTGTCAGTGGAACTACTATTACAGCCCTCACTAGCAACCACACATAGTCAACACCAGAACAGCTTGGCAACCACATTGGAGCACCTATTATGTCATGATCGGAACACTCTGGTTACCACCAAGTATTCTCATGGCAACCACTTCCAGTAGTAACACCTGAGCTATGATCACCAGACACAGTATCTGCTGCTGAACATTTAAGAAACCACCTGAATATCCAGTGAGCTTTGTAAAATGCACACAGCCGTAATTCAGAAACTGTGTCTTTAAACTGGCCGTCAGGACCGTAAAGCTTGTGATGTCACCAGTAGAAGTGTACTTGACACACAAGGAGTCCCCGGCTGCAGTGACACTGTGGACAGTGCAGATGCGAAAAGACAGGAAACAGTGACCAATCGGAGCACACTGGGCGTTTTTGGGAGGAGGGCTTAAAGAGACGGGCTCTAAAACTGAGCATTTCAGACATAAGGTGAATATATTCACCCTAGGTATATTTAGAGAGACAGTATGAGAAAAAGAAGTGTTCTTTGAACATTAAAGCATGTAAACATGTTCTAGTACAAACCCAAAATATAAGTATGAACCTGAAAGTGAGCTTGATATGTCCCCTTTCAGTCAGCAAGCACACTTACATTTGAATCATTTGTTTTGTCATATAATTGTGTGTGCAGTGTTTTCATTTTAGGCGCTTTATTGAATTTGATAATGTCATTAAGCTGTACCTTGACAAAATGCAATCCCTCCCTCCTGGATTTGTAACTTATAAGGGACCAGCCCAGAATAGGTTGTAATGATTATTATCATATGAGCTCCTGGTCTGTGTGTATCTGCAGGCACAGAGTTTGTGGTCGTGGAAGACTCGTCTTGTCTGGATACCAACGCCATCATTCTAAAAGGCACCACTGTCCTCACCTACAAACCCCGTCTGCTGGACAGACCCTTCTCTGGCAGCCTCGCAGGAATAGAGGTGAGCTCTCCCACTGTCATAGCACCGTTTCATGGTCAAACATTATTACTGAGACAACTAGTTTTACCACTGCTACCATTTATCCGGATTCTTTTAATCAAAGAATCACAATCTCAAAGTGTATACTTTGTTAAACAGATGTGAATGCACTGAAATCCGGCTGCTGCTGCTACTGTTATTGCTGTACTATACTACTTGTACTAACACTTGCAAATATTATTATTTCAACTCAAGGAACTGCTACTAATTGTTACTTTTGCTATTGCAAATACTGTACTACTATTGCTATGCTAAAACTGCTACCAGTACTGCCCTAGAACTCCATGTTCTCCTCCTCCTCCTACCTTTGATGGCCAAAGAGTATACAGTGAAGATCAGTACTTAGTGATGCATACTACTACTGACCCAATATTCAGATCATCTTTTATTAGCTATGATAAGAGGTATCTTCTCCGCCTCAGGTGTTCTCGTGTCGGCTGGGCAGTGAGCAGGAGACGGCGCTGTCCATCATCGACCCAGTCAATATTCAGGTGGAGCTGTGTGGGAGCCCCACATACCAAAGCAGCTCCGGTCTACTGGATGCCTTCAATGTTGAGGACATCCCACCGCTGCTGGAGGTCAGGAAATAACCCTCAACCACAATAAGATATGCAACATGTAACTGAGGGAGGCACAGTAGTTAAAGGGTAGCTTCAGTATTTTCCAACCTGGATCACATTTTCACATCTTTTTGTGTCTAAGTGAATAACAGGGAAAACAACTTTTGAAATGGGTCCAGTGTTGAGGGATAACACTGCTTCACTTGATTGAGACTTGATAAGACCCCCTGAAAGCCTCATCAGCAACATTTTGGGAAGTCTCTGAAATCTTAAAAAAAAAAGTTATTTGTCTCTTGCAATTGTGTCTAACATGTCTTTTCAAATCTTACTAATGCCCAGCAGTTTGCCATGAGTGTATTTTGCACACTAGTTGGACCTCATCCACACTGTTCGAAATATATTTAGCCATGACACTGATACTCTTTTAGATAACACTAAGCTACACTTTCTGTACTCCAACTCCACAAACACTGACATCACCATCACTGCTCTCTCCAACTCTCACTCACGTCTCAACCGTCTGCTATCAAGTCGCCTCTCACAAGAACTTTCCTTCAGCCAAACTTGGTAGACACGAGAACCAACAGAAATTGAAATGTCAGAAAAAAAGCCATTTCTCTGTAGGGTCCTTTCTATAACATTGTCAGAAACATAACAATAATAATCTGAGCCTGACCGTGGCCAAACCAAGCACTTTTACTGGACATAAACTGACAGTGAGGAGTTGATATGATTACATTACAGCCTGTTTAGCGGCTGCAGCATTCTCCTTCAGTACAACAACAACTTTAACACAAAAACATTCCCCATAAGTCACTTGACACAAGAATATGGAAAACTAGGGTTGAAAAATACAGAAGTTACCCTAACACACTTAACACTGTTGCCTCACACCTGTTAGAAAAGTTCACTCGAGCCGTAGTAAAAGTCATTAATCACAGGACATTTATTCTTGCAAGAAGGAGCCAGAGTTGATTCACATACAGAATATGCATCAAGACTGCTCGAAGATGTGTCTCTGAGCCTCTGGTATATATACTGAGCAAACAACAGTGTACTGGCACAGGGTAATATACTGTACGTCACAAAGGATAACACACTCCAATTGCCTTCATACAGCGTAGTCTACGTATCTGGACGCTTTAACGATTTGTTCTAGTACAAAGGTCACCTTTATCGAAATCAGGAAGTCATGGTTGCAAATCAGCTCTGCGTAACTAAGTGTTCTTCTTAGCAGGCAGCTGATACCTGATAGACAAAACTGCTGCTGAAGACGCCTGGTGTCCCAGAAAGTTCACACAAGGACACTTACAGAGGACATGGGCTTTTGTTAAATGTATAACATTCCTTAATCATTTAAACGCATACTAATTAGTCATTTAGATTTGTTCCCCTCACACCTCACTGAGATAGGCTCCAGCCCTCCAGAGGATCAGCAGGTACAGCTAACAAATGGATGGAAGATGTAACCACTGTGTCACTGTGAGGTAGTGGAGTCATTGTAGAAACGAAACAATATAAATGAGCATTCTCTCCCTATAACACATCAGCATGTTAAATCTATTATTACCTTCAAATGTTTGACAATGTTGCTATGCCAAGTGTTCAAAGTGTTCCCTCTGGTCATGAGCCCAACATTCTTCCTGTATGAAGACTCAAGTAGTCTCCAAGTCCTTGCTGAGACAGTCACGCCAATCCAGTCATTTTCTCAGACTCGACGAAGCAAAACTACAGAAGATTCTTTTATAGAGGATTATACAACTGTTCTCACAGGATGGCTGGTGCTCACCGTTAGTAGTGAAGTGACTTTGACATGTAAACCGGTTGGATTGACGCTTTTTAATAGTGTATGTGATTTTCTGGCAGATTCAGTTTCCTACTCTGGACATCCGTCTGTCCTACAACGACATTCAGCTCTTCTTGGCCATCGCTAAGTCCATCCCTACCTCCAGCTCTGCTCTGCCCTCTGACTGTGATACCAGCACTGCACCCAGCACCGAGCCCGCTACACCCAAAGATAGCTTCAGGCAGAAGACTGAGGCCCTCATAGGTACGTGAAGACAGTGATAGTCATTTTTGAATTAATAATAAAATTAAGAATGCTTTTCAAAATGCTTTTCAAAAGCTGTTTTCTTTTGTCTCAATTACCATCAGTGGCCAAAATACATCAACATTTTGAAGCCGGAATACATCTTGAATTGTTATCATTCAAACAATTCTGCTAAAAACGTTTATCTGCAGTGATGGCATACTGTTATTCCACTACTTATTGCTGAAAAGCTCTTCATTTGTCTCCACAGAGGGCCAGCTGACCCGTTTACAAGACCTTGGCTTCAGGAAAGAGGACTGCAAAAGGGCCCTGATCCACTGTAAAGGTGAGTGAGACCTTTAACACTGTTCCCAACTCCTTGTAGTCTTGTCACCATTATTTAATGAAAGGCTATAATAAAGACAGACAATGCGTCCCCCAGGCCAGCTGGACCAGGCTGCCACATGGCTGCTGGAGAACGCCGAGAACATGGCGGGCCATGCCAGATCCCGGACTGACTCCGGCAGCAGCCACTCAGCTCCTCTGTCAGGGGTGGAGGTGAAGGCTGAGAGTGTGTGCATCTGTTTCATCGACGACTGTCTGGACTGTGACATACCACTGGCTGAGCTCACCTTCTCCAGTAAGTCTCATTTACACAAGATACAGCTGAACCATCAAACATATGATGAGGACTTAAAAGGACAACCCGTATTATTATAATGATGGAAGATTCAGTTTATCTACCCTCAGTGTTTGGTGCAAAGCAAACATTGCTTTTACAATGTAATGAGGAGTCATTCTTCTGGTGTTCACTAACAGTGGCTATTGTTGTTTAATGTTGCTCTACACTGCTCATATTTATTTCTCTGTCCCCACATTTCCTGTCTGAATCTCTTCTCTCACCATCAAATATAGCCACATTGGTAAAATAATATCTGAAAAACAAGCAAAGAGACTTTGAAGGGATAATTCAGATGTTTAGAAGTGTGGTTGTATGAGGTTCTTCTCCATACTCAGTGTGTCACTACAGGAGTTGGAGTTTGGAGAACCAGCACAGGAGTGAAGTCATGTACTGCTGTGATGTATTTCAGACACCTAAAACAAATCAACATCAGTTTAAGTGTAGCTATGTTTAGAATATGTTCACCTCTTTACAAAAACAATCATTTTACTTTGCAGTAATTTAGTTAGTTTGTTCCTGTTTGTGAGTTTGGTAAATCCAAACTAACCCTTAAAACACAAAGTCACACAATAACACAACCAACGAAGTGATGGAACAAAGTGATACAACCACACTTGTAAACGTCACGACTATCCCTTTCATGTCTGTAATTAAGAAGAATTTCAGAACTCTTTGAGTCTTTCACTGCACTACTTACACAACCAACGGTGCTTCACAAAAAAACAATCAAATGGTTTAGTAGATAAATAACTACACCTACAGGAAGCTGAGGATGAGCATCTTGTATCTCTGTTTGTTATTGCAGGGCTGTATGTGCTGCAGCGCATTGGTTCCACTCAGGAAGGAAAAGCCAGCTTTTCGCTGTCAGGAGACTACTACAACAGAGAGCTGTCGGGTATGATTTACTGATTAACTGGTGGCATTAGAACACTCATTTCATGTTCAGATTCATTAAAAACAGAGTATCATTTTCATAGAGTTTTGACATCAGTTTGAATGGCTCTGTGTTAAAACTAGGGATAAAACCAATTAATAGGATTCTGACATCTATCATGATTTTCCACAGCAAAGTGCAGAGCAAGTGAGATATTATCAAGATATTGATTGGACCAATAAGCAAAGTGCAGTGGTTCAACAGAAATGGAAATGTTTTAAGCTGCACTATGTCCACTGATGGCTGATTTCTTGGGGAATTCCCCATGATGCATTAGGTTAGGATAGTGACTTACGTCTTTGTGTGTGCGTGTGTGTGTGCGTGTGTGCGTGCGTGTGTGCGTGCGTGTGTGTGTGCCAGGCTGGGAGCCCTTCATCGAGCCCTGGCCCTGCTCTCTGTCCTGGCAGCAGCAGGCCGCCGGCCGTCTCCATCCTCCACGTTTCAAGATGGGGATCCGAGCCAAGCAGAGACTGGACGTCAACATCACGTCTGTCCTGCTGGGTGAGTAAAGGCTGGATAGTGCTCCTCTGGACATTCTCTTCATAGACCGCACAGCTGGCTGAACAGCATCCTGTCAGATTATTCAGTACCACTTATCTGATCATTCCAGAACAATACAACACCACCAAGAGCGCCTGGATAGCTGATTACTGTAAGGAGGAGGAGCACACACCCCAGTCTTCACCCCCCCTGCCCTGGATGGGCTCCTCAGTCGACCCACCCAGCTTCGGAATAAGTGAGTTCCAGCAACACACAGTACCACAAACAAATCACTGGGTAGTGAGGAACTTCTTCACAGAAATACTTACAATATGTCTGGAATTGATTTAACGGATGGCCAGGTAAGGCATCCTAGATAACATGTTTATTTATTTGAAAGAATGAAAAATGAATAGAAAGACACCAGAATAGCAGAGTGTCTGTTCCAAGTGTTTAAGCTTTGAAAGCCTCTTAAACTTTATCTTTGTGCTAGCAGATTTCATCTTTATTTGCTGTTGAAAATGCCAGTGCTAGTCAGAACGAACATGCTAACATGGCAACACAATCTGCATGCACAGTTAAATACACACAGAAGAAAGTATGAAGTGACTATTTGTGTATCTAGCAACTGTAAGAGTACACTAAATGAATTCTGGAAGTCTGGTGATAATCAATATTTTCCTTCTCGTCAACAAATCTCATGTACAGAGAAAACGTGAATGTATCTACTTACAAATATTGTGCGTGTATCAAATATATCTTCTTTTTCTGACCAATAGAGCCACAAAGTCCACAAACTTTTAAAACACATCAAAGAGCCACACTGTACTGGCTGACCTGATCCTTCATAGTTTATTTTGACTCAATCTCACACACACACCGTCCTGCTGCCACAAATACTCATAAGAGCAGTATTTCCCAAGCCTTGTTTCAGGGGACCCTCTTATTAGCAATGACAAACCTTAGTGACCCAATTCACAGTAGGCCTTTTCTATAAATCATGAGAGGAGCTAATTTCTGATCATTAGGGCCCGAGCACCGACGTAGTCGGAGCGGAGGACCTATTGTTATTCGATTGTTTATTATTATTATTCTTAGCGTTTCGTCGCAAAAAGGAGGTGCTTGGGATACTGGAAAAATGTCGAAATTTGGCACGCAAGCCAGAATTTGCGAAAATTGCAGTCTGATTGGGGTGTCCAACTGCGGTATGAAATATTGGCTCGATAGCGCCCCCTATTGAGGAGCCCCAACATTGGGTTTCACCTAGCTGTATGAAATTTGGTAGGTATGTGGAACGTGATGAGACGCACAAAAAATCCTCTTGGAGTTTTTCATTAAACCAAACAGGAAGTCGGCCATTTTTACTTTTATGACGTTTTTGACCATTTCAAGGCGTCATACTTTAACGAACTCCTCCTAGAGATTTAACCCGATTGACTTCAGATTCGGTCAGTATGCTCTTAAGACCTTGGCAGAGTAAATTTACTCAAAGATCAAAAAGTTATCGAACTATGTGTCCGTGGCGTGGCGTCAAAAAAACACCATTCGCCGTGAAACAGGAAGTTGTTGTAACTTGGCCATACATTGTCTAATCTGCTCCAAATCTCTCATATGTCATAACATCCTGACCCGGAACACATCTATAAGATAATTTAGAATCATAGTAATAGCGCAACTGGAAGTTGTAAGTTGTGTACTTTGACATCCTGCTCCTCACAGATTAATCAGATCCCTCTAAAATGTTGTCAGAACAGCCTTAAGACCTTGATAATGCTTCATTGTGAAGATTGTAAGAAGTTGTTGAAGGGCGGCGACGTGGCGGCTTGGCGAATTTCGATCCTTCGCCATGAAGAAATAAACTGATGTAACTCGACTCCACATCATCAGATCTTTACCAGATTTCACATGTTTGATTAGACTCCAGGCCTGAAGACATCTGCAGGCCAATTTTGAATCATAGTCATAGCGCCACCTACTGGTAACAGGAAGTTAAAGTCTTTATACTTTGGCTTGTTTCTATTAGTAGGTAAATCAAATCAATATCAAATTAGTTCCACACAAATATAACAAGTTCATAATGCCAGTTCATGAAGCTTTTGATGTTTCGTCGAACGCCGTTGCCGTGGCAATGCAGTCTTCGAAGGTAATTCTGAGAGGCTAAAAATGCTCGAAACATAAGCAAACTTGGCAAGCAGATTACAAGCCCAAAATGTAGTTGTAGAATATGATTTTATTGGTTCAGAGTGACAAATCGGCTCAATAGCGCCCCCTACAAAATTTCGACGAAGCAGCCCTCGCAGTATGTTTGACCTAGATGTATGAAATTTGGGAGGCACATGTATCACATGTGGACTTAAATAAAAGTCTCTTGGGGCCATGCTCTAAACCCAACCGGAAGTCAGCCATTTTGAATTGTTTATGAATTTCTAGTGTCGTTTTTGTCATTTCCAGGCGCTGCACTTTAACGAACTCCTCCTAGGGAATTAATCAGATCAACTTCAAATTTGGTCGGTACAATCTAAAGACCTTTGTGATGAAAAGTTACTCAAAGCTTGTTGTTTCGTGAAAAGCTGTTGCCGTGGCAACGCATTCTTTACCATGAAAAATTAAGGTGTTTTTGAGAGGCTAGAAATGCTCAAAACATAAGCAAACTTGGCATACACATTTAAAGCCCAAAATGTAGTTATATAATATGATTTTATTGGTTCAGAGTGGCAAATCGGCTCAACAGCGCCCCCTACAAAATTTCAACGAAGCAGCCCTCGCAGTACATTTCACCTAGATGTATAAAATTTGGTAAGCAGATGTATCACATGTAGACTTAAAAAAAAGTCTTAGGGGTCCATGCTCGAAACCCAACCGGAAGTGAACAATTTTGAATTTTGTATGAATTTCTCGTGTTTTTTTTCCATTTCCAGGTGCTGTACATCGAACTCTTCCTAGGGAATTAATCCGATCAGCTTAGAATTTGGTCAGAACAATCTAAAGACCTCAGCGATTAAAAGTTACTAAAAGCTTTAGGTTTCATCGAATGACGTGGATATGGTGTGGCAGCCATTTTACATGGTTTGCCATCATCCATCAAGCTGTTGTAACTCGACTGTACTTTGTCAATACTGTCCCAAACTTGACATGCTTGTTGACTGTCATGGCTTTAGGACTTCTGCATGCCAATATTAACTCATAGTCATAGCGCCACCTACTGATAAGCACGGACGTAAGCAGGATTCTGTAATTACAGCGGCCCAAACACTGAACTTATTGAAAGGGTTAGTGGGCACACCATGAGAAAAAGACTTCTCTGATCTAAATATGTGCAAACTAAGATGCTTGGAGAGCAAAAGTTAGATAACAGTGGATTTTCAAACCATGTCAGTGGGTATTAGTATAAATGATCTGTCCAGAGCTTCTTCATGACAATCAGGTTAAACGTTATAATGAATGCATCACACTACAATCTAAAGTTACAGAAGAACTTAAAATGAAAACAGTGTTAAATTAAAGTGTTCAAGTAAAAGCAAATGACACTACTGTTTTGTTAACTTTCATGTAAGTCCAAATACAATCAGCAGGACACTGCAGGGAGTTGAACCCCATCCCAGTAAACTGACAGTCTGTTATGTTACAAACACTGAAGCACATTCACACACATTCATTTTCTTAATGATGTTTAAATGCTTACATTTATGATTGTATCGGATGTACACTCAAAACATTTGAGGCTTAAGACCTGGCAACATGATCTTGCTACGCTGCTGGTCTACGCAGGAAATATCTCACTCGTGCACGCAGAGTGTGATGGTCACAAAAATGCATGGCCAGAGTCCTGCTAGTACCCTCGACGTGCGTGAATTTGCGAGGGCCCGATCAATGCTGCTCGCAGCTTTAATTTTTATTGTCATTTCCACATCATTTTATATTATCTTGAATAGGTAAACCAGCCATTTAGAAGAGATATACAGTGCCTTGCATAATTCACCCCCCTTGGACTTTTCTACATTTTGTCATGGTATAACCACAGATTCAAATTCATTTCATTGGGATTTTATGTAATGGACCAACACAAAATAGTCCATCATTTGGAAGTTGGGGGAAATATTACATGGATTTCAAAATGATTTACAAATAAAAATCCGAAAAGTGTTGAGTGCGCATATGTATTCACCCCCTTTACTGTGAAGCCCCTAACAAAGATCTGTTGCGACCACTTGCCATCACAAGTCACATTTACAAGTCATATAATTAGTAAATAGGGTCCACCTGTCTGAAATGTAATCTCAGTATAAATACACCTGTTCTGTGAAGGCCCCAGAGTTTGTTAGAGAGCATTACTGAACAAAAAGCATCATGGAGACCAAGGAGCTCACCAAACGGCTCAGGGATAAAGTTGTGGCGAGATATGAAGCGGCACTTAAACCTGACTCAAATTAGTCTGATGGCGTGAACTTGAATTGAGCTTTATGGAACCGCTTTAGCCCCAACTGATTTGTTATGTTCATTCAATGTTAGGTTCATTCAATGTTAGGTTCATTCAATGTTAGGTTCATTCAATGTTGGGTTCATTCAATGTTGGGTTCATTCAATGTTGGGTTCATTCAATGTTGGGTTCATTCAAGTCAAGTTTCAAACTTTAAGCCTCACTTTTTTAGCTAGCTTCATGGAACGGACCTCAAATCAAAGAAACGACATATTAAACAATATAAATCAATTACTTGATTACTTACACTTGTGACTCATTAGTTACCTTTACCATTCATAGGACTTCATAGTCAAGTTGCTAAAGCACATTTCTCTCACCAAGGTTTTGTGAAGTTGGACCATAGTGTTGCACTAGTTGTAGTTTATTCCAACTCTACAGTTTTAAAGTAAAGAACCACCCTCTCATAGTTGAGAACACGCTGCTGTAAAGGTTCTAGATGTTTTCTTCTGTCTGCTGCTTTTGGCTGTGATTCAGTTAAATGTGCTTCACAGCTGAATGATGACTGACTGTATCCTCAGTGGTGTAGTGATGACTACACTCTGAATAGGTGTATATAGATCATAGCCTGTCTTGTCTTTCCTCCTCTTTAAGAATGATGTTTCTCTCTACTTTGTGTTTTGCCTGAACAGCATGACTCGTTTGTCATTTGCTTGGCACTGCATGGCATGTAGTTATGAATCCATTGTGAAAATGGACAGCAGTTTGCTTACATCTGTGTGTTTTTTTTTTTAATTTGTTCAATAAGGTTCCAGACTTATTTATTGAATAGGACAAGAATTTTCTGGCATTTTGTAAAATCAGTAATAATCCGTTGTGATGGTAAGTAAAGAGCAAAATGCTGTATAAGGCAGCATTGTGTTGAAATTACTGTTTACTGATTTACAAACTGCCATTGATCTCTATATACTCTATGTCCATGTGAAGAACATGGAAAATGAGCACTAGACCTAGCCAAGCCAATTCTAACTGTTATAATTGCAAGTATGAATTTGAAAGGGGTACTCCAGTGATCTCTATAAAGTTGAGGGTGCATTTAAAGAATAATGGTCAAAATGAAAGCAGCAGGAGCAGAGATATCATGACTCTTAGTATTCAACTCAGTATGGTTGAGGAACACACCCCAAGTTCATAAAGAAGGCTTTGTGTTCGGTTTCTGTTTGTGATCTCCAAGTTATTGTCTCAGAGCCACAGAGAATACTATACAGCTGTTTTCACAGGTTGATTAGTTGATGTCCCCTTTATTAAGGATAGAATTCCAAGGCACCTGTGCCCTATCTGCTTTTTAGGTCTCACAACCCAAGAAGAAAGCAAGCGCAGGACCATACACTACTAAAGTTAATAATAATAATAAAGACCAAGCATACTCATCTTCTCTCTGATTCAGTTTTCATTTGTGCTTCCAGCCGATGTCAAGCTGTCCAAGAGGAGGCAGCCATTTGTTCCATACGCTCTGCGCAACCACACAGGATGTACCATGTGGTTTGCCACTCTGACTACAACCCCCACAAGGTAAGTGTGGCCGTGAGCGGATTATGAAAGAATGGGCACATGGCCCCAACACCTTACCTATAGAGCAGCAAGACGCACAGACTTAATAGTTGTTAAGTCTCTTTTTTTGGTTGTTTTGTGTCTCTTTCTGGTCTTTTTATGGTCACTCTTTGTAGTTTTTTGTGTCACTGTGTAATTGCTTATTCGTATTGTAGTATTTTTGTCTGTGGTTGTTTTGCCCCTTTTTTGTAGTCATTTTGCATCTCCTTGTGGTTGTTTTGTGTCTCTTTTCAGTTTTTTTTTACCCCTTTTCCTAGTTGTCGTGAGTCTCCTTGTGTCTCTTTGGAGCTGTTGTGGTCTCTTTGTAGTCTTTTAGTGTTGTTTTTTTATTGTCACAGTAATTATAGGTAAATATGTGACATCACCACCTGTTTCTATTTGTAGAACATTTGCTATGACGATACTGGAGGACAAAATGTATCTGAACAATGGTATGAAGATGTGTAGAAGTGACAGCAGTGGCGGGCCGTGCATTTTATATCTGGGCCTTCAGTGCTGTCCTGCAGCTGAAACACCTCCTAATAACCTAATGATGGCGCCAAAATTGTGGGAAATATGTTTTCGGTGCACTGCGCTCACGTAGGAGACACCGGGCTGTGACCTCTCAACCCGGAACAAAAAAAAAAACAACAAAAAACAGCTGAGGCCCCCGCTGAGGCCCCGCACTTCTAGGAGGCTAGGCTAAACTAGCTTAACAAATAATAAATCCACGGTATGCTTCGTAATTAACGGACAATACATATAGTCCAAATCTATATAATTAACACGACAACAACAAACTCACAAGAACCAGTCCCATATATTCATATGACAACAGAGCATGACAAATCAATCCAGCAGACCTGCAGCAACATGCATTCTGCTGCACACTGGAGGGCCATTCAGATATTCGATGTAAAAAAACAAACGCAATTGACTTACCAAATGCTGTTCACTAAAAGACAAAGTGCATCCTCCTTTCTTTGTTGACAAAGAGTTTAATCCCACGGTTCAATCCCAACTCACTAATCTGTTTCTCCTCCTTCAGCCATTGAGTGTTAAAAAAACAAAGCTAGGTAAAAATAATAATAATCTACACCAAGCTAAATGCAAAAAAGTCATAATTTCTTCCATATCTTTCAATTTGAACTCTTACTACTCCGACTAAGCCTCTGATGGCTACTTTAAGTTTTGTTTCACAATAGTCACGTGCTCGCCCACTGACCAATCACAGCACACGCTGCACCTCACTGCAGAGCTGCACCTGGAAACTGAGCTGCATGTAATGCTGACGTGGTTGTAGACCAGCTAGCAGGCTCTGACACGTCAAAGAATACGCCCAACATGTCAATCTAAAGATCTGATTGGTTGAAGAATATGACAATCAACAATATCGTCCCTATTCACTTAAACTGCACATGGATGCACTTGAGAGTCTGCAGGCCTCGGGCCTCTGTTCTTACCTAGAGACACAGAGGTGAAATCTGATTGGATAAAACCTCTACTTAAAACAAGCTGCACTGGAAGCAGAGCAACTGAGGAACACAGGAGCTGTGCAATGAGAAAATAAGATAATGGGAACAATATTATTATAAATTATAATACATGTAGTGTATTTAAGGAACATGATTAAATTATAAAATAGCTATAACTTTGTGATTCAGTTTAGGCCAGCAGAGAAGGTCTTGAAGGCCCTGACGGCCCACCACTGAGTGACAGTAATGTTTAACTTCTGAGTGAGAGGCTTCACAGCACACATTTTCAGCTTGAGAGGAGAAACTCACCTCAGATAAATGTCTCCACATGTTCCCCACAGGGTGGCACTGTCTCACAGCAGTAGTGCAGACTCTATCTCAGAGGTCCGCGGTCCAGGTACTGATGACACTCACAATGTCAGCCAGTGGAGGGAGGTGCTGCCTGGAGAGGAGATTCCTTTTGAGTTTGAAGCCCGCGAGAAACTCCGCCACCGGTACAGATCTGAGTCACATTTACAGCACCTGTTGATTTTGTTCAATGAATATGAACATGTTTATGAAACTGTTGGTTAGTTTGGCCATCATTCTTACTGGTTTGATTACATTTAACTCTGCAGTAATTGTGGTGAGCATCTGTCTGAAACTGGAATTATCGTTATGAATAGATAGGAGGGTATTCTTATCAGGTCCTGTCACATTAGTCTCTTACTTCTCCGTGTTTCTCCTTCTCTGTTATACTTTAAAATGTTCTACATCAGCTTGATTGCAGGGACAACTTAATGGTATAAGTAGGACATGGCAACTCTTGCTGTTAGCATTGATTCTACAGTAAAGCTAATAAACACAATTATTATCAAAGCCAATAGGACTGATAGCTAAAATGAACCCCAGGTTATTAATAATATATACATATGTATGTTCCTGTGAAGCTGAAATCCACTACTGTATATATTTATGTTGATGTTACCTGTTAGAGTGATGACACTTGAACTGCATATAGACACAAGAAGGCCAAAGAACCACTGCAATAATCTGGTGTTCATGTACATGTTCAATGTAAACACCAGTGATGTGGTCATCAGTAAATGTTCACTCATTGTTGTTAAATGACTGTGCAGTGCTTTGGCTTGTGAAACACAGTCTAGTATAATGATTGAGTGATGGTGAATTGTGCATTCAGTAGATAATGATTATGTATCCCTGCTCCTCTGCAGACACACTCATGAGCTGAAGCTGCACCAGCTGCTGGTGCGGGTGTGTGGATGGGAACAAGTGAAGCCGGTGTCTGTGGACAAAGTGGGCGTTTTCTTCCGTTACGCAGCTCCGGACAGAAACAACTCGTCCAATACTGTGAGCACAAGTCCAAACCTCCAGAGCAACATTCATGTTGATGATGTTTCTGACGAATTGGCCCAGAGTTTGATGTGAAACCTTTGTTTTTCTCCTTTACGCTTCCACAGGTTGGCAGTCCTATTAGCAGAACCAACATCATCCACCCGCATGTTTATGTGAGTCTTGTTTCTAAATCAGTGAGCAGTCTAAGTAAGCATATGCTGCCACAGTAGCAGCTGTAACACTCATTATACACCAGGAAACAAGATAAAGAACAACTTGGCTAATGAAGCAAAAATAAAGAACATAAAAGTATAAAGATTTTCAAGTAAAAGACTGGTTTCAAATAGTGTCTAGCATGAACTAATAAAGGCCCGGTATAGTATGAGTGAAGATGGAACTAATTATTTTATAATAGTTTAGCATGAACTTGGCACACATAATGTACGGTACATTTACACAGCAGTAATTCAGTACAACAGTCATGAGAGTCAACCAGCAGAGTAGTGAGTATGACATAACTCTGAAGTACTGATGGAGTTAATGTACGTCACACTGAAAGTATCAAGACTTCAGGTGAACATGAAGGAACAGGAGCAGATCAGAAAACAGGCAGCCCTCTAACTGAAATACTGTATGATGGCACATGCTAATAAAACTGACATTAGAAAAAAGGGTCTGTTTTTAATTATGATGATAATAATTATTATTCAAATAAAAGCCTTGGTGAATGCCATTGAAACAGCAGAAATGCTCAGTATGAGTTTAAACCTGAATGCCTTGTAGGGATGGGACGATATAGGATTTTATCACGAATTTCAGTAAAAAAAAGACGCTGACAATAAGTTGATTGTGTTGAATTCCTATTATTGGGATGATCGTGAATGTCATCACATGAGTGGTGAAATATAGAGCCTGATTTTTAAAATACCGGGATTATCGTGTAAGAAAGAACAGACTCATAATGTTTGTATATTTATTTATCCTTTATTTATGCAGGTGGACCTTATGATTTATGATTATCTTGTTAAGGATTGTTTGATTATTTTTCAGTAAGAAAAAATGTGTCTTAACTGTAATGCAATAAAAACATTTGTTTCTTAAAAAATGAAGGTATAGTGATTCCAGAATGTTTCACTGCCATTTCAAGAGTTTAAATCATATTTTGATCATTATAGGGGTTATTTCGTGAAGCGCAATTGTTTTGGCCAGGATAATCATGACGTGAAATTTTTATATCATCCCATGCCTAATCCCTTGGAGCCCTCAGTTCTCGGCCCTGCCTCCAGTTAGAGTGGTCTTCTCCATCACAATGGAGGGCAGTGCCAGGAAGGTCATCACTGTCCGCTCCGCTCTCATGGTGAAGAACCGGCTGGATGTTCCTATGGAGGTCAGACTGGATAGCCCCTCTGCTCCTGACAGTAAGACACTGCTCCACTTTAGGTCCATTGACTAAGCACCAATACTTATTCAAAAGTCAAGTACATGTAGAGACGGGTTTCTTTGTTTCATTTTTATTATCGTATTACTTGTGTCATTCTAATGAAGCTAACTGTCTCTGTGTTGACAGAACCAGTGGTGTTGCCTCCGATCCTTCCTGGCCAGGCCTTGGCGGTCCCACTCCACCTGACGTCCTGGAGGCTGCAGTCTCGGCCCAAAGGCCTGGGCTTGTTCTTCTGTAAGGTTCCCATCCACTGGACCAGCGTGGAGCGGCCCGGAGACATCAGCAGCAGCAAGAGGGAGTGTCAGTCAGCAGACTTTGACGACAGCCTCAAGAGCAACTTCAGGTAAATACAGTCATCCGGACTTAGTTCTTGGTCTGGGACCGTTCCCCTCATCTCTCTGTCTCTCGCAGGTTTTGTGTGGTCATCAAAAAGGAGAACTACCCGGATCAGCAGCCTGCCAAGACAGTTTCTGGCAGTGCCAAGCAGATCTATCGACAGCCAGGCCACACCATCTACCTGCTGCCCACCATGGTTCTGGCCAACCTGCTGCCCTATGACCTCAACTACTTCATCAAAGGAACGTCCATCAAAGGCGCCCTGAAGCCGGGAAAAGAGGCCGTGCTTCACGCTGCAGACACTTCGCAGAACATGGAGCTAGGTCAGGACTTGCCGAAAGTCTTTCACTGGCTAGTGTTTAGACATTTTCCCTGTTCTCACTCCCGGTGTTCATGGTGTGTATCCTCAAGGAGTCCTGCTGGAGAGCTTCCCTGTGTGCAAAGAGCTGCTGATTCCACCTGGCACTCAGAACTATGTGGTACGCATGAGGCTGTATGACACCAACAAACAGCTGCTCTGCCTCACCATCCGCATCATCCTGCGAGCACAGGGGGCCCTTAAGATCCTGATTTCTGCCCCCTACTGGCTGATAAACAAGACTGGTAATGTTCTCGTTGCTGTTATATAAACTTCAGTTGTACATTTTACAGAAAAAATCCCAAACCAGTCTTTGCTTTAAGAACTGTTATCGTTCCCTAAAGCCACTTTTCTCCCGCAGGTCTGCCGTTAATCTTCCGTCAGGACAATGGAAAAGCCGATGCTGCAGGCCAGTTTGAGGAGCACGAGTTGGCCCGAAGCCTCAGTCCGTTACTATTCTGTTACACTGACAAGGAGCAGCCTGCTATGTAAGTGAATGAGAGACACCAAACTACTCTGTTCCCGAGCATCCATAATGTCTTAGCTAGTGAGCAATGTTCTACCCAACAGACGTCCTTCTGGTGTTTTTATCGTAAATGATGCACACACCGATGGCAACGGCCTGCCTGTGGTTTAGTGTCTGTCACTTTGACATGTGCACAGGATACCGCTCTACCTCCTGAGTCCCATCTTCCACGCCTTACATTCCATCTTTTCCCCGCCTGTCTTGATCCCAGGTGTACTATGCGGATCGGGAAAGGGATTCACCCAGACGGAGTTCCAGGCTGGTGCCAGGGCTTCTCCCTGGACGGAGGGAGTGGAGTCAGGGCGGTGAAGGTTATCCAGCACGGGAACAGACCTGGCCTCATATACAACATAGGCAAGTTGGTACACTCACAAACAGTACAAATGGAAAGCACTAACCGAACTAGTGCCTGATTGAATAATAATCCGATACCCAGGATGGGCCCTGATCCTGATCATTGGGTGCATAGTGTCTCATTTTGCAAAGGCATATAAGAAGAGGAATGAAATACTGAACTGCAGTAATCTATTTGAATGTATTCATGGCCTTTCATCAGGACTCCAGTTGAATGGAAGGTCTGGTGCATCACTGCAGCTTCTCTTTGGCCAATATAGATCATATTATAAATTGCACTGAATCTACATCTTTTTCCTGCACAGACAGCTATTGGCACACAGATCATCTTCTGGCATAAAGCAGCACTCCCTCTCTGTCACACTGCTCCAGCTTTTTCTGGCACTCTGATGCATGTAGCAAATATATCTTGACTTTTATTCTCCAACTGTTGATATTCAAGCTAAAATGTCTCTGTTAATACATTATCAGTAAAATGTTTGTCAGGCATTGTTTGATCCCTGTCTGATGGACACAGGCATCAGCGTGCGGAAAGGAAAAGGACGCTACAGGGACACTCACATAGTGACCTTTGCCCCGCGCTACCTGCTGGACAACCGCTCTACACACAAACTGGCCTTCGCTCAGAGAGAGTTTGCAAGAGGAAAGGTGAGAACTGAACTTGAAATGAAACGTTCACTGTCAGTTCTGGTAGCTCAGTGGTTGAGACGTAGACAGTAACAGCAGCATCCTCAGTTCAGATTGGGTCTCACACTTACACTCACTCACGCACAGTCTCACATTCTCACACACTCACACACTCTCTAACTCTCTCTCGACAGAAGTTGTTAATCATTAGTGAATACATTTGTTCTAGGGTACGGCAAACCCTGAGGGTTACATCTCCACCCTGCCGGGCTCCAGCGTCGTCTTCCACTGGCCCCGCAACGACTACGACCAGCTGCTGTGTGTGCGCCTCATGGACACCCCAAACTGCACCTGGTCTGGAGGCTTCGAGGTCAACAAGCCCAAGTCCTTTCACGTCAGCATGAGGTGAGCTACATATATACATACATTTCCTTTCAGTAGCTTTACTATGTTCGTAATGAAGTAAAGTTATTTTATTATGATGTTGAAAATGGAGGTTGAAGGTAGAAGTGTAACCCTCATTTCAAAGCTAAATGCCGTCTGATACCTTGAACTTCCCAACATGTCCATCTGGGCATACATGTTTATAGTTAACCTGGCCACATGTCACTCTTCATTGTCCACGAGGAATATTGTGATTATTATTTGTTGTGTAATATCTGATTTCTGCCTGTATGTTGTGATGCTGACACTGCGTACTAGGCATTTTTTTTTCTATGCTGTACCTAAAACAAATTCCACCAAATGAGGTCACGTTTTCACTGAAGTATTTGACATGTTTTAAGTGGATCTTGGTTTAAACAGGGACACACTGGGGAACTGTTTCTTCCTGCGGACAGAGATCACCCTGAAGGGAGCAACCTACCAGATCTCCTTCTCTGATGCTGACCAGTTGCCTCCACCCTTCCGCATCGACAACATCTCTGAGGTGAACAGCATGAGCTGTTTCTACTTACTTGAATCACTTCCTGGACTTCCACTCCCACCTCTCTCTCCATGAATGAATTATTATGGGCATACCAGTGCACACTATCAGAGATAAATTACTAAATACAGTGAATAGATTCCATTGTCTAAATTCCTTCAGGTGCCCATCCAGTTCTGGCAGCATGGTGTGGCTGACATCCGGCTGCACACTGAGGTGAAGGCAGGCTCAGTGCTGGACTACGCCTGTGATGAGCCCACGCTGCCCCCCTACCTCACACTGACTGTGAAGGGAGCCGGATCCTCAGATGTCACGTCTGACATGAACTTCTTCAGAGAATACAACAAGCTCTACTACGAGAACTTCATCTACATTGCAGCCACACACACCTTTTCACTGTATGAACCAACAACATGACTAACTCATAATGACATCATAATATGTTATCACGTTTTCTATACAACAGCAGCATTTTTTTCTTGATGTAGGAATGTTGAGAAGAGACCTGTTGGGAAGAAGCGTCTGGTGAGCTGTGCTGAATTGGTTCTGGATGTGGACACCAAGACTCAACGGGTCATCCTGAAAAAGAAGGTACAGTTTTTAGGTGATGGAAAAAGCATTGAGACTAAGCCCATTGATGGATGTGTAACTTGTCCTTTGATTATTGTGCAGGAGCCGGGGAAGCGCTCCCAGCTGTGGAGGATGACTGGGAGCGGCATGCTGTGTCATGAAGGCTCGTCTCCACCGCAGAGCAAGTCGGCACAGCCACGCCCACTGGACTCCTCCCTAGTGCTGGATATCGCCGGGCTAGCAGCTGTCAGTGACAACAGGTTGGTACTTTGTGCAGCTGTGGTGAGTCTAAGCTCAACACACATGCTTCTCTCAGGACTCATTTACAGTCAGTTGTGGACATCTATCATGGACAATTTCAATGTAAGAGGTGTCTCTGTCTCTCCCAGTTTTGAGCCGTTGATGCTGAGGAGGCCGGACTCACGCCGCAGCACCACCCAGACGTGGTATTTCAGCTCAGGCATGCTGACCTGTGGCCTGCCCCGGCTGGTAGTGCAGGTGAGTACACCAAGCTCATGTATGTTGACAGGAGCTCCTCTCCTCTATGCACTGCTGTGGACTCCAGAGTCCTGAATGTTGGTACTGTTGATACTCACATATTGTATGTTCTTCAGTTTTGTTTCATTATGTACGACTTGTACTCGTCAGGTGAAGGGCGGGACGGCAGGTCTGTATGATGGAGCAGAGGTGGTGCTGGGACCAGACTCGGGGCTGCAGGAGCCCGGCCCCGAGCAGCAGTTCATTAACCAGAAGATGAGACCTGGTTCTGGCGTGCTGTCGGTCCAGGTGCTGCCAGATGGACCCACACGTGTCCTGCAGGTGAAAACACAAGCCAGTAAAACGCTGTATGAATGGATTAATAATCTTTCAACAGTAGTAGCATTGACACTGAGCAGCAGGTGTATTCTTTTGGTGAATCAATGAGTTAGTTGAATTTGACCAAAATCTATTAGAACCTGACGTCTTGAGTGAAAGGAAAGTTGCAGGTCCATGTGATGTACTTTGTGAAGCATTTGATGTAACAAAACACATAAAAAGCAGCTAAAGTTGACTAATCACACATGAAAGAGATCCCCCACACTGCTCTACAGTATTCCCATGTTTGCACCTTTTTTATCCCTGTGATGAAACGATGTGTTTTAAAACCCACTTTCTGAACTAGTATTCAAAGATGATCAAGTTTAGGTTTAAAATCTTCTTCACGATATGGATCATGTCATCTCTCAATAACAATGTATATCATGATAAAGTATATTTCATGGTAATGCCATGAATTAATATATATGAAATAATCACATGGTTTTGTTAACTCTGTGTGAATTAAATACTTAACAAATAAAAAAGTATTTTCTCGTTTAATTAAAACTTAGTGCAAAATAATCAGATTTTCTGAGTAATGTGAGTTAGTATGTGCTTGTTTCAATTGAGCTGACATTGTGAATCACAATATCTCGATATATGATTTCATCATGATATGATACCATTGAAAGATGACAAATTATCCAATTATGGCCCAGCCCTTGTTTACGTGCATAAGCAACCTAGAAACAATTAACATTCATAACAGATGATGGCAACACCACCAACACAAAATAACACCTCTGTAGATACAAGTCTAAGTTACTTAAGTCTCAAGTTACTTGACAACTTTAGTTTAGTAATACACAATATAATGAACTTACGAAAATGTCATGTTTGATGATTTGTGGTTTTGAATATTTCAGTAAATATTGGGATTTACCAGCATCAGGTACAATAGTAGTACTACTGCAGATGTGTACATATTGCTTACACATACTTCTATATATTACAAAGTTGGAATGCACTTTCTATCTTTAGTTCTTCTCTGCTTGTTTTCATACGCTGTAAGTCAGATTTGGTGCTTTGATAACATCTGATACTATCTGCTTTTTATTAATGGTGATGCTGAACCTCACAGCCTTGTGTGTGTTTGTAGATCAGTGACTTCAACCAGAGGAGAATGATCCGGAGCTCATCCTCCACTGAGCAGGAAAGACACAAAGAGGATGTAAAGAAGAGAGAGCCTGAGCAGGAGCTGGAGGTACCAGCAACTATTTTACATGCACCGTAGCGTTGTCACCGACATTCATGTCTGGCAAATTACATGACGCATTCATTCAGTATATTTTCAATCACGTGTTTAACAATACACCTGTACCTCGTACCAGGTACTGAAGCAGTCCCACAGTAATCTTCACTGTGTCTCTATGAGAGAAGGTTCCTCTGACATCTGCTCTGTCTTCATCCACAGGTGTTGGTGAATCTGGAGGAAGGGGTGGGTGTGTCTCTGGTCAACAAGGTTCCTGAGGAGCTTGTGTTCACTACGCTGTCTGGTATAGATGTCCACTTCACTCGCACTGCTGCCAACGAGGTGTTAGAGCTCAGCATTCAGAACATCCAGGTGAGCTCCCCACAGCTGTGGGAACATTCAGTAATAATTTCATTCCAAAGCAGTTCAAGGTGCTTCACATGATAATACAGGGTTTCAGCAGGTCCTTTACTTTGAAATTCAGGCCTAAAAAATCTAAAATTGTCTTAAATTGACTGTATGTATAGCTCTTAAAAGGAATGAAGAACGGAACCTCAATTGAAATACTGTAAAGGTTTTCCGTCCCGATCACAATTTCCTGGAGCACATCTCTAAAGCACGTCACTATCTCCATTCTCCATGGTGACTATCATGCTACCCCACCAGCTTCTTAAGATTTAGATTTTAGATTTAGACTTCGATTAAATCCTGCTTCACTTTGCTGTGATGGGGACCAGACGTGGATGGTAATACAATGTTTAATACATGGTTAAACCAGAGGGGAGCCTGTATGAAGATGTTCAAATTAGGGATAATTAGTAATGAAAAAAATGCGGAACACAACAATTGTTATATGCAGGTGATTATACACTAAAGAAAATATACGTAATTACATTATATTCCATTTCCACCAATAGCTCTGTCTTAGAGGGTGAAAGGCAGCCTACAGTTGTAGTTCATGTCATTAGAGGACAGTGAAATGATAAGTAATGATTGTCTTTGTGGGACCCCATACAGTGTGCCATGTTTGCCTGACAATTAACTTTGGATTATGCGGCGAGGACTCAGACCACTGAAGAACAGTGTCAGAAAGACCCTCTCAGTTCATCAGCAGGACACAGTTGGTGTTGATCACTTGTGAAAGCAGCTGCTTTACAATGCTGACCAATGTCCTTTTCTGTCCTACTCATCATTCAGATCAAATGAATCAAACTGTTTGTAAATGACACACAGTGTTATTGACACTGATGCTACATTACTGCAGTCCATATCCACTGTGCTGGTATGATGCAGAAGCTTCCTGTGAATTAATTTTCATCCCCAGTCATTTAGATGACCTATCCCGTATGGAATTATTCAGACACAACAACAAACCAAATATTCCAGCATGTTGACCAACCATCATCTAACAGCACAAAAACCAAACAAAAACATAAACCTCCCACTATTAACGCTCTAGGAGATTTCCCACAATGGAAAAACAACAAATACACAAACACAGGCTCCTAGGCACAATACACAGATACAAACAAGACACAATCTATATGCATTGTGTGACAAACTCTGTCTATTTGATCCAGTTCATAAACCAATAGTCTACAATCCATAAAAAACAGTGATTACGGTAATCTATCATTTGTTAGATTTCTCCTCCTATCCACTGCTTCAAAACAATATTCAGAAATGCAAAAACGATGATCAAAAAGGTGTTTAATTAAAGCTCCATTCTCGATAACTATCACATCTTTATTTACACAGTAACTCATCCATCCAGTGTTTTAGTGAAGAGCTTTGTGTGAATACTTGGTCATTCATGTTTTGGTCATCAGGTGGACAACCAGCTGCTGGGTACCACCCAGCCTGTGATGCTGTGTGTGACTCCCAGCTCCAGTGACAGTGGCGTCAGCGACAGCGGCCCGGCCCTGCAGGTCAACTCGGTCAAGGTTCCTAGCAGCCTCATGCTCACTGATCTCTTCAAGGTGAGCGTCACACGCTGAATCACAATTTTCAGATCTTCACCAGATAATTCCTGGTTTCTTGAAACTAGACATTTCTAGTGAGCCAGAGACTATTAGGTACTGAAATCAACCGATTTATGATGTAACCATGATGTGTTCACAGCACCTCATGGTGACGGCCCGGCGCTTCACGGTCATCATCGAGGAGAAACTGCTGCTCAAGCTGCTCAGCTTCTTTGGCTACGGACAGACAGAAGCTGGTGGGTCATCAGTTGAATGTCATTGTTAATATTTGTGTGATGCTGTGAGTAAGAAGGTGGTTTTCACTTCCATATATAACAAACTGTAATGAATGCAGAGCTGGAGAAATTGGATGAAAACATTTATGAGAGGCCCAACGAGGACGCAGGACCTCCTAAACGGTACTACTTTGAGAACCTGAAGATCAGCCTTCCTCAGGTCAAACTGAGTGTCTTCACCTCTCACAAGCTGCCTCCTGATCTCAAGGTAACCAAACATGACACATCATCAGTCTTTGTCCTGCCTGAGTAACGTCACCTTTCCTTGTGAGCAGCATGTTGCTTTCTATTGACTCCATCACCTGACTGCAGACTGCACAGGCAACATCATATTGTTAGACAGAACAAGTTGAGGGGCTAGTATTAATCTAAAAGAATAGTTTATTGTTCAACACTTTGGGAAATTGCTTTTTCTGAGAGTCAGATGTTCAGAGTTGGAGTCAGGTAGTGGTTAGCCTCGTATAGCATAAAGACTGGATGCAGAGGGGGACAAGCTAGCCTGGCTCTGTCCAATATACACCTACCAACACCTCTAAAGCTCACTGATCAACATGTTGCAGTGGGGGCGACTGACTAGGGGGTTGTCCTTCAATCATTTACCATTACCAATCAGAGGATCGGTGGATATATCTCCAGTTCCGCTAGTCTATGTCCTTGGCCAAGACACTTGCTACCGTAGGCTGTGCCAACGGTTTGAATGGATGTGAATGTTAAATAGTTCTGATGACAGGTGGCACCTGTCATCAGAGTATGAATGGGTGAATGATGACATGCAGTGTTAAAGAGCTTTGAGTGGTCAGAAAACTAGAATATCTCTATACAAGTACAGCCCATTAACCATTTCATTTAATCTTTACACAAACAGAAATGACAATATCCGTCATTGTTTGTCAAAAACGTGATTGAGTTCCAGCATGCAACTCCACCTAAAACCACTCTCCTTCCACCATGGTAAATGGTACATGGACTGTACTTGTATAGCGCTTTTCTAGTCTTTCCGATCACTCAAAGCGCTTTCACACTACTTGTCATCATTCACCCATTCACCCACTGATGCAGGGGCTAGGTGCCACCTGCCCATCAGATTCTATCACATTCATACACCGTAGGCACAGCTACGGGAGCAATTTTGGGGATAAGTGCCCTACACATCGACATGCGACTAGCGGAGCCCGGGATTGAACCGCCGATCCTCTGATTAAAGGACGACCCTGCTCTCCACTTGGCCACAGTCGCCCTGTAATAGGACGCAGTAAAGTCAATTATGAGTGCAGAAGTATTCCTTCCGGTAATATAAATCAATGTGTTAAAGTAATCATTAAGATGTGGTTGCAGATGCTCAGTTTTGCTGAGAAATACATACTGTACATAAAAGGCACATAAGAACAACATTATTACAGACATATATTTTAAATAAAATTTGGAATTTACACTAATGGAACATTGAAACTTGGGCCGACAAATGCATAGCATCACTTAACCTGTTGTAATAGATTTCTGAAAAAGTAATTTGAGACATTTTCCACACGATATTCAACTCTGACCATTTGCAGGCACTCGCAATGTCACAGAGGGGAAAACGTTTCGATACTTTTTAAAGGATTCTAATAAGAATCAAAGTATTGAAACGGCAGAAGACAAAATACGCTCGTAAGAGGTTCTGATAAAAATAGATTTTAGTCTTGTCATTTTTGTGCATCTATGCACACAGAAATGTCATGCTATGGATTCCTGTCACCACATGATGTCACCCTGTTACTTCTTGTGCCGCATGATGTCACTCTGTTACTTCTTGTGCCGCATGATGTCACTGATACTTCCTGTTGCCACATGATATCACTCTGTGGCCCAATCCCAATGTCCCCCCTTACGGACTCACGGACTTTGAGGCGCGCTCCCGCGAAGTCCGTGAGGATTTAAAGATGTCCCACTGTCACAGCATCAAGTGTTTGAGGCTCTCTCGCAGACATTTTGAGCCCTTTATGAACCCTTTCCGTAAGTCAGCATGGTATGCTGACTTAGCCTAAGGGAATTACCCACAAATCATTGCAATGTGACGTTGAACACGGGGTAACCAGTGGACGCATGGAGACGTAAAAAAAAAGGTAAACAAAGAGGACGGGTCACGTGTGCTCAGCCTGTCATTATAAATTTACTCAGAAACATTAAGGGTTAAAGATGGAACAAAAAATAAACAGAAAATTAGAAGATATTTCTTTATTTATTCATCAAATATTTGATTTTGTCATTGAAGCCGTTTTGACAAAAACGAGAAAATAGATTTTATGAAGTTACCTCTCATCTTGTGAGGAAAGAGCCTGAAGACGTTCAAATCAGGGAGTACAAAGTATAAAATAAATACCCACAGTTGTACATCATATTTTCTGTCATTTTCATGGTAACGTGACATGCTGCAGCAAAGTGCTGTCCCATTCCTATTTACACCATTTCAAGCCCTCACAGTCTCTCACACTCACCCACTTATCAGGTGACGTCAGTAAGTCCTTGAGGGTTCAGGGTTTGAGGCTTTAGGGGGGACATTGGGATTGGGCCCGTTTCTTCCTGTCACCGCAAGATGTCACTCTGTTTCTTCCTGTTACCACATGATGTCACTCTTTTTTCCTGTCACCGCATGATGTTGCTCTGTTACTTCCTGTCACCGCATAATGTTGCTCTGTTACTTCCAAATGTGTCAGCCTAGTAGGAATGGAGTCCTGTTTTGGTATATGTATTTCTGTGTGCTGCCAAATGTTCTCTATTTTGTCATATTGTCACACATCATAATTGATGATTTCTACATTCAAAAAAACAAAAAGCTGCCTTGCCTTCCAATGTTTTCTCATTTGGATGTTTTCTTGTCACTGTAGGCCCTGAAAGGCACCCTGGGCTTTCCTCTGGTTCGCTTTGAGGATGCGGTCGTCAACATGTACCCATTCACCAGAGTGCACCCCTACGAAACCCAGGAGATCATCATCAACGACATACTCAAGCACTTCAGAGAGGTAAGAGGGTTTGGAAGTTGGTCTCGTCTGAAAAGTTCTCTACATTATCAGAGATTCTAAAGACTCGAAGCACATTCACCGCAGCTGTTTGGCATCCTTCCTTCTACACAAGTCATTCCAAATCATTTTTTCAGTGTTGTAGCATTTGTTTCGACATAGCGTTTTTTTCTGAGTATCAACGTCTTTTTTACCGATTGTTCACAATGAGGAGAGAATGTATGCGGCAGCCAACAGAAAAACTGTTACACTTACTGTCCTTTTTCTGAGCGCTCCTCCTTTTTTGTGTGGCCACTCTAAGCCCTTCAACTTTAAAATCTCTGAACTTTTCAGAAAGTGCTGGTGACGTTACTGTCAAAAATAGAGGAGAAGCTTGTTTTGGCCGTGTCTGTGTATCCTGAACTTTATATCTCAGACAGACTCTATCATGACAAAGACCGAAACGCCCATTTGTGGGAGTAGATCGGCCGGGCAGACAGTAAATGTTGCTGGTGAGTGTTGCTTTTAGTGTACGTTGCTCTTACGGTTGTGCGATGACAAGCTCACCTACACAAAGTACGAAGCAAGCATCCTCCTGTTGGTGCTCATGGTGAAAAAACAAAGTCAACCAAAAAGATAGTAGGCCAAAAAAATAATAAAAAGCAAAGTCTATCATACAACGGAGGTTAGAATGGTGATAAGTTGTCAAGATATTGTTGTTTCAATGAAACGCTGGGATGAAGAGCTCCCAGAGCCCTGCGGGTACTTGTTTGCCAGAAAAAGACACCATGTGGACACAGGCCTTTATAGTGCTGAAATCACCTGTGCTCATGACCCATTTTTATGGATTAAAGACATCTTCCACTGTGCTTGAACGTGTCAGAAGAATATTGAAAGGATCCTCCTCGAACATCTCTTTACCTACTAAATGTGGACAGTCCTTCCTCTTCACTATTCCTGAGTAATGGTTAGGGGTGTAACGGTTCACAAAATTCTCGGTTCGGTTCAATACAATACAGTGGTGCTACAGTTCGGTATTTTTTCAATACGGCAAAAAAGCAGAAATGCCAAATCCTCGCTAGTGACACTCTCAAGGAGGCACGTCTGAAGAACATGGGTAAGGTAATAGTGGGTAGTGAGGTAATGTGTCGTTACAGTCAGGTAGATTTGTGTAGTCCGTGACATCCGGCTGTCTGTTGTCAGAGGAACAGCGGGAGCTTCGGACATTTGATTCTCTGTTTGGGCTTTTGTTTTCTTTAACAAAGCAAGAATTATGTTCTGGAGAAATGGGCTCGTGAATGAGTAGTGTCACGGGGCTCAATAGCATTAAGCATGTTCGTACAGCCTGGTCTTCCACTCCAGAGTAGGGTCTCATATCCACTGCTATAAATATAACAATCGCCGTGGCGATTGCGGTGGCCCTGTTTGAGTCAGTAGGGAACAGCTACCTAAATGCTGCGGAGAGAGTTTGTAGCGTGTGTACTGCTGTCGGTTTTCCTGCTAAGCTAGTTTAGCGTAGCGTGGCTCCCAGAACATATGTGCCTCACCAGAGTAGAATGTTTTTCTTCCGTGGTAGAGTGTCAGACATCACGTTCTCTGTTACGTGTTGGAGTGTCAGACAGTATGTTGTCTGTTACGTGATGGAGTGTCAGACAGCACATTGTCTGTTACGTGTTGGAGTGTCAGACAGCACGTTGTCTGTTACGTGTTGGAGTGTCGGATAGTATGTTGTCTGTTACGTGTTGGAGTGTCAGACAGTATGTTGTCTGTTACGTGTTGGAGTGTCAGACAGTATGTTGTCTGTTACGTGGTGGAGTGTCAGACAGTATGTTGTATGTTGTCTGTCACGTGGTAGAGTGTCAGACAGTATGTTGTCTGTTACGTGGTAGAGTGTCAGACATCATGTTGTCTGTTACGTGGTAGAGTGTCAGACAGTACGTTGTCTGTTACGTGGTAGTGTCAGACAGTACGTTGTCTGTTACGTGGTAGTGCCAGACAGTACGTTGTCTGTTACGTGGTGGAGTGTCAGACAGTATGTTGTCTGTTACGTGGTGGTAGTGTCAGACAGCACGTTGTCTGTTACGTGGTGGAGTGTCAGACAGCACGTTGTCTGTTACGTGGTAGAGTGTCAGACAGCACGTTGTTTGTTACGTCGGGTGGTTTGCCATGTTGAGAACATTATATTTCCCACAATTTAAGCTTCTGCATTTTCCAAATGCAATAGTATTATTCAAACGTATTGTTCGGTTTGTAATGTGTACCGAACCGTAAGCCTCATACCAAACGGTTCAATACGAATGCGCGTATTGTTACACCCCTAGTAATGGCCACACAGTAACAGTATCTACCTCTACACTCATACACTGTTTAGCTTTTATAAATAAATGCATTTTTTCTTCTTTGATATTCTTTTTTTGTCATCAAATTTACTCAAATTATCACTATTGGCATTATTGCTCTTTTTTTTCTCTGTTATCTTGTGCACATCCGAGATTTATGTCCTCATATCTTTTATTTTAAACTTCTTTACATGCAATTGTCTGGGTCTGCGTATATCTATAGGTCTTGTTCATACTTTTTCCACATGTACACATGTCCACACACTTCCAGATCTGCACTAATTTAGCTCACTCATATTTAGTGAACCTGTCTGACCCACAATGAGTCCGAAGTTTGTTCGTGAGAAAATCAATGAGAGATTTGTTCTTGCTACAATCAGTCGAACATATACAGTACATCTAATCACAGGCTCGTGTAGGAATATATGGAATGATGGGTGCATATTAAGTCTACATACCTTTCATTATACTTCAGCAAAGTAAAGATAATTTCCATCACCTATTAGCTGCTACATGGACAGATCACTGTGTGGCTCCTGTTAGGTCATGACTGTTTCCTGTCTGTAGGAGCTGATCAGCCAGGCAGCTCAGATCCTAGGCTCTGTGGACTTCCTGGGGAACCCAATGGGCCTTGTCAACGACGTCACTGAGGGCATGTCTGAGTTAATCAAGTACGGCAATGTGGGTGGTCTAATACGCAATGTGACCCACGGTGTGTCCAACTCTGCTGCCAAGGTACTCCTCTGCATAGCTGAGTCGAGATGACAGTCTGCTTTTCTGTGTGAATACTTTTGTTCTGTTCTATATTTGTTCTGTATTTACTGTGCTATATATATTTTACAACATCCTTTTCTCTTTTTTTTTTAATGTATTACTTGAATGTAGCGTTGTTGTATTATATTATACAGGTGTAGTATACACATGAGCATATACCTGTAAAGCATGTGAGACTTGTAAAAGTGGAAGACACCGTGTAGTGTGAACATCTTCTTGTTCTCTGTGTGTCAGTTTGCAGGGACTCTATCAGACGGCCTGGGGAAGACCATGGACAACCGGCACCAGAGCGAGCGAGAGTACATCAGATACCACGGAGCCACCAGCGGAGAGCACCTGGTAGCAGGGATCCACGGACTGGCTCATGGTACAACCTGGCTCTATTTCTGTGTTCGTTTTCAACCGTTACAGTACAGCTAGTGGGCCAAAGAATCATTTAGTAGGTGTCTGAATGAACACTTAGGACCCCCAAAAACCTAAAAATCTCATTTTGGGGGATGTTTGAAAAATCGGACTAAATATTTTTTCGGCACACAATTTATTTGCATTTTGAAAGTTGAGGAGCAGCACACAGAAAGAAGGCTGCCAGGATGAAATACTGTACCTGTGCTGCCCAGCAGACTGATGAAAAAAGAGATGTAGAGATGCATATGGACATGGCGAGTAGAAAAACATGCTTTACAGTCATAAACTGTAATGTGTGGAAAATGTTCAGTATCACCAGAAGGAAACCTCCCTGTTTGCTGAGAGTGCAGAAATAACCGCTCGTGTCTCAGGATCTGGTCACAGCGCTGGATTTTAATAAGGTGGTGGATAGTTTTAGAAATAACCAGGTAAGGGAGAAATGACAGCTCACTCTGTTGCTCAGTGTTTATGGCTGAACAAGCTGTGCAGACATTGGTCAGGCTCTGTGATCACTGTTTTGGTGATCAATAGAACTAGCTTTTACAGTTTCAGTGTGTGAAACTGAACAGAAACTGAAGCTCATAAAATCTGGAAAAAAGACTGTATTGCATTGTTGCGGTTGTTGTACTTGAGAGAAATATTTGATCAAGGTGTACAGAGTTTCTTTTCACAATCTCCAGTAGCTGATTGATAAAAGTCATTAGATCCTGTGTTGACACAAGATAAGACATTTATGGAAGGGTGATTCCTTCTGGTGATCTTCTGATGATTTCTAAGTCTGATGTAAATCGTTTTCTCTGCTGTGTTTATGACTTAAGAACATGTGGGAAAATCAGTTTTATCAGGATAATCTCTCTAACTTCCTGAAAAAAAAAAAAATCTGTCAGAAAGTGGGAAAAACATATTTTACCAGATTAAAAAAATGAAGAGTTGGCAGGATAATTTACTGACAAGTTTCTTTTTTCCACAACATATATGTACCTTAAAAGTTGGTGCACTTTTGCTTCTTGTGGCCCAAATGACTACAACTACAAACACCTAAAAACATGATTCTTAGGTCATGGATCAGATTTACTGTAGAAAATGGATCACTAGAATACATTCTTTTCTCACTTGCCTCTCAGGGCTTCCATAGGCATGGTTTATATCGAAAGTTACGAATGTAACTACGGTTCTATGAATCCTGGATGACCGCCAAAGGCAGTGCTTAACACTGGATATCTTCTGTCTCGTGCATGCGCAGGTCGAGTATTTATATCAACAAAGTCACCTGTGACCTTGGATGACCCCCATCGTCTATAAGTTCCGGTGTCATCCTGAGATCAGTCCTACGGAATCTTCTCGTGAGTTCACGGGATTCCGAGTGACCAAGAATTCTGGCGGTCATCCAGGATTCATAGAACCGTAGTTACATTCCTAACTTTCGTTCTATTTCATCCTTACTGACCGCCAGAGGCAGTGCTTAACACTGAATGACTTATATCAACAGAGTCACGAGGAATTACAGTAACTACCTCGTATAGCTTCGGCAGAGGAACTTGGCCAAAGAACCCCTTCCCCAGTGGGTGAGGGGTGGCAACGTTCACTCTATAGTGTCTGGTGAATGTGCTCGGTGATGCCCATGAGGCCGCAGCACATATATCCTCCACAGGCACACCTCTCAGGGCTGCCCATGACGTGGAGACACTCCTGGTAGAGTGGCCCTTCACTCCGGATGGTAGAGCATGGTCACTCGCCTTGTATGCATAGGCAATGGCCTCCACTATCCAGTGGAACAGGCGCTGTTTTGAAAGGGCAAAGACCTTCTTCGGCCCACCATAACTGATAAAGAGCTGCTCCGACTGCCGTATGCACGCGGTGGCTTCCACATAAGCTCTGAGGGCCCGCACTGGGCACAGCAGCCTTGACCTCTCCTCTCCCGATGGGGGGTCAAACTTTGCCAGCTGGATAGGTTGGTTGACATGTGAGCGTGTCGGCACCTTTGGGAGAAACGCTGCATTAGGCCACAAAGTGACACCCGAGCCATCTGAGTTCCACCTCAGACATGATTCACTCACCGACAGGGCATGCAGCTCGCCTACACGTTTAGCTGACGTGATGGCAAGGAGAAAAAACGTTTTGCTCGCTAGCCATCTTGGCTCCGCCTGTGCCAGGGGTTCAAAAGGAGGCAAGCATAGTGTGTCCAATACCAAATGTAGGTCCCATGCAGGGGCTTTCAGGGTGTTCGGGGGGGCGCAATCGCAGAGCCCCTCTTAGGAAGAGGGACAGCTCTTCTGACTGGTTCTATGCAGCCAGTCAGCAGCCGGTCGGGCCCTCCAGCGGCCAGACCCATAGTTGGAGGCGGCTGGGATCGGGATGCCAAATCCGACCCCCTAGTTGCGACAGGAGGTCCCTCCTGTCGGGGAGGCGCCAGGGTGTCGTGCAGCAGAGTCTGTGCAGTAGGGAGAACCAAGTCCTGGCTGGCCATAAGGGGGCCACTAGCAAGAGTCTGTGGCCCTGTTGAAGAACTCTGAGAAGCGTTGGCAAGATCAGAGGGAACGGTGGAAAGGCATAAAGAAGCCCTTCTGGCCACGTGTGAGCCAGCGCATCCTGACACAGAGGACTGGTCCTCTTCGTCACCAGTGGGGACAGTGGGTCGACATCTCCGAGGCAAAGAGATCCACCTCTGCCCTGCCGAAGAGACCCCAGATGTTCTGTACTACATCTGGATGAAGCCGCCACTCCCCCGGTGGAGGCTTGTGACGGGACAGGAAGTCTGTGACCTGATTCCGTTCTCCTGGTAGGTACATTGCCCGAAGGCTGGTAAGGCGAGGGGCAGCCCAAGTCAGAAGGGCACGGGACACCCGTAGTAATTCTGGCGATCTGGTGCCCCCTTGATGGTTTATGTGAAACACAGCAGAGGTGTTCCACTCAAGTATGGCAGGAAATGTCTGAGCGCTAGGTGCACGGCCCGTAGCTCTAGAACATCGACATGCTTCGTGCGGTCTTGAGCAGACCACTGCCCCCGAGCAGTCCTGTTCTGCCACACTGCAGCCCATCCTGAGAGGCAGGCATCTGTTGTGACCACCTCCCGGGAGCTCTTCTCCATGTTCACCCTGAGGCCCCACCGGGCCACGTGAGAGAGAAGGCCAGCAGTGTCCTGTGCCGCCTGAAGCCGGGATGGTGATCAGCGAATCGTCCAAGTACGGCAGTGTTTTCATGAACACCTGTGGGGAGAGGGATAGTCCGAATGGGAGCACCCTGAACTGGAATGACCGCCTTGAAAGGCGAAGCGAAGAAACTGCCTGTGGTGAGGCACAATGGGAACATGAAGATAGGCATCCTTCAGGTCGACAGACGTGAACCACTCTCCCCTGGAAACAGTCTGAAGGACATCTGCTGTGCTCAGCATGTGAAATGGTAACACCTTCAGGAACTTGTTGAGTCCCCTCAGGTCTAGGACTGGGCACAGTCCGTCGCCTTTCTTTTTTACAAGAAAGTAAATTGAGTAAAACCCCCCAGGAGCAGGACCAGGAGCGTGGCTAACTCCTGGTTCAGGGCTAGGGATTTCGCCGAATCTGTGATGCTGGTCATTTTGACCTTGCTGGAGGCTGGGGGCCGCTGTCGGAATTAAAGCTTGTACCCCTGGGTTAGGGTGGACACCACCCAGGGGTCTGAAGCATGCTCTGCCCAGTAGCTGATGTGCTGCTGGGAGAAATAACCGACGGCCGGCCCGGAGACATCATCTCCTGGCCCCCCCTGCCTCTTGAGGCTCTGGGGGGGCGACTGGTAGCCCCTAAGTTCGGAGGATGTCTGGGGGGGACGTAAGTAGGGTTGTATACCCATACAACCCTACTTACGTCCCCCCCCCCCAGACAACTTTGTCTGGGGTTGGGGTTGGCCTCTCAGCGGGACGCTGAGGTCTGTGGCGGCTACTGGGGTGAGCTGGGGGCTGAGAATGGCTTCGAGGGGCCGAAGTGGGATCCCTAGATCTCCGGGGAGCAGGCATGTTCCTGCGAAGACCAGAGAACTGCTGCCTGGTCTGGCTAGCTTCAACACTCTGCTGAAGCGCCTGTATAGTAGCTGACCCAAACAGCTCACCAGGTTCCACTGGGATAGTACGGAGGGTCCTCCTACATGTCTCAGATAGGGGTGACTGCGCCAGCCAAACCTGGCGGCGAGTCTGGACCAGGGTTGGACATCCAAGTTCCCTCGACATGAGCGCAAACGCCTGCAGTGAGGCATCACTGAGGCTGGTGGCGGAAGCGTCATAAGTAACCTGCTGGAGAGAAGCTGAGAGGGCAATCATGAGGTGGGAGAGGGAGTTCCAATACGGCCCATGCGCGCTGCTGTGTCATAAGCCTGTGACCCGGCATTGGGGTCGAGGGCACCTGGCATCGGGACTCTGGGTCTCCTCAGGGGAAACTATGAGGGACGCAATAGTCGGCCAAATTTTGCTGCGTCCTGCATGGCCGCAAGGGTTCGTCCATCCGATGTAAGACGGGACAGAATCCCAGTGTCTCTCTAGCATGCATGCAGCTCCCTCAGATATTCTTCGGAGGGCGGAACAGAAAAGGTGCTGGGGGCAGGAGCGCGCCTGAAGAAGGCACTCGCAGGCGGAGGTTCCGGCTGCTGCGTATCTAACTGCAGGCGTGCCAGCACCATGTGAATGACAGACCTCATGGAGCTATCGACTGCCCCCTCCGAAGAACTATGAGCTGAGGAGGCCTAGGCCCAGAAGCATGGGAGGGCCGCTCTTCACTGTACTCTGTAAAGAGATTGGCTGACACTGCCAGTGAGATAATGTCCTCTTCTGAGCCAAGCTCAGCCGCGGGTGGATCTGAAGCTTCAGCCCCCCCTGCACTAGGGTGTAAGGTCAGGAGAAGCGACTTCATTTGAACTAGCTTGGCGGTCAGCAGATCCACTCTAGAAGACAGCATGCTGGACTTAGCCCTCTTGGAGGGAGCCCCTGCGGCTTCTGTGGCCCTGCGTTTGGAATGGGTAGGTTGGGCTGGATTCACCTGCCCTGACAGGGGGAGGTCGACCACACCCATCAGGTGTTCCGCCTCGGCGAGCCTAGCAACCCTTACTACTCGAGGCATGATGCCACAGTTCATGCATGGGTTCTCCGAGAGGCCCTCCCTCAGAGGCCAAGGCAAGAGGAGCAGAGGTCATTGCCATCCTCAGGCTGAAGAGGAGCCATACAGGTCATACAGCCGGGAGAGTTAAACATTGCCGCGATTCTGGAAGAACCCTTGCCACTACTTGACGCGGGCTGCTAGGTCAGTCTGAGCGGGAACACTCTGCTGAATGTTGTGAGAACAAGCAGGGGACAGTCAGTGAGAGGGGAGTGAGGACACTCTTCACTAGGATAGTTGCTGCAGATATTGGTGTCCCGCTAGTTAGAGTGAGCGAGAGCAGTCTGCTACTGTGGAAACGGGTCAAGAAAACAGTCCTTACAGTCAGAGGGGAGCGAGAACACACTCTTCACTAGGATAGTTCCTCACTAGGATAGTTGCTGCAGATATTGGTGTCCCATCAGTTAGCTTGAGCGAGAGCACTCTGCTACTGTGGAAACCGGCCACAAAAAAAAGAACACAGTCCTTACAGTGAGAGGGGAGCGAGGACACACTCTTCCCTTGGACAGTTGGTCACTTGGACTCTTGGTGTCCTAACAGTTAGCCTGAGCAAGGGCACTCTGCTAACTGTGATAGCGTAATGTTTACAAAAAATCAATGGACACAATCACAATACACAATATTAGCTTAGTCTAGTTAGCCGGAGCGAGGACGCTCTGCTAACTGTGACAGCCGTGTAAGGAATCAATGGACACAATGTCAACGTCGATCTAGTCCAACTAGTATCTCACCAAGTTAGCTTGAGCGGGAACACTCTGTTAACTGTGAAGGGCGGCCCGACAGCGTAACTCTACGCTCCCATTAGCACGCCACTCGATTAGCTAGAGCGGAAGCGCTCTGCCAACCATGGAAAACGAACAATGGTTATAGAAAAACAATGTTAATCGATCTCACCGATTGCTGTCTTCACAATTTTGGTGGCCCTTATCAGACTGAGTCAGGGGCTCGATGGTCCGCACGGCGAAACATGCCGTTCCCTCCTAAGAGGGACAGCTTGTCGCAGCCTTTGGAGGGCGAAGATCCGCATAGTCCGACCGGTGGTCACAAGGCTACCGCGACAAACTCTAACATGTCTTGGTCGTAGTCAAAATAATTTCTTATTCTTGTTTAGTTTCTACTACCATGGTAGTTAACCTGCGTAGCGAGAAGATGAAAAAGAACTGATCTCAGGATGACACCGGAACTTATAGACAACGGGGGTCATCCGAGGTCACAGGTGACTTTGTTGATATAAATACTCGACCTGCGCATGCGCGAGACAGAAGATATCCAGTGTTAAGCACTGCCTCTGGCGGTCAGTAAGGATGAAATGGAACTAGTGCCTTGTTATAATTGCATGGCAAACATAAAAAAGTTCAAACCTGCTAACAGTTCATGTGTAAGGGGGCTCCTGTGCCTTACCACTCCAGTAAAATTAGCCTAAAACGCCTATCCTGGCATGCCCAATGTAAATTGAAAGCTGTTCTTGAACCATTTGGAGTACATGCATGGTTTTGGTCTCTTTTGAAAGGTAGCACTCTGAAGTTGTTTCCCCAACAGTCAGAATCAATATAACTGCTACTGGCATTGAGTAATAGAAGTTTGAACATACTGAAGTAGGAAAACACAATGGGACCACAGCATGAAGCCTTACCTAGTCCCAAGTTCAAATTTGATAATGATACCACAGAAACTTAATATTTTTCACATGTCTAGGCGTTTTCCAAAAAAGGCCATTTGGAGACCCATGGTAACCATGCTCCCATACCTAGGCTGTGTAAAAATATGTATTCATAATTCAAACTAAAGCTTATTTATGTCGATATACAGTAATTATTAAGTTATTTCGCCATTATTACTACAAAACTCTCAAAAACCGCACTTTGCATTTTACGCAGGGCCTTGACTCGCGGTTATGCAGTTACTTCCGGGTTGTGGCTCTAAATCTACCCACTGAAGCTGTATATCGTTATTTTCGAAATTTCATTGGCTATACGAAACGTCAGTCATCAGAACGATCGGTTGCAAATGGCTCGGTCTTTACATGAAAGAAGAGGGGCAGGCACTTTCCTTTAACGCGGACTCTCGTTGGATATTGTAGGCTGTGGACAGGACATGGAAGCTCCTATTGGGTCAAGTGAGGTGTCAATCTAAAGGTCAGAGTGCAGCCGCCATTTTGAGACGCAGAGACCGGCAATGTTTACATGCGAACTGGAGTTACGTTGCAAAATACATTAATGATGCAACAGCAGTCCGTGGGTATTTATGGACGTAGTAATGTGTTTTGGACTAAATATTTTACTTGATCGGACCGTCTGGACCTTTGCTAATGTAACAAGACCGCTTTTGTTGGAATATTATCGATGGGTAGATTTCTATGAAGCTTCATCGGTGAGTTGCCTCAATTTTGTAATTGTTTGTTTGTTAGTTGGTGGTCTGACAGATGTTGATTGTACCTGCTGTTGTGATTGTATCTTGAAAGGATTTGCATAAATCGAATCACAAGAATCTTAGCTTTCCAAAGATATGTCGCATCAGTACCTACCTATACATAGCAGATGTGTACATAACACAAGTGTACACTTAACACTCCAAAAGCCCGTGGGTAGGCCGTCGGAGTGTTAACCTTGATGTCTGTTGACAATCCGAGACCCTCAAAAAATTGACCATATGACTTCTCTATCTGATTGTTCGTGTGCATCCCTGATTGTTTCATTGGATCTGTCCATTGGTTGGACTGACCCAGTGATTCATGGGAAAAAGTTTTTTGAGCCTTCTATAATGTACAATATGAAATTAAGTTATTGCTCCTTAGCCCAGATATATATAACAATATAAATATAAAAGAAGACCAGTCCTGTTAGCAATCAGTACAAATTGAAATTGCAGTTCGTATGTTCATATGGGAACATACATGAAAGGCTCTTATCCCATTGTGTCCAAGCTGTGTCAGCACTTACCCATTAATCAGATGCTCCAAAGCTGCCCCAGTTCTTTCAGGCTTAACCCCTCAGTGATCGCAGTTGTTCTCCTCCCCCACCCCCAGGTATCATCGGAGGCATGACGAGCATCATCACTTCCACTGTGGAGGGCGTGAAGACGGAGGGCGGAGTCAGCGGCTTCTTCTCTGGCCTGGGTAAAGGTCTGGTTGGCACCGTGACCAAACCGGTGGCTGGGGCTCTGGACTTTGCCTCGGAGACAGCACAGACGGTCCGGGACATGGCTAGTCTCAGTAACCACAGGTGGGTTGAGTCTATCACCTGTACTATGTCACTCCACCTTCTGTATTCTATGGAGTCAAAGAGGTTTTTAGCTCTCTACGGAGCAAATGTTGAGAGATGAATTTGCTGCAGCATGTAGTAACATATGAAGCGTAAATGTTACTGAACTGAGTTGAAAAGTAAAATAATGACTGTATTGTATATGCCTTAAAAATACTGAAGCAAATCTTGTGAGGAAAACGGGTAAAGTTGTGATTGGCGGGTAAAGTGTTGGTGTGGTTGCTGTGTTGATCAGGCTCAGTGTGCAACGGGTCAGGAAGCCTCGCTGCTGTAAAGGACCTCAGGGTCTGCTGCCGAGACACTCGAACACACAGGCTGACGGTCAGGAGCAGCTCTTCCGCCTCACTGACAACATCCACTCTGAGTTGTGAGTCTCACTCGTTCCCTACATTCTTACACACAGTGCGTGTCTAATACCCTGATTACCTTCAGTTCCATCAGACTGACTCTTCACTGTCTCCCTCCAGCTTCATCGCTGTGGAACCCATCGACAGCTACTGCGTCCTCATCTCCTCCAAAGTGGTCTACTTCCTGAGGCCGGGGGACTATGTGGACCGCGAGGCCATCTTCCTGGAGGTCAAGTATGATGACCTCTACCACTGTCTGGTCTCTAAGGATCATGGGAAGGTATATGTGCAGCTCACCAAGAAGGCTGAGAGCACTAGCAGTGGTGTGGCCATGCCTGGCCCCTCCCACCAGAAACCCATGGTAAGACACTCATCTGACTAGTCCTTCATTGACGGTCTCTGGATAGTACGACCAAATCACACACACACATTAAATCTCTCCATGGATATAGTTGTGCTTTGATTTGTGCCTCAACCTCATTACAATGAAGCTGAATGGCATTTAGTTTTTTGCTACTAAAAAATTTAATTCAACAGGAATGTGTCTCTAGAAACCAAGTTTCATCCAAATGTATCTCAAATTCTAACCAAATTTCAAGAGAGTGGAACTGAAGTCGCATGCTTCATGTATGTCATCTATCCATTTAATATGTTTCTTTTCCATGTTTTGCTTTTATCAATACAACTTTTCTGTTTCAGCCAAGCGTAAAAACTACTTTCTGATCTTTCTGATTTTTTTTGCCATTTCCACGCAGGTTTTTTTTTTTATGTGCATATAAACAGTTGAATGGAAACACAACTACTGTTACTCTGAATAATAATAAGAACAACACACTGTCTCTTTGGTAAAAGCAAGCAACTTTCAGGTGTGGCTAGACAGACCTGAGTCACATGACCTCCTCTCCACCATGGAGACCTGGAAGAAGACAGACTCCAGAATCTCAAAGCTCAAGCATATCCGTCACACAGATAGGATTGAATGTCAAACAGAGAGAGATGACATGCACACAGACATAAATGATGACTCGTGCCAATGAGGTGTTTGCAGCTGTACAGGTTGTTTTAAGCAAACCTACAGAAGTAACAAGTCTTACTCACTGTGTAACAATCCTCTCCACAGGTCCATGTGAAGAGTGAGAACCTCGCCATCAAAATCTCTCAAGAAATCAACTATGCTAAGAGTCTGTACTACGAGCAGCAGCTCATGCTGCCTGCCAGTGAGAACGAAGACTGCTTGCTGCTCGAGTCCTGATCACATGAGTTTTCTGAAGGAACTTCTCTTAAATCCTGAGAAGGCGACGACTTTTATTGATTTTTGTAGGCCTCCGAGTTTTAACAAACTGCAGTAAAGGGAATAGTCAGACACCTGTGCACTTGGTTTACTCACATGACCTGATGTTTGGCAAAGCACATACATGCACTCAACATAAAAACAAATGCAAGGGAGTGTTAGTTTGGCTGTGTTTATGTAGAAAACACTGTTCCTCTGTCTTTATACGACTGCTGAAGACATCCTCCGGGTGTTCTATGTGTTTGTGAATAGACAGAAATGTAAATAGAGCTACATACCAATACTATCAACCAGTGTACATACTGTATTAATTATGAAGTATGAAGAATAACAACAAAAGCTGATAATGTGAAATGTAACAAACTGCCTTTGCAACTCTATTTTGTGTATAAGAGACTATTAGTTGGGGGGTGAATTGCACTGACACAGGGAGGGAGGGGCCCTGCAGCCTTCCTGCCTCACACACACTGAAGCCTTTTACAATGACACACCTCCAGGTCTGATGTGTCTCCACTTTCATTTAACAACCCTTTTTTAACGAGCCCGCTTCTTTCTATCCAGAGTTCTCCTGTAAACGTCAGTGTGCACTTCCTTTTAACTCGTCTTTGGGTTTTGGTTTGGTGTCTGATGAGATTTTCTTGAGCTGAGTTTGAGTTGTGTGTTAGAGGGAGTGGAGTTGGGGATAGGCCAGTCAGAGAGGTAGTGGACTGTGGTGGATATGTGATCCTGTAAAATATCGTTCACATGGACACTGCTTCAAATAAAGCACCACAACTGCAGCACTCACTGGGTGGGACCTGTTATTTCCACACTTGAATGTACAGTTATACAATATTCTATGATTGCATACACACACCTGTTTGGGGGAGGGGCATGATGATTGTCACTATGAAAAATCCCCAAGTTCAAAACCACCAGAGATTGTGCTGACGGCGATCGTTCATCCAAAATGCATCTACAAAACGTTTTCTGCAGAGAGTACATTCTCTGACACTATAAGTTCGGTGTCAAAGGAGAATCATTATTGATAAATGACACATTCATTTTCCAATAATAATTAAGCTATGAAGCTGCAATCACTCCACGATCACGGTGTAACTATTGCTGGGCCAGTGTGATCATCTCCCTCTACACCTCAGGAGACACACAGGTCAGCGGGAGGTTGCATTGATAAACATTGACACCACTTGATAGAGGTTTATGTTTTCAGTTTTATTCCACAGGATATATATGATATTACAATCTGTTCCACATGGTTTTATAGGGCTAACATGTTTGCTTCTACATCACCTGCACTTTATGTGAAATTAGACAGGTATGTTTTTGGTAATCTAATTGTCTTTTTTTTTTTTTCTTACACCAAATGCACCAAAAGAAAGACCATTTAGTTATTGTTTTTGCGTTGAGCAAAGAAACGTGACCATTTTCAGATCTGATCAAATAAAATGATTTTTTTTAAATGTATGCTATGCTGGATTTTCCTGAAAAACTGTATAAGCCAATATAAATGTAATCCCTCTCAATCATTACTTCTGAGTAGGGCTGGGTATCTGTACTTGATACCTTTAAAGGTGCAAGATAGGAGATTGGGAGCATTATGATTGCCTCTCAACATGGCGAATGCCAGCCGGTGGCTCACAGCTAAAGATGCTAACAGTGCAAACAACGGCAACAGCGCTGACGGAGCTAACAGTTTTGAATCGGAGGGTGGCCGTTACAGTTCTGCAACAACACCACCGAGGTTCATGGGAAGTATTGGAATCTGACCAGGTGCCTTCGACATTTGGTCTGAGACAAAGAGAATCAGGCCTTCCTGTTGGCAAGCAAAGGTTTCATCCTGATTCAAGTTTGAGGAAGACCAACCCCCCTGAAGAAACTCACATTACACTGTTCAATTTCTGCCCCCAAACGCACCACTGCTCTCATTGGACGAGACCAGGGATGCCGAGGCGGCACTTCCGGTTTTACAACCGGATGCCCCCAAACCTATGAAACTCCGAGGTTACCTGAACACCACTTCTCGATCGACCCAGCGTTGGTGCCAGGGAGCACGAATGCAACGCTTGCTTCCCTTTTACCAAAACCTAGTTCGAATAGTTTTATATTCGCGGGATGAATATACCAGCTGTTCATCATTTTGTACTTGTGTGTTCGCATCCTGGACGCAGAACGTTTCTTCAAAGAGAGAGAGAGAGAGAGGGAGAGAAGCGCATTTCTCACTCTACATCCAAGCCTCCCTTTGTTCTAGCCATAAGGACGCGAAATTCCCTTATCCAGACCAAGAGATTCTCTGCTACCAAGAGAGTCGATCACGCCGCACAAAGCCTGAGTTCCACTGAAGGTCAGAAGGATCCCCCCCCCCCCTCCTCAGTCGCAAGGACTGCAACACAGGCAGAGATTCTGGGCAGATACGAAGTAGAGGTCATTGTGTTTCTTTATCTTGTTGGTGTGCTTAAAGTACTGTTAATTTTTTATAACGTGGTGTAAGCTTTATGATCGCTGACGTGTGTAGAAGTTACCGTGTATTCCATGCTACGGTGATTCGTGTTGAGACAGCCGCAGTGAGGTCGGGGACTGCGATCCTTAGTGCGAGGTCAGAACCGCATCTGTGACAAAGAGCTGCGGCTATGCTCCTCTGACGGAGAGAACAGTTTTCTGAACTCCGGCGCGGAGGATCTTAATCTTTTGTTTTGGAGGTTTTATTTTGTTTTCTCTTTCTCCTCTTTTACTAACACACACACACCAGAGGTAGCCAACACGGTGCGCGCGGGCACCTGGTCGCCGGCAGGGACCATGTGAGTCGCCAGCAAGGCATGTTCTAAAAATAGCACTAGTCCCCATGGATCTCCGTCTAAAAATTGTAGTTTCTGTTCTTTTTTTAATTAAAAACGCTTGCATTCATGTAGATAAGTTCGGTGTCAAAGGAGAATCATTATTGATAAATGACACATTCATTTTCCAATAATAATTATTGCTATAAAGCAGCAATCACTCCACGATCACGTTGTAGCTATTGCTGGGCCAGTGTGATCATCTCCCATTAATAATTAATTATTAATAATTCTATTGATGTCAATAATTGAGTTTTCTTAGATGCTGATAACACGTTCCCAACAGGAGGTATATCAGTACTAACTGTTGTATGAGCGCTGTGCAGAGTGGCGGCTACGCTAGCCAGTGGGACACAGCTTCCATTCACATGATGCTTATTGGTATTGGCCTCATTTTAAGGACACTGGCATTGTAATTTTACAAATGTTACCCAGCCCTACTTATGAACCATGAAGTGTGTGGTGGTGTCTGTATCTTCAGAGAAGCTGCCCTCTGCCTGGATTTTCTCATTTTGCTGTATTCAGGATGTTTCTGGGCATCAGCCTTTGGGCACTGAGTGTATATCCCCCACACATGAGCAAGCACGCATCCGAGAGGAAACTACGAAAATGCACCAAAGAAATGTAAATAGAGCGGCAAACACCAAGCTGGATACAGTCATTTGGAAGCAAATGTTTTACGAAGGAGCTTTTAATCATTTCCAGTAACACATTCTTGGTTTCCCAATCCATCCATCATTTAAACAAGGAAACGTGTCATCAGCACAAAGCGCTTTTACAGTCATGGAGTAAAAGGGAGGGAGGAAGGGATCCTGATTCATGATGCGTTGACATTATGCTCCCTGAAAAAAATGAATGCAATCAACTGTTACAGAAGCATTTCCATAAATGACAGTATTTGACTAGTCACTCTGGAGCTACAGGTGAGCAGCTGTGTTGCACAAGGGAATAAAAGTTACTAATGTTCCAAATGTGTTGATTTCTGAGAATTTAAATAACCTTCAAACTCCTCCAGATCCCACAGAATAAGCACTGAACACTTGTTGGGTCTGTTTCTGGTCTGAGCAGCTCTTATTTGTGATGGTCACAGGTTTTTGATCACTTTCAGTGGCTCTATCTGTCCTCTACTTATTCATAATAATATCACATTTTTGTGCAGTTGGAGTGTCTGCATGAGAGGTGACTATGCTGATTGGCCAGCATCTAGCCTATCAGTATCTCCAGTGCTATTATTCCCTGTGATCTAGTGTCAACCCTGCAGACTCTTATAGGTGACATCACACTATATCCAACGTTTCCCTCAGTATGATGCAGTTAGTGTCACCTAAAAACTCATAAACAGTCAGAGTAGAGTAACCCATCAGCAAAGTTGCTCACAGTGTGACGGCATGCTGAACAGCATCTGGACCTTTGCTCTGTGGCTAATGCGCTTTCAATATCTGTCTTCTCTCCCAGAGTTGAAGTCCTGCTGCATCTTTAATGTTCAGCACTGGTGGAACAGCTGGGTGGGGGTTTAGCTACTGCCGGGGGGTCATTAAGAAGCCGGAGCCTCAGGTAGATGTGGGTGGTGGTGTGTGGAGGAGCAGCAGAGCCTCGGGTCACGTCAGCTCGCAGGTGAAGCTCAGCAGCAGCAACATGGAGATTAATGTGAGGGAGCACCGACTGGCCGCTGCGTCAATGGCTGCACACAAAGACAGCATGCATTACAGAGCACTGCTCGAGATTCATACTATTATGCACCATGACTGTGGCATGTTGACTGCTACAACTTCCCACAAAAGGAGAAGTCTATATTTGTGATTATTTTAACAACAAATCTCATGTTCAGACCCAAACCAACACTGAATATCTTGTAACAAGTATAGTGTGCGTATCAGAGCCTGATCTGTTCTCTTCCTCCGTGCAGAGAGCTCTATTGTTAGGCACAAACTAAATGATTTATCCCGTCAGTGAGCCACACGCTTCCTGCATTACCGTGACTCTTTCTGAACCCGTCTAGGGTCTGTTTTGTACGTCAGTTTCTGCTTGTTACATGCATACATCGCCTATTGAAAATAAACTTCTGTTTTAACAAGAAACAACTTGATTAGGTTTCGACAACAAAATTACTTGGTTAGTTTTAGGAAAAGTGTTTTTTGTTAAAAACGTACGTCTGCTACATAGTCAGAAGTCAATATTGACTTTTGGTTTCACACGGGATGTGAACACCAGTCTGCAAGGCCTAGCACCCGTCTTTGTGTGAACCCACACCCACACAGACTTTCTTGCTCTCTTTATTACTTCACCATACTTCCTCCTTTACTCCCACCATACCTACGCCACATAGAGCACAGCTTAGCTTAGGGCCACTGATCAAGCTGCCATAGTTGATGACTTCGGAGTGAGAATGGGCTCACTGTGTGTATAAATTAGAAGTGTTTCAGTTTTGTTTCTGAGATATCCCCAATTTTCCATCCTTTTCATGTGAGGAATGGCACCAAAAACTACCAACTACCAACCCACAAGCCTCATCAGGTCCATCAAAGTCTGTCAACTGATTCTAAGTTGCAAAAGGTATGGTCTGCTTCACTTTGAGTTTCAAATGACCTCTACCCAGCAGCCTTTGCTCCTTGTTTGTCATGTTTATCCCATCTTAAAAGCCTGACTTACGGTGTACCTCAAGGATGGATTCTGGGCCCTATCCTTTTGTCTACTTATATACTCTCCCTGTGACAGCTGAAAGGTGAGAGGGCAGAGACATTGTCATGAAAGTGACACTATGAAATGAAGTGGCATGAAAGAGAGGTGTAGTTGGGAGAATTAGCATTATAGAATTAAAAACAAAAAAGTTTCTACTATGAAATTGTAATGAAATCCTATAAAACAAAAAATGAAAATAAGTCCTGAAAATACAAATTGAGTTATTATTTAAAATATTTCACAGGATGCCTCCACAGTAACAGTAGTAACAGTGCCTGAACTGATTATGACAAATGACCTACCAATGAAATGTTCTTTTCCTTTCTTCAGTCTTGGGTTATCTGTAAAAACACCAAATCAAATAAAACATTGAGTGTGAGCTCTCTGAACAAATGATCAACTATTAGAACAAGACTCACCAAACACGATGAGGCGGGTGTGAGTGTCTGTGGAGCCTAGAGGATTCTGGGCCGTGCAGCGGAACATGGATCCATTGAGCTCAGCAGGAACTCTCTCCAGGATGAGTTCCCTTCCGTCATGCTCCTCTCTGCCATCTAGCAGATGCCCACCCACCTTTGTCCAGGTGAATATGGGCTCAGGGAAGACCTCGCTCTGTGGAAGCACACACACACACACACAAAGGTGTGTGAGGAGACAACTGCAGGGTCAAGTTGCAAAGTGAGCTCAGGTGGAACACTGATCTCTCTGAGCAATGTTCTTAACCCGTAACACTGCACTGGAGCAGCTCAGTGAACAGTACTGTGGCTCAGCTTAAGGTAAAGGTGTGAGATTCAACCCAATGAAACCAATAATTAAGTGTTGCAATTGGTGTCTTTTTCTAAACAGTGTTATGCAATCACCAACAAAGTAATAGATTGTTTAGTACAGATGATGATAATAATGTTGGCCTGGGGCCCTGTGACACTACAGACTGAGTGAGTGATGAAGTTACACCATCAGAGTCTCTTCTAGTTGCTTTTTCAAAGTGAAGAGGAGCGACAGTGTTTCTGCTGGTTTTGCTGTTTATGTATCTCAACTGCAGATTGAAGCAGGCACATTTTAGACAGGCCTTCATTTCTAATTCACTCCGTTTGATAAGGTGAATTATATATTTGATCTTCTGTCAGTCTGTCTCTCTGTCCCTCCTCTCCAGACACATTCTCTACTCCACAGGCCCTGCAGTTCCCCCGCCCACCTCCTCATTAGCCTCTCCCTACATATACCCATCCACTCCCATTGTTCCCTTGTCAGGCACATTACCACACACACGGTGACTGAAATAGGACAATAACACTTTAGATGAGCATTCCAGTGCAAGCAAAGCTTTAAAATAACCTGATCATAAAGTCATTACTGTTGAATTTCAATTAAAGTAAAAATGTACATTCTGCTCATTTGGCATTCACATTTGATGACAGGCACCAGGAGTTCATCCTATATCTGGGACAGCCTTTTATTTGTTTCAGGTGACCGCACGCCCAGCCATTATTTGACTTGCTTATTTTACAAAATATTGTAATTCATGTAATTATTAAGTGTTTGTTTGCCTTGATAGGCAGAGAGGGGAAGAGAAGGGATCAGGGACAGACAGAGGAGAGCAGGAGAGGGGATTCTTTTTCCAATTTTCCTTTGTATTAAATAGATCTTGAGACATATTTTAGAAAACAGTTCAATGATATAATCAAAGTAAAGTGTTATTCATAGTGTATTTGTTGTGTGTGTCATTGTTGCAGCCCGTGGCTCCAGCATAGCAATGTTGTTTAATATTGTGAGTCTGATGAAGGTCCTCGATTAAAACCCATTGTGTGTCAATTAAATCATTTTTATTACAGTTTTCTACACATCTGATTTGTTCTTAGCCCTTTTTTAAAGTCTGACATTTTCCTTGACGAGAGAAAACGGATTCAATAAGAACAGACTTCACTAAAAGATACACTTTCCATTCAAATTTGATTGTAAAAGTTTGGAGAGATATTACTGTTGACACTGACTGATTCAGAGCCTCAGGGCCCTGACAGCAAAGCCTCAGTCATCTGTGGCCCTCTGGTGCCTCAGGCTCTCTGTTCTACTGGAGGACTGGCAGAGAAAAAGACAGCTTGTCACAACCACCATTGGGATTTAAGGAATACTTCAGGATCTTGGGAACATGTGACTGTTACAGAGGGAAGTCATTTGCATTTAAATGTGTTGTGGAATACCATCACTATCATAACAATGTTAATGCATCTAAAGTGTCCTTGGGCAGATTCCCTGCTGCTGCTCCACATGCTTTCTTTAGAAGGCAAAAATAACAAGTCTATTTACATTCTGTGCAGAGTGTGTTAAACATCTCCGAAACTTTGAACGTGAAGTTACACGGTGTGATTGATTGTAAGGTCACAATACATATAATGTATTGAGTAATTGAGCGAGTCATGCTTGTTTAGTACATTAAAATGTCACTGCAGTCACACATGTTATTATAATGCCCAATATAATAACCCAAGAAACAGCCAGGAGGGAGAGTTCTACCATCGTCCCTGCTCTCAAAAGCTTCACTGTACCACACGACAAAAGATGTAACTCAAGTCTCTCAGGTTGGTTTTGTGAATGGACAGAAAGGAACTGAAACCAATTGTTGCCTGGAAGGAAGGAATTCAATTTAAAAACTTGTGATACACTTTAAAAGTGGTCAAGGTGCCTTTTCTACTCTGTTTTTACCCCCACCCTTTGGTGACATTCTATGATCTCCACAGAGCGGTCCATGTTCATAGAGCCACTGTGTTGGAAACTCACTGCAGAAGGTCCCTGGAAGCCCTGGACGGTGATCCGCACTGTGTCTCCCACCTTGGCCTTACTGGGGCTCATGGACAGCTTGGGTCCTCTGGGAGCAGCTGATGGGAAAGTAAAACAGCTGTTGGACTGCTGTTGTACAACCTTTATATGTCTGAATAATAGGAAACATGTAACACATGACCTAGTATGTGACCTAAATGTGGCTACCCACATTTCAAGGATGTACCCGCTCACTCAGAGAACATATCCACCTCCTTTTCACGCAACTGTGGAATAAACCATTTGAAGTGAAGCAATGCGAACTGCGCTGAAGGCTCAGGATGACCCACTTACTGCTCATTGTTCCCAGTTCTATTTGAATTGCCCATGTTAATTCTCCCTAGTCCTGAATTTGTCCTCCAAAAATGTGGTTGTGTTGATGTTTGAATCTCAACAGCTCTCATTATACTCATTATACATCTCATTAGGTCTCTTGAAACTGCACATGAATAGTGTCAGGGCTCCCTTATTGTTACTGAACCAGGTGATCTGAGTAATTCTTTTGAAAAAGAGGATTGACTGACCATACGCCTCTTTCCATCACTGCTCTAATCACAAGAACTCAGACTGACCACTTTCCTAGAGTCGTACATGAGTCGTGTATGTTGCGTTAGTGAATCCACAGTCCAGCCTCTAAAATATATGGAACTTTATAGCTTTTTAAGTATGAGTCATTGTGCATCTTTTTTGCCACAGGATGTAGCTCAAGCTTGTGGATTTACAATAGTATTGAACTCACGAGGGCTTGCACAGCTACAGCAAGGCATTATGGGAAAATGTGTCAGTCACCAACACTGCGTTAAAGTAAGCTGCACTTTGTGGCAGTGCTTGAGTGAGTTTCTCACCACTGTTTCAGGTTATATTGCTTCCATCTCAACCGCTGGCAGTTATCTTGGTTATATATTAAGCTCAGTAGAAGGTGAGCGTTGTGTCAATGCTGGGCTCAGAGTGTGACGATGCGCTACTCCATGGAAGTAGTAAGTACCAGTACCATCCATACATATAAATACATTTAAATTACATTTAGAGTATCAGTAACATGATTTGTTTGTTCATTTTTCCCACAGCACTATACCAGGAGAGTGTCTGCATTCAAACCTGACCTGAGTAAGTCACCTCAGCCAGTGCGAGTTGGTGCATGACTCACCCAGTGTGACCTCGGCCTGCATGGGCATGGACAGAGCAGGGTGGTTGACCTCACAGCTGAACAGAGCCTCGTTGTCCAGCTGGGGGTTGAGGCTCCAGGTCAGCATGGCTCTCACCTCCATGGTGCCATCACCTGCCGCCTGCTGCCGGTGCTGGAAGTAGTAGAGTGGATCGTTGCTCTGGACCCAGCGCGGAAACTCCCGGCTCACCACCGTCTCGGGGATCACCTCGCTGGTTGTCTCAGGGTCCGAGTCGGACCCTTGCTCTGGGCCCTTTTTGGGGTCATTGGGGCCGTCTTGGCCCAGCCGAGCCAGCTTCCCCTCTTGTTCCAGCAGGGACAGGGACTTCTGGAGTTTGGTGTCATCAAGGTCTTGACTGGTGAGGGCCCGGGAGCTCCAGTGCCCTGCTTGGCTCCTGTCCAAGCTCTTTTCCAGACCTTGGCCTTTGCTTTGGTCTTCCACTGAGGAGGAAGACTGGGCAGTTGGCACCACATCAATAAACTCACCATCCCGCTTGAAGTACACCTGAAAGGCCAGGACAACGACAGGTGAGCCCAACAGGAACACAGAAGCTCCATTTGGAATGTTTGCTGTGTGCTCTCAGTTACAAAAAAGGTCCATAAGAGGTAAGAGCTGAATAGTTGGTGGATGAGGACATGGAGACCAGGCAGGTATAAAGCTTTTTATCATTACTGTCTGTGTGGGAGTGTTAGTATTAGATGCTTTACTTAAAGGAGACATATCATGCTCATACTTGTATTTCAGGTTTCTAATAGAACATGTTTACGTCTTAGGTCTGAATGCAAAAACCAGGACATCGTCCCTCACTGGGTTCCCACCAACCATGTATGTAATGACATGCTTCATTATACTCAAAACTTGATTATATCATGTGCTTAACATTTTTATTACATTATAGATTATTATGATTTACGTCTTATGACATTTTCATTACATTACCTGTAGTTAATACATTATCTGTTTGACACGTCTAGCCCATACATGTAACGAGGTCATTTAAAGCAAATGATAGGTGATACCATCTTTAATATTATCCAGGCACATAAATATAAATAATCCACATTTCAACAACATTCAATTACACAGCTGTTCACACTGCTGTAGTTTGAGATATTTGTGTGTCAGTGGGCAGCTTACTGTGTGTCCTGTGATGTGACCAGAGAGATTGATGCTTCCCATAATCATTACTTACCACAACAACTATAACCCAATGCTGGGTTAAACAGAGAGAGATTGTTTTATCTACATTATGATTGCTTCTCTTCATCTCACTGATATGTGTGTCTCAATCACGACATGAGAAACCACTCTTCACTGGGCTATGATCATATCACATATGCCGCTGTGCTCCAATTCCCTTCGACCAATCCTCAATACATTTCCAGAGGTCACAGAGAGTACAGCCCAGCGCTTTGCTGTGGCATTAAGCAAAGCCATTGTTAGGGCCCGAGCACCGACGTAGTCGGAGCGGAGGTCCTATTGTTATTCTAATGTTTATTATTATTATTATTACTTTTCCGCTTTCATCGCAAAAAGGAGGTGCTTGGGATACTAGAAAACTTTTGAAATTTGGCACGCAAGCCAGAATTTGCGAAAATTGCAGTCTGATTGGGGTGTCCAGCTGCGGTATTAAATATTGGCTTGATAGCGCCCCCTATTTCACCTAGGGGGTTTCACCTAGCTGTATGAAATTTGGAAGGTATGTGGATCGTGATGGGACATACAAAAAATCCTCTTGGAATTTTTCTCTAAACCAAACAGGAAGTCGGCCATTTTGAATTTTATGACGTTTTTGGACCATTCCAAGGCGTCGTACTTTAACGAACTCCTCCTAGAGATTTGACCCGATCAACTTCAGATTTGGTTAGTATGCTCTTGAGACCGTGGCAGTGTAAAGTTACTCAAAGATCAAAAAGTTATCGAACTATGTGTCCGTGGCGTGGCATCAAAAAAACACCATTCGCCGCGAAACAGGAAGTTGTTGTAACTCGGCCATACGTTGTCGAATCTGCTCCAAATCTCTCATATGTCATAGCATCCTGACATGGAACACATCTATATGATAATTTAGAATCATAGTAATAGCGCCACCTAGTGGCAACTGGAAGTTGTACATTTTGTACTTTGACATCCTGCTCCTCACAGATTAATCAGATCCCTCTAAAATGTTGTCAGAACAGCCTTAAGACCTTGATAATGCTTCATAGTGAAGATTGTAAGACGTTGTTGAAGGGCGGCGACGTGGCGGCTTGGCGAGTTTTGATCCTTCGCCATGAAGAAATAAACTGATGGAACTCGACTCCACATCATCAGATCTTTACCAGATTTCACATGTTTGATTAGACTCCAGGCCTGAAGACATCTGCAGGCCAATTTTGAATCACAGTCATAGCGCCACCTACTGGTAACAGGAAGTTAAAGTCTTTAAACTTTGGCTTGTTTCTCTTAGTAGGTAAATCAAATCAATATCAAATTAGTTCCACACAAATATAAGAAGTTCATAATACCAGTTCATGAAGCTTTTGATGTTTCGTCGAACGCCGTTGCCATGGCGATGCAGTCTTCGCCGTTAACAACGAAAGTAATTTTGAGAGGCTAAAAATGCTCGAAACATAAGCAAACTTGGCAAGCAGATTACAAGCCCGAAATGTAGTTATAGAATATGATTTTATTGGTTCAGAGTGGCAAATCGGCTCAATAGCGCCCCCTACAAAATTTCAACGAAGCAGCCCTCGCAGTATGTTTGACCTAAGGTTTTTGAGGGGCTAAAAATGCTCAAAACATAATCAAACTTGCCAAACACATTTAAAATCCTGAATGTTGTTATCTAATGTGATTTTAATGTTTCAGTGTGGCAAGTCTGCTCGATAGCGGCCCCTACAATATTTCAACGATGCAGCCCTCGCAGTACGTTTCACCTAGATGTATAGAATTTGGTAAGCAGATGTATCACATGTAGACTTAAAAAAAGTCTATTGGAGCCATGCTCTAAACCCAACCGAAAGTCAGCCATTTTCAATTTTGTTTGAATTTCTCGTGGTTCTCTTCCATTTCCAGGTGCTGTACATCGAACTCCTCCTAGGGAATTAATCCGATCAGCTTAGAATTTGGTCAGAACAATCTAAAGACTTTAGCGATTCAAAGTTACTAAAAGCTTTAGGTTTCATCGAACGACGTGGATATGGTGAGGTGGCCATTTTACATGGTTTGCCATCATCCATCAAGCTGTAGTAACTCGACTGTACTTTGTCAAAACTGTCCCAAACTTGACATGCTTGTTCACTGTCATGGCTTTAGGACTTCTGCATGCCAATATTAACTCATAGCCATAGTGCCACCTACTGATAAGCACGGATGTAAGCAGGATTCTATAATTACAGCGGCCCAAACACTGACCTTATTGAAAGGGTTAGTGGGCACACCATGAGAAAAAGACTTCTCTGATCTAAATATGTGCAAACTAAGATGCTTGGAGAGCAAAAGTTAGATAACAGTGGATTTTCAAACCATGTCAGTGGGCATTAGTATAAATGATCTGTCCAGAGCTTCTTCATGACAATCAGGTTAAACGTTACAATGAATGCTTCACACTACAATCTAAAGTTACAGAAGAACTTAAAATGAAAACGGTGTTAAATTAAAGTGTTCAAGTAACAGCAAATGGCACTACTGTTTTGTTAACTTTCATGTAAGTCCAAATACAATCAGCAGGACACTGAAGAGAGTTGAACACCATCCCAGTAAACTGACAGTCTGTTATGTTACAAACACTGAAGCAGATTCACACACATTCATTTTCTTAATGATCTTTAAATGCTTACATTTATGATTGTATCAGATGTACACTCAAAACATTTGAGGCTTAAGACCTGGCAACATGATCTTGCTACGCTGCTGGTCTACGCAGGAAATATCTCACTCGTGCACGCAGAGTGTGATGGTCACAGAAATGCATGGCCGCGTCACCCAGAGTCCTGCCAGTACCAGGAAATACCATTTAACTCGTGCACGCAGTGTATGATGGTCACAGAAATGCATGGCCAGAGTCCTGCTAGTACCCTCGCCGTGTGTGAAGTTGCGAGGGCCCGATCAATGCTGCTCGCAGCTTTAATTTGTTTTGTTTTTTTGTCTGTGAGCACTAAACTTTTTAAATCCAATGGTGCTTCCAAGCTTTCCTTCCTAGCACACAAAGCAATGACGCAAGCATGACTATGGAGTCCTTCAAGAGGGATGAAGAGTAGAAAGGCTCCATCTCACCATGGGAGCTGGCTTTGCTCCTGTAACAATGCAAACCAGAGAGAAGTTCTGGGCCTCGTAGCGGCTGAAAGGAGCCGGGCTGTTGGCTGCCACCACAGAGATAGACTTGGGAGGTACTGCAGAGAAAATACAAAGCACTCAAACATTGAAGTGCTTTCCATCCATTGAAGGAAAATACATGTAAAATATAAAGTTATAAAGGTATTTATCAAATAATGAAAAAAACAATGGTGAGTCACTATGCTGGTGATTATATCTATTACATATCAAATCAATTCAATTACACTTTCAACAGAGGAGCACATTTTGGGAAATATGCTGATTTGCTTTCTTTTTGAGGGGCAGATGTTCAGATGGATCTCAGCCTCATGATGAGTACAGAGCCAAAGAGCCAGTGTGACAACAAGCCTGCAGGAAGTCTCAGGAGGATTATTTCTACATTTCTGTTCATGTACTGATTCAACCACCAAGATACCACGTGTTCCTTATTGAGCTTTAGAGGTGTTGGAAGGTATGTTTTTAGCCATGCTATGAAGCTCTAGCGTAGGTTCAGTCAGGAAGACTATACTCTTGCATGCCTAAGCCCGTAGTTTATTTCTCATACATCTGCCAATCACTCCTCACGCATGCTCACTCATTATTTCCTTGCTGTCATTGTTCGAGGATGTCAATCATGATATCAGCTGTTTAGATCAGCTGGTCTCTTCTATCCAATAGCACAACAAAACAATGACATCGTTAGCCTGCTGTTGCGCAACCCTCCACCTCCCCATCACCACCGAAACTTCATCAGAGTCATCTGCTTCATCAACTCATCATTCTATCAGCCTCATCAGCACCACCAGTGTCTGGACTCCACTATCTTTTTGCTGATCAGGGCAGACGCCCTTCGATTACAAATGTCCTTGTAAAGTCCAAGCGCCAAAGACTCTGAAGACTTTATCATTGCATATCATCTGTTTATAATTAGGGCCCGAGCACCGACGTAGTCGGAGCGGAGGACCTATTGTTTTTCGATTGTTTATTATTATAATTATTATCGTACCTGTTTTGTCGCAAAAAGGAGGTGCTTGGGATACTGGCAAAATGTCGAAATTTGGCACGCAAGCCAGAATTTGCGAAAATTGCAGTCTGATTGGGGTATCCAGCTGCGGTATGAAATATTGGCTCGATAGCGCCCCCTATTGAGTAGCCCCAACATTGGGTTTCACCTAGCTGTATGAAATTTGGTAGGTATGTGGATCGTGATGGGACGTACAAAAAATCCTGTTGGAATTTTTCTCTAAACCAAACAGGAAGTCGGCCATTTTGAATTATATGACGTTTTTGGACCGTTCCAAGGCGTCATACTTTAACGAACTCCTCCTAGAGATTTGACCCGATCAACTTCAGATTTGGTCAGTATGCTCTTGAGACCGTGGCAGTGAAAAGTTACTTAAAGATCAAAAAGTTATCGAACTATGTGTCCTTGGCGCGGTGTCAAAAAAACACCATTCACCGCGAAACAGGAAGTTGTTGTAACTCGGCCGTACATTGTCTAATCTGCTCCAAATCTCTCATATGTCATAACATTCTGACTCGGAACACATCTATATGATAATTTGGAATCATAGTAATAGCGCCACCTAGTGGCAACTGGAAGTTGTAAGTTGTGTACTTTGACATCCTGCTCCTCACAGATTAATCAGATCCCTCTAAAATGTTGTCAGAACAGCCTTAAGACCTTGATAATGCTTCATTGTGAAGATTGTAAGAAGTTGTCAAAGGGTGGCGACGTGGCGGCGACGTGGCGGCTTGGCGAATTTCGATCCTTCGCCATGAACGAATAAACTGATGTAACTCAACTCCACATCATCAGATCTTTACCAGATTTCACATGTTTGATTAGACTCCAGGCCTGAAGACATCTGCAGGCCAATTTTGAATCATAGTCATAGCGCCACCTACTGGTAACAGGAAGTTAAAGGCTTTATACTTTGGCTTGTTTCTCTTAGTAGGTAAATCAAATCAATTTCAAATTAGTTCCACACAAATATAAGAAGTTCATAATGCCAGTTCATGAAGCTTTTGATGTTTCGTCGAACGCCGTTGCCGTGGCGATGCAGTCTTCACCGTTAACAACGAAAGTAATTTTGAGAGGCTAAAATTGCTCGAAACATAAGCAAACTTGGCAAACAGATTACAAGCCAGAATGTAGTTATACAATATGATTTTATTGGTTCAGAGTGGCAAATCGGCTCAATAGCGCCCCCTACAAAATTTCGACGAAGCAGCCCTCGCAGTATGTTTGACCTAGATGTATGAAATTTGGTAGGAACATGTATCACATATGGACTTAAATAAAAGTATCTTGGGGCCATGCTCTAAACCCAACCGGAAGTCAGCCATTTTCAATTTTGTATGAATTTCTCGTGTTTTTTTCCATTTCCAGGTGCTGTACTACGAACTCCTCCTAGGGAATTAATCCAATCAGCTTAGAATTTGGTCGGAACAATCTAAAGACCTTAGCGATTCAAAGTTAGTAAAAGCTTTAGGTTTCATCGAACAATGTGGATATGGTGTGATGGCCATTTTACATGGTTCACCATCATCCATCAAGCTGTTGTAACTCGACTGTACTTTGTCAAAACTGTCCCAAACTTGACGTGCTTGTTGACTGTCATGGCTTTAGGACTTCTGCATGCCGGTTTGTGGGCACACCATGAGAAAAAGACTTCTCTGATCTAAATATGTGCAAACTAAGATGCTTGGAGAGCAAAAGTTAGATAACAGTGGATTTTCAAACCATGTCAGTGGGCATTAGTATAAATGATCTGTCCAGAGCTTCTTCATGACAATCAGGTTAAACGTTATAATAAATGCTTCACACTACAATCTAAAGTTACAGAAGAACTTAAAATGAAAACAGTGTTAAATTAAAGTGTTCAAGTAAAAGCAAATGACACTACTGTTTTGTTAACTTTCATGTAAGTCCAAATACAATCAGCAGGACACTGAAGGGAGTTGAACCCCATCCCAGAAAACTGACAGTCTGTTATGTTACAAACACTGAAGCACATTCACACACATTCATTTTCTTAATGATCTTTAAATGCTTACATTTATGATTGTATCGGATGTACACTCAAAACATTTGAGGCTTAAGACCTGGCAACATGATCTTGCTACACTGCTGGTCTACGCAGGAAATATCTCACTCGTGCACGCAGAGTGTGATGGTCACAGAAATTCATGGCCGCGTCACCCAGAGTCCTGCCAGTACCAGGAAATACCGTTTAACTCGCGCACGCAGTGTATGACGGTCACAGAAATGCATGGCCAGAGTCCTGCTAGTACCCTCGCCGTGCGTGAAGTTGCGAGGGCCCGATCAATGCTGCTCGCAGCTTTAATAAACAATTATCTTTTCTTCATCTGACTTGTCTCTCCTGATTGAAATAAGGATGCTCTTTAGATGGCAATGTCAGTCGGTCGGTCCACCACTTTGGTCCACACTGACAAATCGTTCTATTACTACTGAACTACTGTGAAAGTTGGTACAGATATCAATGGTGCCAACGGGATGAATCCTGAAGAATTTTGTGACCCCTTGACTTTTTCTCTAAACATACATTTTTTAAGCTTCATGAGACTCCGATATGAATACATACCTATGACAGTGAGGGTGATGCTGCCAGAGGCTAGAATCACTTTGTCTGTGGAGCTCCTGTCATATATCCCCACATGGCACTCATACAGGCCATCATCCTCCATCTGAACCTCAGGAAGCCTGTACAAAGATTACACACGAAGATCACCTCTCATTTTTAACCTCTTGGGTTCTTAAGGTTAGAGATTGTGGAAAACTATCAAAAAGACAGCATGCTACAGGCGGGAATGTTCCCCCAAACTCGTCTCTCTTTCAAAGGTTTTGTGTTATTAGAACACAACACAACTTGTACAGTAGTAGTGGCCTGTCTCACCGCACAGTAGACTGGTAGACCAGGTCCTCCCGTCTGCGGTTGTCCTCCATGTTGGAGTAGCTGGTGTTATACATGGCATCATATGTAAAAATCTTCTGTTTGGCACTGCCTCCTTCAATCACCTGAGAGGCAAAGGTTCATTAGCATCATTGAGTTTGAATACAGTAGCTGTGACCATGTGGACTTCAATTAAGTCTTATAGACTCTAAGTTGGGATGATCTCAAGCACATTAAAAGCTTTTCTAGCCACTTGGAAACTTTTTACCAATATTGGACCTTCATGTTTTACAGTAAAATAAAACATAGTAGTAGTAACTGACAGTTAGAGATGTTCTGTCATCAGTTTATAGATGTCTGTCTTACAATACAGGGCTTTGGGGATAATGCTTTATGGACTGCAGGGCAGTGGCGGCTGGCCAATAGAGGGCAATCGGGCATGGCCCCACCTTGAGCCACAAAAAAAAAAAAAAAAAAATTATAATAATCATAAATTATACAAATTGTCAATATTTGTGTTTTTTGAACTATGGAATGTACCCAGTAATATGTGTAAAATATGATATCTGCGCAAAATATATGCTTTTCCTGCTCGTGCCCTCCGCCTGTGTGCACGACACGTCTCAGAACGCGCAGCTAGGGGGCCAAATCGTTTTGGCCCAAAAGAGGCGGGTCTATGAAGCAGTTTAGCCAATTGCTGATTAAAGATATAAATGAGTGACATACAATTTAGCCAATCAGCGCCCTCAAATAGATTCAGCTAGGGGGGCCAAAACGATTCGGCAGACCAAAGAGCTGATCCCAGATCAGCCTGACCCCACAATCAGACAGCAGACTAGCGGGAAAGGGAAGCAGTACATGCGAAGCTTCTCTACTGTACACCAGACAGGTTTGGCTAGCAAGATGACGTCATGCTAATAACTTATTTAGCTTTTTAAAACAACGGGGACAGATCCAGGATGACAGTTAGGGAGTGAGGGATGAGGAGGTAAGGAAACATGAGAACACCAGGACACACATGGAGAACTCTGTCAAGCTACATATTAGGCAAAGTGAACATCTTTTCTTCTGCATAGTTGTCCTCAGTCTCCTCTGCTTAACTTGGTCATGGAGGCATCAACATTTAATTGAGATGTTAAATTAACAGTGAAAACTCATCATAGCTTAATTTAACATCAGTATTCATAATTACACTTCATGTTTACTTCTCCTGATCTTTACCTCCTATAACAAGGTCCATAGGGGCATCTCAATAAATAAACATGTTAAATTATATTATATTATATTATATAAGTGTTATTTACTGTTTTTTTTGGGTTGGAATAAATATTAAATATTTAACTGCAAAGTAGTAATGCGTGTTAGATACTTTAATTGTTTTGCATTAAATCATACTGGGATGTTTGCTGAAATTGATAGGATGGCCCTACCTAGAAAATTTTCCACCAGCCACCACTGCTGCAGGGCATTATATTTTTGCAGTTGGCCAATGGGGCAGCAAGGCTGAATCAGCCAGCCGTATCCCTCCGTGGTTCAGGCAGCAACTTTAACATGCAGATCAATGATCTGATAAATTCATCAATACTTTGGTCAATGTCAGAAATTGGTGAAAAATACGTAAACCAAGTCCTGAAATAGCCTGTTTTGTGTAGGCACATAAGATACTGTGCAGCTCTAATATGTCCTTAGATTTAAGAAATAGTGTGTCACTATTCATTCAGCTAACAGTAATAGCTTACACACATTTTCAAATGGCAAATCAAAACAAATTTGCAATTCCAGGCCTTTCAAAGGGCCATCCCCATATTACAATAATACAAATTATTAAATTGAAAGCGCAAATTACTTAATTGTGCTGACAAAATATTAGAGAGTAGAAATTATTAAATCATGTGCACATATTAGCGTTTTTTTTCCTTCATGACACCTCCTGGGCTCTGTACATTGTCAAAATATTTCTCATTAGTTGGTGACCATACTAAACAGCATTGTGTTAGCATTGTCAATGTGTGATTGTTAGCATGCTGACATTAACAATTAGCTCAAAGCACTGCTGTGCCGAAGTACATGCTCACAGGCAGGCGACAACTGGTTCTGAGAAGTGAAGCCAAAGCTTGAGTTTAAGCTGCATTCTCTCTACTGTCCAGCAGGGGGCGACTCCTCTGGTTGTATAGAAGTCTATAAGAAAATGACTCTACTTCTCTCTTGATTTATTACCTCAGTAAACATTGTAAACATGAGTTTATGGTCTCAATCTCTAGTTTCAAGTCTTCTTCAATACAGCATGATGTTCATTTAGTACATTATGGTCCATTTAGAGTCACACAGACCATAAAGCAGGGGATGCTTTAGGGCGGGGCTACACCATGATTGACAGGTCACTACCACAGAGTTGTCCGGTCTGGGAACTGTCCGTGTTTTCTTCTTAGAACTTAAACTCTTTCACAGTTTGTTTTCAGCTTATGAAAGTTTATTGTAACGTTTTGGTTGCCTAATAATGTCTCAGTTGTACTTAGCTCCACCACTTGTGTCACTTGTGGTTGCAAAAAACAAGATGTCAACGGCCAAAATGCCGAACTTAGGGCTTCGAAACGGCAGTCCACAAACCAATGGGTGACTTCACAGTGAATATATACACTTCTTATAAACAGTCTATGCTCACAGGCTGCTAGCTAGACTTTAAGTCTTGTTTGTACCAACAAGCACCAAACAAGTCACCATCAGTCACATATTTCCCAAGTCTAACACGAGACCATCGTTCTTGACAAAACAGGGTTCGGGCAAAACCTATTGACCTGTATGTCTGACTCTACATTTATCATGCGTATCTTCTAACAGACACATTGGGGCTGAAGAAGGAGAGAGTTTCATCAAGAGACAAGTTGTCAAGCAGCTGTTATTGCATTAAGTTCACCTGTGTGCTCACCCGAAACCATACAATCTCTCGGAGGTTGCCGTCTGTTTGGAAGTTGCACTTGAGTGTGACTGTGTCTCCAATGACAACAGGAGGAAGAGGCTCAATGGAAACGGCTAAATAACCTGCAAAAGAGAGAACAATGGCAGACATTTTGAAATTACATTACATGTCATGTATGCGCAACAACAGCTCCACTTTACTGCTTTTACTTTTAAACTAAGGGAGGAGCACTTGTTGGACAAACTAAAATGTCCAGGTCCTCATTAGTATTTATGGAGAGTCTGTTCAGAGGGAGCTCCAGTGAGCTGTTAGAAACCAGAAGAAAACAAGGGGGGGGCGTTCGCCTTAAGATCAAAAGACCGCCTCTCTCGCATACTGATCTCGTTTATCTCTATTGTTCTCTTCAATGTCCCTTTGGAATGAAACCAATGAACTGCAGGTGCAGGGTCGCTAAAGCCATAAGTTCAGACTGGCAGATTTCAGCCTTGACTGAGACATGGCTGTCTGATAGACACTTGGACAAAGATTTGGGACTTGACGGATTGGTGTGCCCATTCAGCCTCTGTGTTAATGGTTCTTGGTGTAAATCAATCATTGTCAGAGAGAAGTGTTGTACTGCTGATCTTGAACTGCTTTCAGTTTCATTATGTCCTCAGTACTTGTCTCTGGAGTTTCCTCAGGTATTGGTTTTATTTCTCTTGTGAATTTATCCACCAATTAACACAGAGGCTTCAAACAATAACAGTAATACAACATTATTCTTACATCCGAACAGGGAAATCCTTGCTGTTCGCTTCTTGAAGCTATATTGCAAAGAAACATGGCGTCCCCTATGAAGGCAAATCAATGTCAAAATCCGAGAGCGCAAATTAGATCCATGCGCGAGCGAAAATCAAACAGCCACGCGCGTATTTTACTTTGACGAGCGCTTTTACGTCACTCCGCGAGCAGAATTCACTCTCGCGAAGCTTAAATCCGCTCACTTGCGAAACTTCAACCCGCTTGCTCGCGAGTCTTTTACCTCTACAGTCTGAAAAGTTTACAAAACCTGTCAGACCTGTAGAACATGCTGAGATGTAGTGGAGTAGTGTTTAGTGGCAGATTGAAAACCACCTCTATCAGAACTAGCGTCTGTGTCAGAGTGATATCCGGTTTATCCCAAGACCAGGATTGTAACCAATTAGATGTAGAGATACAATGGAGACTGGGTCCGCCCACTTACTGTCAAAAAGAAAAACTACTCGCGAGCAAGTAGGTAAAAGACTTGCGAGCGAGGGGGTTGGAGTTTCGCGAGTGACTTTCGCTCGCGCTCGCGGAGTGACGTAAAAGCGCTCGTCAAAGTAAAATACGTGCGCGGCTGTTTGATTTTTGAGCGCGCATGGACCTCATTTGCGCTCTCGGATTTTTACAGTGATTCGCCTTCATAGTCCCCATGTTTCTTCAAGTCAAGTTTGTCCAACCTAGCAACAGTATCTACTAGTATTAGGTGGGCGGGACTTAGGATCGGTCAATTACTGCTGCTCTGGACTGCACTCATATGGCGGTTACAGCTGATACGTGGAAGCTATGCTATGGAGGACGAAAAATGTCTTAAGCATAAATAAATAAATGCATTAATAAATGTATAAATAAATACAGGAATATTTAAATGCTGAAATAAATAAATAAAATAATAAATAAATGTTGAAATTAATAAATACAAGTTGATACCTAAACAGGACATAATAAATAAATCTATTTCTACATTTCTGTTCACCTTCAGTTATTTATTTCTGTATTTCTGTGTCCGTATGTTAATGAGTTAGGCGGTCAGAACCTCATTCTTAAGCAGGATTGGTCAAGTAGGGGAGCAAGACAGAAGCAACCAATTCATAGCAAATCATCCCTGTAGACGACGTCAAAAAGCAATCTAGCAGCACTAACGGCTTCCACGTCTGCAGCTGGGACTGCTGCACAAGGCTGCTGTGATATATGTGCTGTGTGCCTGTGAGTGCTTTGGGACGGCGGAGGGACTCAGGGCAGCACCCGCTGCTCGTTGAGGACAGTAACTGCAGAACGATACGTGCTTTCACGTCAGTCTCCAAATCACCAGAAAAGTCTTCAATAACACCAGAAAAAGACGCTACATTTGTCGTTAGTCGCTTTTGACAAAAAAAGTCGCCAAGAGGATTTGGAAAGTCACCAGATTTAGCGAGAAAGTCGTAAATTTGTCAACACTGGGCAAGCCAACTTCAACGTTACTGTGCAAGGCAGCAGTAGTGGACCAGAAGCCATCACACTCCTGTGACCAATCCTGCTTTAGACAGAGGTTAGTCCCTCCCACACCTCATTAGCATACAGACACATAAATAAATAAATGAATAAATCTAGGTGAACAGAAATGTATAAATAAATATATGATATATGTATTTATTTATGTCCTGTTTGATTATCAACTTTTATTTATTCATCTATACATTAATTAAATGCTGAAATAAATGCTGGGATAAATAGATTATTCTTTTATTCATTTATTTCTGTATTCAAACATTTATTTAAGCATTTATTTATTTATTCCTGTATTTATTTATACATTTATTAATGCATTTATTTATTTATTTATACTTAAGTAATGTTTTGTCCTCCATAATGCAAGCTGCAAAATTAAATGAAATGTGAAATCAGGGCAACAAAAAGGAAACATAAGGACTTAATTGAGACACAGCTCAGGACGAACATTGTCAGGCTCCAGGAGGTAAGAAGGAGAAACAGAGCTTAACGGCTACAAGTCAGACCAGCCGCAGGCTCAGGATGATAATGACTTTTGTTTGAGATTTAATGTACAGGATTTCAGTGATAAACATTCTGAGCTCAGAAATAGTCTCTTGTTGACGCCCCTTTTAATCTGTCCTTGATGATCACATGTTTAGAAGGTTGTAGACCCATGACATCCCAGCCTCAGATTATATAGGTAGTGATCTGCTTATAGTATGTGCAGAGCAAATAGCTCCCATTTTTAATCATATCTTCCAACTGTCATTTACTCAGCAGATGGTGCCATCTCAATGGGAGTGGCCTGTTGTGGTGCCCGTTGCCAAGGGCAATCAACCTGAAGCATCAGGCCTTTTAAATGAACCTCCTTGGTTATGAAGACATTTGTGAAACTAGTCAAAGGAGAGCTCATATCTAAAACTAAGTGTCTTCTGGACCCTTTTCAATCTGCTTATAGGGCCAAGGGGTGTGCAGGGCGCCTCCATCACCTTGCTTAACCTCCTATTTAAACACTTAAACATTAACTTTTCATCAGCTTGTTAATAGTATCCAGCCAGGCAGTGGACATGGTACGCGTTTATGTGAACTGTGTGTTTCTATGTTATAGTCTATGTTTTATGCTTTGTGCTTTATGTTTACTGCAGAATAAAAAGCCCTCTCAGGACAGATAATAAAGAGACTTGGCTTGACTTAAATGTGTACAGTGGAGTGAACTGGGAGACTACTAAGAGGTTTGAAACACTGGAGTCAGCATGTGTAAGAACAATATCTACAACACTTGACCTCATATCGTTCAGGTCATGAGAACAGCAGCTACAGGTTGTTGAGATGGGAACAATGCTACTTAAGGGGCTCAAAATCAAGGACTGTTGTATTGGAATATACAAGTTCATGTTATTGTGACCACCCTCTGATATTGGAGGGATTGATTTATATATCATATTTCTTATGTTGTTCATCAAACCTAAGTAGGGTTCGGGTTAGGGTTAGGAACCAAACAGGAAGAGTAAACATGTCTGTACTGCATTATGCAGGTACTTCTTCCTCCAGGGAAACGAGCAGCTGGACTGCTGTGACTAGCAGTACATTGTCATGCTGAATATGTAACACGGAGACACACCTTGAAGCGAGGGGAAAGCACAGCACACATTTAACTATGGGAAGAGAGGAAGGTCAAACGCAAAGAGCGATGTAGAAGTGCAAAACATGTAAAAGAGAGCTGCAGTATGAGGTGGAGAAGTTTGAGCACAAATAGATACAAGAAAGACAGATATTCATGACTGGTAATACTTATTAATAACTACCCTGCATGCCTTCTAGTCAAACTTTGTTTCACCCCACTTTAAATCCATCTTTATTTTTAAGTTCTAGTTTAGGACGTTAGCAAAATTCTGTCAAGCTGAATTTTGAGAAAATGTGTAAAAAGATGCTTACAACTTTTAGAACATTTCCATTTGAAAGGTGCAAATAAAACCATAAAAGCTTGTCTTGGGTTTGAATATGTAATGCTTCAAGGAAGAGCTGCAACAAGATAATACAGAATATATAGGATTCTTTTTGAAAGTTTAAATTAACGTGACTTTTACACCTTAAAGCTACGCTCGAGAAAAAAAAAGGGAAAAGTGGATGTTACAGTTTAACCTAGGAATAGATCGTTATCATTGTTATCATGTGTGTTGTACTAATGAAATGATCTAAACTTTCAACAAACAAACAAACTTTGCTGACACCTGAATATTTAATATGGACTTGGATAGGATGGGATTAAGTTTAGCATGGATGTACATCTGCTGCTGCATTTCTTTATGACTCTGGCTCTTGTGTGTTAGATCAGCAGCTCAGCATCAGTTGGTGCTGTCAGAGCAGCAAAGCGTTAATCATTTCATCCATTAAGGCCAGCTGCCCCGCAAGAGAACCCAACAGTGAAGTAAAAGCGGACCCTGACCTCTGTCAGTGTAATAAACACTCAGACATCTCACTGCTTAGATACTGTTATCCCCAGGATCCACAGTATTTACACCACTCAACATCAATGATGAGTCAACGTCATGGTGTTTGATGTTCTGTACATGACCACAGATAACGTGGTCTAGCGACTCGTAGCTCGTAATGTCTCTCTGGTGTAACAAGCTGGGTTTCTCCACCAAATACATGTTTATATCTGGACACTAACTGTTGAACCACTAGCTAATATATTCGACCTATTCACTAATGGGGGGGGGGGGTTTATCATAACTAGTAACTGTGAGCACCGGGGCCCATCGTAACTACGTTACGCCTCTGAGACCTCTGTCCTACGACATCCTCTGTCCTTGGACCCTCACATTGCAAAAGGAAGAACCCAAAAAGAAAACCTGTAAAAAAATTGTGTAATGTAATATTTGACATGTGAAAAAACTCATTTAACATGTGCTTTCATTTATGTGTGTGTGTGTGTGTGTGTGTATGTGTGTGTGTGTGTGTGTGTGTGGGCTACCCTCATGGACTGGGACCAAAACCAAAGGCACCTTGCGGAGCAGCAGGCTGGCGGTGGAGGTGCTCTGATGCCCTCTGTCATCACAGTCAGCCTCACCTCCACAACACTGGCCTTTACTGCATGACGTCAGCCGGCCTACAGATTATTTCCCCCATGTTTTTCCTCTTAATCCTCCCTCCAGCTTTTCATCCAGAGAGCCAGAAATTTGCCGAGCTCTGGTCTCTCCACACACACACAAACAATGTGGCACAGAGATTTACACATATCAGAATAGCACTGAAGTAATAAAAAAAGAAAGAAAACAGCCTTCACATAAGTGCTTCATAATGTCCTCTGTAAACAACAGAAAGCAATCATTTAACGGAGGGAAAGCATATTTTGGAATTAAATGAATTGTTAGTGAAATGAGATATCGGGGAGCGATACCACTGTCCATCCCAGTTTAGGTTTGGCTGTGGACTGCAGCTGCTCTCGCCCTATTTTAATGTGACAAACATGGAAAGGACAATTCAACAGCATGGCCTTTGTACTGGGCTGTGAACTGTTGAGTGTTTGATATTCCATGCCTGTTGTCTTTAGGAGACCCTCCACTTTCTGTACATTTCTGCTCTGCGGTCAGATGAAAGACTCCAACACAGCAGCAGCAAGTCAAAAGACTACAGAAGATGGTGCTGCAGCTCTGTGCATTAGGAATGGTGGACATCAAGCAAAACAAAAGCAGCTTTGAGTGGGAAATACGAGGGTTTGCCCTCATGTTAATACCCGTCTTTGATCACAGAGCTCACTTCTATATTCAGGGCAGCTACATCTGACTTCTGGCTAACAAGCTGCCAAACTGCAGGACTAAATGTTCACCTGAAAGAGAACTGGCATTTGAAACTCCTTTCATCTTCTGAACATCAGAAATTCTTTTCCAGAGCAAAAGAAGACTCAACATTCTGCCATCCACCCTGACAAGGTTCAGATCAATGTCATATCGATGTGTTCAGCACTGAGCTGGATTCGGGCCAATCGTTTTTGAGACATTTCACTCAAGACCACAACTGTAAACCTCACGACATAACGCTGTCCTTCTAACGGTTGAATTATCTCAGTCTGGACCTAAATGGTCAACCCTTCAACCAACAGACACTAGTGTGGCTAAAAACAACAGTTTGTGCTCTTAGAAGGATGTGTTGGGACTGTTCTGTTGTGGAATTACAGTTTATATGGCTGAGCAGCACTTCAAGACGCTACACAGATCACTGCACCATCGTTTGCCAAGAAATAGTTCCAGCACATAATTGTTGTTTCTACAGTTTCATTTGTGTACAGATTAAACAAGTCAGAAACAAAACACTTTTATTCAGAAAGCATGAGAATGTGAACTACTCATGCAATTCACATTTAGAGTCATGTATTTCAAAGGGTGGGGGGGAATTAAACAACCCCAAATGAAAATGAAGTGGAGCAAATAAAGTGGATTATCACTTAAACCTACAATAAAAGTAAGGGCCTATGGTGGTTGCTGTAACAATACGGTATAGTTGTACTGTATATGTGTTTAATTAATAAATGAAGAGAGCTTCATTCATAACCCAAAATCTAGACAGAGGCTACCAAGATCATAGACTGAAAATAGTGAATTGTGCTTTGGGATTAGAACAGCCACAAACATTTCATCATTTTAAAGTAGAGATTACCTTTGAGCCATATGGGCGGACAATGGGTTCTTTATCCCAGAGGGGGAAATCTCCAAACAGCATTAGGTAACGTAGACGACATCTCTCCTGCTCTGAGGTCACATCAGCAGGCTGCATTAACATCTGAACTCCCTTTGACATAACATATCATCACCGCTCATCAACAGGAGGTTGGCTGAACTGGTGGATTTATTTCATTATGAATAAAAGCAATATTATTAAATGTTCACATATTCTTTACATTACTGCACATTTTCAAAAGCAGATAAAAAGTTTTGATGTTTTTTTAACTTCCACAAACCAGCCTTAGGAGGCTGTTTATGGTTCTACAGCAGGTGTGACAGGACATTAGAGTCAGACGTGCCACATCCTCTCTTTCTGCCTCGTATCATAAAGACACACCACTTCCTTCACTGTTATCAGTGAACGTACATTGTGACCTGCAAAACCAATACCAACACATTTCCAAGGACTATAGGACTGTGCATTGTGTATATAACTTCAAGTTCCCATTCTGTGTAGTGCACACAGCAGAATACTACAGCTTCATTATTTGCCCAGTAGGTTTATGGCACTGTGATTTAAAGAGAGCCCAACGTTAAATTATTAATGTGTGAATCAACTTGATTGGCCTAGTATGTCTATACATACAAGGAATCAACACTCAAAGCAGACATCACCTCTACTGTGGCGGATCGCCCGACACAAGACTTCATCCTGAATGGAAACCAACGGCGAATACATAAAAACATACAACAGGCTGCAACACATTTAAACTCCAGGTCTACTTGCTAACCTTTCTTTCTTTCAGCCACATGTGATGGTCTCTATGAGGCGGGCGACTTTCCCAAGTTGATTCCATGTGTCCTTAGCATAACATTTCTACCATATATATAAGGACCATCAATATAAAACAGGAACTGGAGGGAAATTCCCATTCAAATCAATGTAGCTGGATGGTCAGAGCGGCGGCCATTGTGTACCGTTGTACGCTGTAGCTGGCTAACGTCCGTATAAACTAAACCAACTTACGGCAAAGTCCCGGACTCACTGAGGCTCGGGTTTGCAGTAAGGAGTAAAACCAGCAGTCAAGTAGTAACATTATGAAGTGCAGAGAGTCAGAGCTATTGTTTAAAATAAAACAACTTAATGCTTCATCCTCACACTCTTGTCACAGCGTAGGAAAGCACATTGCAGAAAATGAGCCATACAGCGGGCTGGGGGCAGCGCTGGGTCCAACAGTCCCTCCCCCTCACTCCCCATGGAGAGGGCCAGCTAAAGTCACCAGAGCCATGTCCGCTCTACTATGTTTCTATTGCTATGATGACCACTCTTGTTATGTGGCCAAAGTTCCCTACTTAGGTCAGGTGATGACAAACTCCGCCTGCTAATGAAGACCATTAGATATGCTTGAAAGACCTGAAAAAAGCTAGTAAGTGGACCTTGAGTTAAGATTGATATTTTCTTTTCTTTTTAACTACTTTATGCTACTTTAAGGATTTTCTCCTTAAATTACAAATGTGCAGAAACACTGCTCAATGGTCATCATATGGCCAACATCATCAATATCAAATAAACTAAGAATCATAAACAACATACCATTTAACCTCCACACACTTCCTAAACATATTCCATGAAGCTTTCAGCCTCTAAAGGCACTCTGAGCGCTGCCCTGCTCGTCACCTTAATCAAAGCGTGTAGACCTCTCTTGTTGCGGATCATGTCCACTTACCAGCTGCTGGACTGAGAGTGTGAGCAGAGAGGAGAAGGCAGCAGAGAGCGAGAGGACCAGTCATCCTGCTGGGTGCTGCTGCTCACAACCAAGGATGCTCCATCTGTCATCAGAGCGGAGGACCACGTTTCATCTCCCATCCTTCACACTGAGGCTGCCTCGCTCTGCCACCCGGTTTATAGGATTACAGCCGCTCTCTCTCTCTCTCTCTCTACCCCTCTCTCCATCTACCTCTCTATCTCTCTCTCTCTCGCTCTACCCCTCTCTCCATCTACCTCTCTATCTCTCTCTCTCTCCATCTACCTCTCTATCTCTCTCTCTCTCTCTACCCCTCTCTATCTCTCTCTCTCTATCTACCCCTCTATCTCTCTCTCTCCCTCTACACTATCTCTGTCTCTCTGCCTCTCTCTCTATCTACCTCTATCTACCTCTCTCTCACTACCTCTCTACCTCTCTCTCTATCTACCTCTATCTCTCTCTCTACCTCTCTATCTCTCTCTCTACCTCTATCTCTCTCTCTCTATCTACCTCTCTCTCTCTACCTCTCTACCTCTCTCTCTATCTACCTCTATCTCTCTCTCTACCTCTCTATCTCTCTATCTCTCTCTCTCTCTATCTACCTCTCTCTCTCTACCTCTCTACCTCTACCTCTCTCTCTCTCTCTCTCCACCTCTCTCTCTCTCTCCACCTCTCTATCTACCTCTCTCTACCTCTCTCTCAATTCAATTCAATTCAATTTGCTTTGAATTGAAACTTGAAAAACAAAGGGCTGCGATTACGTCTCATGCTGAAAGGCTATCACAGGACTAGGAAGAAACAATTAAAAAGATCTTTGACAGTATTATTTATACATGTAATTGTATAGAAATAGTTGTACTACAGTCAACACGTTATGCTCAATGTTGAAGGACAGCTGGACTGATGGAGACAGCAGTTCAGTTATGTTTGGTCTGTAAGGTAACCGGGGATGAATGTAACACCTTTTGTTTAACTCAGTGGTTGCTTGTGCTAAATCTCTCAAACTTTGATACACAGTACTCATATTAGTCTACGACAAATAAAACACAAATGGATGTCTACACAATCACATATGTGAGTTAATGTCAAATGCATGGTTGAGTTGTAACACTAGCTGGCGATGGAAAGATACACATTATCCAATTAGTGCAAAAACTTTCTTGAAGATTAACACATTTTGAATAAGAGTTTTCAACAGTTTTCCATAAAGTGACAAAATGTTCCTGAATGTGCATGTGTCACAGGCCTCAGGGTTTAATCCCTCACAGTTGTGGCAGATGCAGATGGCTGCCCCTGGGCTGCAGGCTTAATGAACTGTTATAACGAGCCCCACCTCATGCAGCCATTAGATAGCTAACTGTTTTAACATGTGGCTTTGAAGTTAGCATGAATGTAAAACATCAAATTAAACTAGATTAGAGAAACTGATTCTTTAGGTTACATAATTAAAACCATTGTATCTACAATACAATGAAAGTGAGGCAAACAATGCTCTTGATAAAATCCAGGAGCTCCAGGTACAATATTGATGACAAAGCGGCTGTTTTCTGATTGGTCAAACTGACGGCGGTACAACTCTCCCCGGTCTCCCCTGCTCCTCCTGGGTCTGAGCTGTTACTAAAAGAACTGCTGTCTCCCCTAAAGGCTACAGACATGGAAGCACAGCTGCTGTGTTACTACATTCAAGTTATCCTGGAATGACATCATCCACTTGAAACAGCACAGTGGCGTCTTCGCCTTTTAGCAGTTCGTGCAACAGAAAAACAAAACACTCTCAGACCAAGTGCTGACTAAACAAAGTGTTGAAATAAAGTGATCGTAAAAAAACAGTAACATTTTGACAACTCGAATGAATGGTAAATATTTATAGTTAAAATAAATTGAGAGATTGAAAGAGAAAAAGCATTGAGATATACTTCATAATAGTTATAAATAACATAAACAAGGACGTTTGCTGTCATCAGATTATCTTATTAGAATTTGTGACAAAAAAAAATAGCATGCAAATGAAAGATTGGAATATAATCAGATTACCTGAAAAACAACAGGGATGTAATACAGAAACATTCATGTTGTCTATAACGTGAATGGGACTGGTGAGCTCCTCAGATGCCATTGTTTGCACATGCTCAGTGACATTGTTTTAAATGGCATGTTTGACAGCTTTGACTAAATGTGAATTGAGTAACTGGCTGCAGAAGACAAAGTTATGCAGTTGAAGCGCATTTAACATCGGCAGAGTTCTTTAGTTTTACATTTGACCCAAAGAGTATTGACTCTGCTTTATAGTATACAATTTATTATCCGCTAGCCAGATGCTAACTTTGTGAACTTCTGAACAAAGTCAATTTTCTACTTCTAGTTTTATCATGATGAGAGACTAGGTGAGCTGAATCATCTGCTTAAAGGAATAGATTGCCATTGCAGGCTGACTAGCAGAAAGAAAAGTGGACCTAAAGTGCTCCGCTATGGTTCCATTTACATCCACCGCTTGTTCTCTGCCCTCCAGGTAAGACCTAACCCACTGTAGGGATGTTAAAGCCTAGACTAGAGCCTTTAGCTTGATCAGAAGAATATCATGATTTACAGTGTTGAACTCCTTTTGAAGACCCAACATAACCATACTGCAATACTTTCCGACATCTACTTATTTACTTAGGTTAGGTTAAGTAGACTTAATCTGTTTAATGAGATTTTCAGAAACCAGATAGGAATTCATTGTGCGAAGTATTACTGGTCATCTATGACCCTTTCTATTACCTTTGATGATGAACATAGAGACAGGACGATAATTACCAGGTTCTAATTTGCTTCCTCTTTGTGTAGAGGGGTTACTCTCTTAAACTTTCCTTGTTCGATGGTTAGGTTTGTTACATGCAAGGAGTAATGACTTCAGTGGCATCTTGTAAAAATCTAGTGGGAATGTTATCCTGACCTGTTGGTCAGTGCTTCTGAGCTTCAAACTATGAACCCTTCTAGTGTCAGTTCTGCATGTTTCATTGACTGTGTGTCTGTTGTCATGCCTCGTTCTGTCTCTTAAGTTATGTTTTTTTCTTATTACATTATTTATCACTATTTCCTGTTTTATGTTGTGTTGCTTAGGGACTGTTTTATCTACACCTTATCCTGTGTCTTGGTTGTGCAATTGAGTCTTGTTTGTTCCATGTGGTTCTTCAGTCGTAACAAACACACGCTTGTATAGTATCTTTTCAAAATAAACTTCTGTCTTCACAGGGATAGGTTTAGGAAAAGAGCGTGATTGACGTTAACTTGACTTACTAACATCTCACGTGACTAGCAAATGACAAACGAGTCATGTAACTAGCAACTCACATTACTAACTGACGTGACAAAATGTCATCTTTACTTTTAATCACGTACTGGACACGAACAGCGGTCTTCTTGGCGAAAGTCCTGTGTTTGTTTGACCCATCCACCTCCCCTTTTCTCTCATCTGTCCTGTGTGGACTATCATCCATGTTATACTAAGTCAGTTGCTATGCAGGAGGTAGATTGGGTGGTCCTCTATTCAGATCGGCGGATTCGATCCCCAGCTCCTGTGAGGAATTTAAGTTTTTAAGCTCCTAATTATGGAAGTTATATGTTACAATGCATTTACTTAAGGACGTTTAGACCAAGAGGTGTGTTTGAGTGCCTGTAAGAGTGGGGGTTTGAGGAATGTGTTGGAAGCGGGGGGTTGGAAAGTGGCTGGAAGAGTAGCGACTGGAAGAGTCTACCAAGTAAAGCCATCTATAAAACGATCAACGATTTTAAACATGGTAGACTCGTTAAATATAAAAATTTGACAGATGGCGAGGGAGTAATAAAAACTCTGAAGGATAAGAATCTCTCGGAGAGTATCACAGATGTCCGATGGCTCATGGCAATGAATAGACTCGCTGTAAGAGTCACTGTGTCATGGAGCTGTTACGTATGTCACCACGAAAAAATGTCCCATGATGCACTGTAACGAGGACGAAACACAAAATCACCTGTTCATAGACTGCTACAGAGCGCAACAGGTCTGGGCCTCACTTCAAGGCCTCGGCCTAGTCTTCAATGTGAACTATAAATCTGTGATGTTTGCTCTGTTTGATGAGAAGATGTCCGTTAAACAAAGAGAACTTTACCAGCTCATTGTCAGCATCACGTTTCAAAATCTGGAAAAGCAGATGTATAATGGTAATAAAACAGACTGTAATGGACGGCAACATGGTGGTGAAACATGTTGTCACTGAACTCAGGAGAAGGAGAACTATTGATAAGAGCCAGTCCCTCCGGTGGTATTTGTTGGACTTCTGACCCAAGTACACAGCACTTTTCTTGTATCCGTCTTTGTCTTTGTGTTCTTATGTTTGTATACTTGTGAACCATGTATGTATTTGTGGATACTGTAGATTTGATATAAATTAAATAAAGTTTACAATCTGTAAACACAAGAGACACAAGGTGTCAGATTGTAAGCGGGCATCTAAAAGGGAAACTATAAAA